TCATAGGGGTTGTAAAACCCAAAGAGGTAGCCGGAAAAGGCACCCCGGCGTTAATAGTAATGATTTAACGGACTAGTTATTATTAATTAGTATATCATATATATTTAGCCTTACAATATAATATTATCAACATTCTAACATTATACCAATCTGATGTTATCTATGCTCTAATATTAGCTATATCCTAACATTATGTCGGATATTAGACCGAAGGCTTGTAAGCGGGCTAGAATATTTGGTGCCGTTGCAGTCGCAGTCCTTGTCGTGGATACCACCGCCCTCTTCCATCGGGTTCCGTATGACTCTCTTTAACTTATCATTAGTAACTTTACGTCGGAGGACGGATCTCACCTCTAGAGTTGGACAACTGAATCTATCATGTTTAGGAAGTCTCGTTGGAAATTTCCAACGACCATGTTTGAACGTGACTGCACACAGCATGGGTGAATATAACTAATACCAAGAATTCTAATAGTATTCTCAATGACTGTGTTGAATCGTAGAGACGAATGCCACAAGACGCAGATCGATACACCATCCCATGGCCGCCAGACACGGGTGACTGACCGGGATGTCGGGACAAAAAGCACTCGACCCTGCCTTCCCCGGTGCGGTATTTCACTTCCTCCAGGTCTCGCCATATTCACTTTTCCAAATCCTTGCAATATCCTCTGCAACATCATCGCTGATATCTTTCCAAGGGCCACCACTGTCCAAGTAGGTAGAGGGGACAATATCTAGAGCATGCCCCGCCCATACTCCTTGATGATCCCTTCTCCAGCCATCGACGTAGAATCATCCGTGGACCAACAGGCTCTGGAAAGGATGACTTATGTTTGATGGTTACACCATGGGAAATGTAGAGGGTAAGGATGGTCTATCATGATTATGATTGTTATCTACTCATACAAGCACAACAAACGCTGCAAAAGGCCAGTCTTGTCCTTGTCAAAGATGATCTACCAAACTTACAACTTGGATGGCACCATTAGATCTACCAATCGCCCTTCGTGAACCGCTCACTAATATACCAGCATATCCGCAGGCCGCGGGTATTAAAGGCGTACTTAATTCTCCAGGATACTGTTAACGGAATTTCAAGCCCAGGTGTGGAACCAATTTCTGGCTCGATCATGCCTGGCTCTCCAGAAGCTGTACGCAGATTATTTTCGCAACTACAAAGTCGACGTCAAGCTCTTTACCACCACCAATTCTCCCTGCTACGCCAATAAACATCACATACATGGTTCTGGGAATGTCTCCATCAATGGCGGCCCGCAGATCGACGCATTTAGTGCCTTTACACAAGAAACGCGCGGCTTGGCAGCGACGCCAGCATCCCCGGCCTGAGTCCTCCTGTGGGAATGACAGCCGGAGGATTGCCAATTGGCGTAGACATTGACGGTCCTATCTATGGAAGCCTTTAAGGGCAATTTACCTACTATCATCTCAAGCATAGCCGTTTCGCCTTTTTGTGGCCAAAACATTAGGGGGATGTAATATCTCCGGCAGTGGGCTATCCTCAGGTGGTTAATATTTTGTTAAAAACCTGATTGCCGCAACTGCGAAGTATACAAGGCTGACCCGGTATGCAATTCGGCCGAGGAGAATTAGGATGTCAATGGCATATTCTGTCTAGGCTTCGACCTGGAACGGCGTGGCCGATATCTTCAAAATTATGTGCGCCTTGCAACGGCACCAGTCCGTCGGACTGTAATAGTGGTTAGGATTGATGGAAGCAAGGGTGCTGTGTTTTGAGGGCTGAAGGGAGGGAGGCAGGCCACAAAGATCTTGGAGACTTTTGTGTTTTTGATTGTGAGTAATTTCGCCCGAGATATTTCCAGTAACTCATATTAATCCTAGTAACATTCGCGGGGTTAACTATTTATACACATCCCCGTAAGTCGGATCTTCAGCCCTCGTTCCAACCGCCGGATACGGTTATCGTACGGGTGCGGCACGAGTAGAAGCACTACATAGTACTTACCCTGTCATCCTACGAACTTTGGATGGGGGGTAGAACCAAAACCACATATAAGAACTGTCCGCGGCCTCCTTGTAGTTACAGCTTCTACAAATGCTACAGGTATAGTTAGTTGCTAATAGCTCTAGCTCTTCCTCTTCAATATGGCCAAGTACGATTTTGTCATGTTGTGGATCTTGGCGTTGACAGCCACCATTGTGGCTGCCAATCCCATGGTTGTTGACAAAGAGCGGCAGATAACATACAGTGGTTTGGACCGCAATGGAATAGAAGTGTTTTTGGGTATCCCTTTCGGCCAGGATACCGGGGGCGAAAATCGTTTCAAACCGCCAGTGGCCGTTGTTTCTCCACGCGGAAGCCATGTCAATGCTACCGCATATGGGCCAATTTGTCCCCAGGCGTTACGTTCACGGGGTACGATGGTAGTTTCTGAAAACTGCTTGAATCTCAATATCGGAAGGCCGAAGAACACGAGGAGTCATGATAAGTTGGCGGTTATGGTAACCATCTATGGTGGGGGTTACTGGGGAGGACATATTCAAGATCCGAGGTGGTTGCCTGACAGCATGATCATGGAATCGTTGGCCAACGGTCGTCCAATCATCCACGTTGCGATGAACTATCGCCTGGGAGGTGAGTAGCCCCCCCTAACCATGCAAAGACTCCTATTCTAAGGCGATGCTAGTGTTTGGATTTGCTCAGACCACGGCCCTCAGATCTGAGCGATCAGAGAATGCAGCTCTGAGAGACCAACGATTGGCGCTCGAATGGGTTCGGGACAACATTTCCGCGTTTGGGGGTGATCCAAACAGGGTAACAATATTTGGACAGTCATCAGGAGGTATGCTTGCCTTTGGTCCCACGCTACTCTTGACACCCACTCTAACGTAGTCAGGCGTATCCGTCGGTATGCAGATGTTGGCATATGGAGGAAAGTTGCCAGTTCCATTTCAACAGGGCATCTGCCAGAGTCAAGTACTTGAGCCCGGCATCACGGGCAATTTTACGAGAACAGCAATGGAGCTAGCGACGGACAAGGCAAATTGCACATCTGGAGACTTCAACTCGAAAGCGGCGTTAACATGCCTACGGGAATTGGATACTGAGACATTACTCGCAGCATCTATTGCGACATACCAAAACGACATTTCCCACAATATTGGAGATATATGGCTCCCTAGCGTCGATGGTGATTTTCTCCCTGCTGCGCCGTCAGAACTGATCGCTCAACGGCGCTTTGCCCCCGTTACTACAATGATGGGATGGTGTGAGGACGATGTTACTCGATTTGTGTATCCAAATATAACAACATCAAAAGGTACAGGGGACTTCATTGCATCCTATGCACCGAACGTATCTAAAAAAAACATCGATATTCTTCTCAAATTATATCCTACGGATGAGTTTCCCGAGAACAAAACTGCCGGATTATCCAGAGACTTCTATCGCACGGCCAGAATTTTCCGAGATATAGTGATGACATGCGAACCACTGCTAGTTGGAGAATATGCTGCTGCAGAAGGAGCTGATGCGTTTTTTTTCGCCTGGAACCAAACTATAGCTCCAAGCGCACTAGGAGTGTTGCATGGAGCAGATTTGCCATTCGTCTATGCCAACCTTTCTGCTTATATAGCTCCTGGATCACCCACACGCCCAACCTCATCGGACTATGAATTATCACATAGAGCCTCACGATCCTGGTCAACATTTGCCAATACCAAAGAGCCAAGTTTACCGGGCCATAATACCTTCAAAGGGTTTCGAAAAAGCTTCTCCAGGCACAATGAGGTACTGGTATTTGTTGCCGGTGGCCCCAACGAAGGGCTGTCGAGTATTGACGGCCATGGTCCGCATAACGTCATAGGAGAACAGAAATTGAGAAAGAGATGTGCCTTCATCAACTCTCCGGAAATGATTCATGAGTTACGATACTAGAATTGTTGCGTTTGCAACATTTCGGAGATAGCTTTATGCAATGAACCTCGAAATAACTTCTCTCCTTGTCACAATTCTTTGCTTGGAATACCGGAGGAGCGTAGAAGGTAGTTATAGAATAAATCTAGACAATCCTTCGAACTGCGTGGCTCACGCCTAACGTCGGCGACGTCTTGTATCCTATTGATGTTCATAACACGATTCTAGGCATGAAAATCTAGCTTCTCTCCGTCTTCAACTATAACTTCGTGCTGAGGTTGGCCAGGAGCTGGCATGTTCTGTCGCGAATGTAGCTCTTGTGCACCGCAATAGCCGTAGGACTAACAAATTCTTAAGTTGTCAAATTTCTAAGAACCCATTCCCTGATTGAGGAGGTAGAAATAAGAGGGTGTTAGGTTCATTACTCGAAGTATATCTACCGGACGAGGATATTTACACCTAAATTCAAGAGTAACGCCTAGCAAGTCTAGGGGAAAGCTTATAGTGTGCACCTCGATCGTGTTATAAATTATCAGGCCTCCCGGCATATTCATCTAGCAGACCATACTCCAACTCATCCAGGTCCAGCCCTTCCCGGAGCTCATCAACATCCTCCGGGAGTAGAAGCCCTTAAGGATAAGTGACATTTCCACCACATTCACTTCCATCACCAATACAAACGATAGGTGTCCCAGCCCAAGGGCCCAAGTACGTAGTAAAGTGCCTTTCAATTACCAGTTTCGCTATTGCCCAGAGTCGCTGACAGTAAGGCCCAAGGCGAAGGGCGCTTGTGATATCCAAAGAGTTGAAAATAATATGACTTATCTCAGCTGGCATTTCAAGGAGCCGGGACCGAGCAACTTTATCCCGTCACCTTTCTTTGAAGAACAATTATCCTCTAAACAGCGATAAATAGATTGTTTGTGATTTTCGAAGGTATAATAGGTCTAGTAACTAAAGAGAGAAACAAGCTCTAACGCGGATCTATCACCAGTTCGCGTTGTAACTGCTCGTAAACCGGGGAGAGTCGGGGAGGCAACTTGGGCTCATCCGACTGGCCTTTTTATTCGAGCAGCTTTCCATGGTCGTGACGGTCGATAATTGCACATGCATCCCCGGACTTGAATTTCCGAGGAGGATCCAGCTTCACGCTCTTCCCGGTTGGTTTTCTTTTTCTTTCTTTTCCTTCCGGTTGGCTTGCTGTCTTTTTTCTTCCCTGGTCGATGGCGACTTGGCTCCGGGGACAACCTCTTCACGATAAAGGAAGATGCACCGAAGCCAGCTGTGCTCCGTCAAAGCCTCAGCCGTTCGCATAACAGTGAACTAGTAAACTAGTTCAAGTGAAATAAAGAGCCAAAGCTGATGATGGCTGAAAGCTCTAGTTCTCTAGTGGAGTTTTTGATGTAAAAATAAACATAGCTAAATAATTAGTTAGCTTGCAGTGTTCAACTTTCTGTTAGAATCTTTAAAAATCGATAGCGAGAGAGAGAGAGAGAAAAAAAGCCCACCGTTTTCTCTCCAAGGCTCGTCTATTCCTCGCTACCTCTTACCCGCCATCACGCTCAAGCGAAGGCCTCCGTCGCTCGGTCAGCCTCGTCCTCCTGTCGAAGGGAAAAAGAGAGAAAGGCAGAAGAAGCAGAAGTAGGAGCTGGCAGCCTTAAAAAAGGTACATTGTACGCTCGAACGGAGCCTGTCTTGCTCAAGGAGCTTTACAACCAACCTGCATACATACCATCTGGAAGCGGATTCACCAGTTTGATATTCATAACTTTGGGACCAGACGGAGCCTACGACCTGCCTGTCCGCTCGGATTCTACTCTTGTTTGCTTTTGGATCGAACTAAACCGTCCGCTACGCTGCCAAACGGAGCGCCATCAACCTCATATCGACTCTCTATATATATCTATAAACCCGTCCGTGACGTAACTGACTAATATCAAAGACATATTCTCCAAGTTCCCGCGTAGCGGGTTATCTTAACTGCTTCCGTGAACGACCCCTTGCACGGCGATGGGACTCTAGGAACGCGAGGGACAGAGTCGCAGGTTTCCGCTGGCAAAACCCTCATCGAAAGAAACCCCGTCCTAAAACCCGCCAAAGGGCCGGCCAGACGAATCTCCAGGTGCTAAGCTTTGGATCCTGTTTGTCTTTTTTTTTTTCGTGTCATGTCAGAGACTAGGGGGATGGGCTATCAGAATGGTCAGTCAGTCAGTCAGTCAGTTGAGCGCAGATGCTGTAGAAGAAGAATATGTTGAAAGGGCGAAAGAAAAAAAAAACCGATCTTGTGGCACCCTCACAGCAGCATCTCAGCGGTTTCTTTCTTTTTTATTCCTTATCTTTTTATTATTATTTATTTCAGCTTGGACTAAATAACTGACGAACCGGCTCTGCTCTGTTTGAGATCTTAGACGAGAGAGTGAACATCCATAACGGCGATGGGCTTTGTGACTCCCACCAGATCCAGCCGCCTCACGATACTTTAAACCACGAAGGCGAGATGAGCGAGACATCCAAATCTCTCCACATAGACACCTCTTCTGTTGAATACGACTATCTATCAAGGTTCGTGTTTCGTCGATGCGGACCCAGTTACATACTTGACATGGGGCGGCGGAGAAGAAGTTTGACTGACCTTGCTGTTTAGATCTCCTTTGCTCGAACATGATCACGGACTGAGCTCGTCTGGCTTGCCTCGTATACGGCAGTCATCGAGAGCTCCTTCTCTTCCCTTTGCCTTAGCCTCTTCGTCCACGATACAGCCTCTTTCACAGTCCCAGACAAAGAACAGCAGACCATCGATACAGTCCTCTGCATATTCCTCGGACGGCACAGTTTCGCCCGGAGTCGAAGACCTTTATCGCTTTCCGTCTGAGTCTCTGCACTCTTTCTCGTTCGCCAAGCAGTCTGACGATCTATTAAACAACCGCCATAACCTCCTGAAGCGCTCCATAGATTTCCTCAAGGATAGAATTGGGCTGGCGGCAAACGACTCGAGCCAGGGCGATGGCCAGGCCCAGATGAGCGATGAAAATGAAATACAGTGGATGATGGATATACTGTCTCGGTCAAACCTCTTGGGAAGCTATGACGTCGCTAACCCTGCTGTTGGACCGGCAACTGGCCCGCCAGCCGTAGAGGGCGGAGGAAATATCTTTGACCGTGCATTCGGGGCGTACCAGACATACAGTCCTGCGGATATCAGATCCCCGCAGGATAGGTTTGCAAACAAGGAGCAACATTTGAGCCCGGTGACTTTGGACAGAGCTATGCCTCGTCCCAGGGGTAGAAAATCGGCCCCTTCCTCAAGGCGAGTGAGCTTGAAGAGAACGTTTACGGATATCGGATCCTTGTCGCAGCAGAACAAGCCTATGGGAATGCTGACTGAGCCGTACTCCGCTGTTGAATTTCCTTCTAACCGGAGTACCTCGTCCTTTGGATTCGGCTGCATGACTCCCACCATGCATGTACACAGCGGCAAATCATCGCTTCCCACCCAAGCTGTGTTCACCACCGAAACAAAGCCCAAATGGACAGTACTGGCAGCCAATGATCTTGCATGCCTTATATTTGGAGTAACCCAGAGTGAATTCAGGAAGATAAGCATTCTAGACTTGATTCAGAGAGAAAGACGAGAATGGTTGGCATCGAAGCTTCAAGGCACACAGGTCGTGACGCCCGAACCAGAATATCGACAGGAAGAGGTGCCTCGCAAATCGTCGCACTTCAAACCATTTGGCATGGGAAATGGTGTGACTGCGCAGCTACTGAGCAAACCACCAGCCCGAGTTACACGAAAAGCGAATGCCCTGAATTATTCTACCCCTTCAAGCTCTGCAAGCGACAGCGGCAACGGCAACAAACAGCCCAAGAACCCCAACCACTCGTCCAAGAAATCGCGCGGAGTGTTACTCTGTGGAGATGTCGTACCAATCCAGAAGAGAAATGGCACAACAGGTTCTGCAAGCCTGTGGGTGATGGAAAAGAAGGGTGGACTGATCTGGGTAGTGGAGGAGATCACTGAGCATGCCGTCACTATCGAATTCGACGATAGGGGAAGAGTTATGAGTGCAAACGGCGATACTGAGCAGATATGGGACAGGATTTCCGTTCAAAGGGGCACTTCAATATTCGATCTCTTGCCCAATGTGCCTGAACGGTTCCCTACTGGCTCCGGAAAGCCTGATTTCTCAAAGATAAATGAACAAAGACACTTCACTGCTTCAGGTCTCCAGGAGGATAGCAGTATACCGCTTACCTTGACGCCCCTATCTAAACACCTAGCCCTACGGATCTCCTGCTTCCCTCATATTGCTGGTATGATGGTCCTATGCGCCAAAACCCTCAAGATTATCAGCGCCAATTCAGCATTCACTGCCACATTGTTCGGTAACCTCCACACAGAAGGTTCCCAGGTTACAGACTTGTTACCAGATTTCGATGAGTTTCTCAGAATTTTAACGGAAGAGGACGATGCCCCTCTTGTTGATGGAGTGGTCATCTCAGAGCACAGCTTCCGAAGGGCCAGGGCATTATTCTTAATGCGACATAGCGAGTCAAAGCTGACCATGACGGACCTGCGACCTGCAGGTCTACAGGCTTGTCATAAGGACGGTTCGAAGCTCACTGTCGATGTGCAGATGCGCGTGGTTAAAAGCAAATCTGCATTGCCAGAAAATAGCAAACCCGCTGGAGTTGACCAGGATAAGCCACCAAAATGTGAGAACGGCAGGGCTGCCTGTACTACGGAGGATGTGTTTGCGCTATGGATATCGTATTCTAGACAACTCCATTCTCCTATGGAGGACGACCTGCTCTCTCTACCCAACAAGGCGAGGAAACTCTCTGATATTCCACCGATATCTCCAGGCCAAGTGTCGCCTGTCTTACCGCCGCAGAGGATACCTCAGGTCGAGTCGTCGCTGGGAGAGCCCTTAACTCATTCTTCTCTCTTAGCTCAACAGTTGACAGAAGCTGCATCCGAGCCTCTAGTTTCCCAGCCAGTCCAACATGTGGCCGAAGTCAGAGTAGCAGTGCCTGAGAATGACGAGGTCCCGACTAAGAAGAGCATATCTGACTATGTGATTCTGGAAGATATGGGAGAAGGCGCATATGGACAAGTGAAGCTCACCCGATCCAGACGAGACCCTTCGAAAAAAGTGGTTCTTAAATACGTAACCAAGAACCGAATCCTAGTCGACACATGGACACGCGACAGAGTCCTGGGGACCGTTCCCCTAGAAATTCATGTTTTGAACTTCCTCCGCCGTGAAGGCAACCGCCATCCCAACATTGTCGAAATGGAGGGTTTCTTTGAAGACGATGTTAACTACTATATCGAAATGGTCCCGCATGGTCTCCCAGGCATGGATCTGTTCGACTATGTTGAACTCCGTGCGAACATGGAACAAGACGAATGCCGAAATATCTTCCACCAGGTCGCAAGTGCGATTGACCACCTGCACAATAAAGCATCAGTCGTCCACCGAGACATCAAAGATGAGAACGTCATCCTAGACGGAGAGGGGAGGATCAAGTTAATCGACTTTGGCAGCGCAGCGTATATACGCAGTGGTCCGTTTGACGTCTTTGTTGGGACTATAGGTAAACATTAGATATTTATTCCTTCCTTTCACGTAAGGCCTATGCTAACGGAGAGTCTAGACTACGCCGCCCCCGAAGTGCTACAAGGGAAGCCCTATCTCGGCAAGGAACAGGATGTCTGGGCTCTAGGAATCCTCCTATACACAATAATCTACAAGGAAAATCCGTTCTACAACATCAACGAAATCATGGACCATCCGTTGCGTGTCCCCTTCCTACCATTCACTGACGACTGCCTTGACCTGATCCGTAGGATGCTGGATCGGAACGTGCAGACGAGGATATCCATTACAGAAGTGATGAAGCATCCATGGATGAGGCTGGCTGCGAACGGCAACGGCAATGTCAAAACAACCTAATACCATGGCCGGAAAAAACTCATGACTCCCGACTTGACACCTATCTCCTCTACATTTCTACCTTTTTTTCATCCTACCCCCCTTCTACTCATCAAACCAAACATCCTACCACACGAAGAATTTTATTTCGGGTGTTTCTTTTCTCTTTACCCACTTTCTTCACTATATATCTCTCTGCCTTTACAGGCCATTTTTCCATACTCTGTTTTGCCTAGTCCTCGATCCCCCTTTTTTTGTGCATGGCGGCGGAGCCCTTTCCCTGTCTCATTTTACGTTTGAACGATCACCCCTGTCCCTTTTGCTCCATTTTTATGATATCCAGATACTATATTGACGTTTTAGAATGTTTCCCTTCTCCTTCCATTCCCATTCCATGGTTCCTGCTCTGCTTCTTTGTTTGCTTTTTGCTTCTTTCCTTATTCTGTTGTTTGCATGGAGCGGGCATGGCACTGGATCAACCCGAAAATAAAAAATAGAGATGATGTTGTATGCTGTACGGAGAAGTAAGGAGAGGCGGGTATATGCAGATTGGATACATATTTTCTCTTTATTGCATATCTTGATTTTGTTCTTGTCACCCTTTTTTAGCCACTTTTTTTTTGCTTGAAACTTCTTCCACAGGCGTTTCGGACGACACAGCATCTCGGTCTTTCTTCCGGCATCTTCACTCGACAGCCATAAGGGTAAACGTGTAAGTAGTATGTGTGTGTGATAATCAGGACAGGTACCTATATCTTCTTACCGCTATCTTCGTCAACCAAAGGAAGAAGAGGAGACAAACACCGACCCAGAGACGCTCCACTTAGTTTATTCGACCGGACGTGAAACTTACATTTAACTTGCGAGCTAAAGCACAAGTAAAACCACGTTAACTAAAAAAAAATAAAGACCCGCGTGGTCTCCTCCTTGCTTCCGCGGTTGCAGCGTAAATCCATCAGGCTCTTCTTGTATGGACAGCGAACGCATCAGGTGAGGCATGGTCGTAGGACAGCAAACAGTCACCCGGCCTGTCGCTTGTCATCGTCACTTCATCCGTCACTCGCAGAAGATGAAGATGAAGAAGGACGAAGGTAAAAGAGTGTGGGCTTTTGTCTTGATGAAGCTGTAGACTATGCAGGTATCAAGTACCAAGAGTGTACCTCGGCCTGGCGCCCCCACCGCCCGCTTATCGATAGGGCGATAAGAAGTCTTCCTGGGGTAACTTGGACTTCCACCACCTTCTTCACTATCTTCAACTTCTTCCTCTTCTTCTTCTTCTTCTGCCTCTCCACACCACCACTTCCACTAATCACCACCGCATGACTCTTGTCCCGTTGACGGGTCTGTTGACGGGTCTGTCGTCGGTCGGCCTGCTCCCGCAAGACTCTCTCCTATGTGACTCTTCTGTACCATGATGGGTGGCGGCTCTGGCACGAACAGGTAGTCAAGTTATCAGCCAGCCAGGTCTTGAGACCCGTCAAAAACGAGTTTCTGCCAATCGATCTCTGTCATATTTCTTCCCTCTGAGACCTCTTAGCCATCATTCAGTCCCTGGTAGGCTTTAACTCTATTAGTACCGCTCTCCATTCCCTTTTTTCACTTCCCTAACCGGGCCGGAATGGATACTTGACCCTTTTCTTCCTTCAATTTTTTTTTCTCCCTTCTCTTCCTATTCTCCATCCCTTTTTTTCTCCTCCTTAATAGCGGAATAATCTGCCTTATACGCCCTTCTCAGACTTCTGGGGTGGTTGCTGCTTGTTTTGCTCGCTTATTCCTCTTCAGCTGGGGCTACAACTGCATTGGCGTGCTATGGATACTACAAGGCTTTGAAACACCGACATTTCTCAAGCTCACGACTCTCAACCCAACAACACCGTCTTTGAACGGCTGGGGCGCCATTAGACATCCTTTATCTCTTCTCGATTTATTAGACCTATTTATATATACTACGCACAATCACTACAATGGCTTCAATGCTGCCGGACGAAGTGCAGGTACCGCCGAATGGCGAGGCTTCCGGGCAATCCTCCCGGCCTCTCACTCCCGGAATCGATGGAAACCAGCCAGATGCTCAGCAAAAGGTCAAGGGCCGCAAGAGGCTTCTCAAGGGTATACAGCGGATAGCCTCCAGTCCTTCTCTGGTAAGGTTGAGCCGGGGTCGTTCTGTTTCTGAGGGCTCTCGACGATTCAGAACAGGAGCATCCATGTCTTGCGTCTCTTTGACTTCAAGCCTCTCGCACCGTAATTGCTGGGATGACCCGACCGCGTATGGCGATCTGTCAAACAGGCGACTTGCTGCTACTGGTGCCGACGCTGACGACCACCACCAACCGAGTCGGATGGTTGGGACAGATCTTACCGGGCAAAACCAGACCTCTATACCGCTACCCACAGACATGCGACCGTCGTCTCGCGCCGTGATGCTGGATTCTACAGCAGAAGCAGATGCTGATAGCGACATGGAGGTGACCATGGAGGTAGAGGAAGAGGTTCCGGTGAAGGATACTTGGGCTGAACTGCCCATGGAAATCAGGATGAATATTATCGGATATCTCAGCCCGAAAGAATTATTTAGATGCTCGGTGGTGTCCAAGAGTTGGTACGCGATGTGTTTTGACGGCCAGCTGTGGGCACAATTAGATACCTCGGCTTACTACCAGGAAATACCACGAGATGCTTTGCTCAAAGTCATTCTGGCTGCTGGACCGTTCTTGAAGAACCTCAGTCTACGTGGATGCAATCAGCTGCTTGAGGTATGGTGTTCAGAGGGCGAACGTGTGACCGATGTGTGCCGGAATTTGATCAAGTTGAATGTCGAGGACTGTTTGTTAGATAAGGCGACGGCTCACTACTTCTTCACTCGCAACCCACGATTGAGGCATATTAACATGTGTGGCGTCTTTACGGCCACTAATTCGGCTATGAAAGCTATTTCCGAGAACTGTCCCATGCTAGAGTTCCTCAATATCTCTTGGTGCCGTGGCATTGACACCAAAGGGCTGTCTTGGGTAGTCAAGTCGTGCACTCAGCTAAAGGATCTGCGAGTGAGCCGACTCGAAGGATGGGACAACGAGAGCGTCATGTCAGAATTGTTCAAAGTGAATACACTAGAACGATTTATCTTATCCGATTGCGCGTCCTTGACCGATGCTAGTTTGAGGACGCTCATCCAAGGTATTGACCCAGAAATCGATATCTTAACCGGTCGTGCTGTCGTTCCTCCACGAAAACTCAAACAGCTGGACCTGTCTAACTGCCGCTCTCTGACTGATAATGGCGTGAAATGTCTTGCACATAATGTTCCTGAACTTGAGGGCCTCCATGTCTCCTTCATCAGCAGCCTAACAGACCACACTGTTGCGCACATCATCAATACAACCCCGAAGTTGAGATATCTCGATTTAGAGGAACTCGGTGAACTGACGAATTTTGTCCTTACGGAGCTGTCAAGAACACCATGTTCCAAAACCATTGAGCATCTAAACATTAGTTTCTGTGAGAAAATTGGAGACACAGGAATGTTACCATTACTACGAAAGAGCCCCAAGCTTCGTTCCCTCGACTTGGACAACACGCGTGTCTCTGATCTTACGTTGATGGAAATCTGCTCTCAAATGCGAAAACGCGGTGTTGGGCCTGAACTCCCTAAGATCGGATTACGCCTAGCGGTATTTGACTGCGGAAATGTAACGTGGGCTGGGATTCGCGAGGTCCTTTCCAACAACTGCTCTGTCCCCTGGATGACCTACCCTTCTTCCGGCGCACCAAGTCAGCTCCGTCGACCGACGCCTCCACATTCCCATGGTTACTCCGATGCTGAAGAGGACGAGGAAGGGGGTGACGACGACGACGACAGCTCTTTCACAGACTCTAGTGAAAGCTCTCTCACATCCACACCTTCTGATTCTGGGGCATCCACCCCCTTCCCATCCGCATCACCCCCACTCCCACAGCCAACTCCTCGCCCAAACCTCTACCCAACCGAAATCATAAGCCTTAAATGCTTCTACGGATGGCAGATGACCGTTGATGAACATACAAAACGAGTCTTGCGCGGAAATCTCGCAGCAGCAATGCGCCTTGAGAGGAAATGGGGTGACTACATGATGGCCAACGAAGAAGCAGGTGGCACAACTAGAAGAAGTAGGCGTCGAGCAAGAGACCTGGAGGCTCTTTATGACCTGGATGATGACCAGGAGTATGGTTATGGGCCAGCTGGATTGGCACCATTGGGTGGGAGAAGAAGAAGAGCGAGAAGCGGAGGTTGTCTCGTGATGTGAGAATTTTTGCCATCTCTTTTTTAACGAAAGATTGAATTGCAATGCATACGGAGTTATAACATATATCGGAGACGTACATATTACAAGGAGTTTTCTGATACTTTTGAGCGATGGGTCGTTTCACTTTATTGCGCTGTTTTGACACAGCGACCTATCATCTATAAGCAATATGCTTGCAATTTGCAACCACGGAAGGGGGCATGAAATAATTTTCTACTATGTTTACTCAGAAATTTGCAAAAGACCGCCAGTTTTACACATACCTTGCTGATATTTTTTATATTTCTATCTTTACATGTATTCTTAGATTGGATGGCGGAGTTGCTATCGTTTGAATAAGGGAAACTGGAAACTATTCGGGAAAAGAGAGTGATTTTAGGGATATGAAAATGGAATGGGAACTTTGCCTCCAAAAATATATGTCTTTCAAATGGGTATTATACATTTCATTTCTCAAAGAAACCACCGTCACTTTCATCATCATCACTATTCCCAGTTTCGACCTCCCGCTGGTTCTTCCCATTCAACGACACCCCGCCTTGAACCTCCCTCTTTGACATGGTCGAATAGCCTCCCGTCACCTTACTCTGGCCAGAAGCCATAACACCGCCATTATTCTCTTCGCTCTCGCCTTTCAATCCTTTTCTCTCTCCCGTAACTGTAATTCCCAGTTTTCCTTCCCGTAGCAAGTCTAACGTTCCATCCTTCATGCTCTGCTCTACGGCATACCAAAGCGGTGGCTTCACACTCGACGCATGTCGAATTGGAGCCAATCGTTGCCCAAGCGCTGACCTTTCCTCGTTACTTTTCTCTTCCTCTTCACTTTCTGCCGTTTCTTGTTCCTGACCGTCACTTTCGTCCTTTTTATTCCTCCTTTTCCCTTCCTTCTCCTTTGATTTATCACTAGGGTATAAAGATATGTATTTCTCCGTCAATGGGCTGTATATGGCGTAATTTAGGTCAACCTGAGTGAAATATATTTGCTTCTCAAGTTCGGCTAATCGTTCAGGTTTGGACGGAGATGTCGGCTTATTTCCTTCATCGCCATTTTCCTCCTCGTTTTCTAGCTTCTCTTTCAAACGCCGTAGCTTCTTCAGGTTTTGAGTTGCAGTTTTTCTCTCTATCGCATAGAGATATCAGCACCGATCAAGAGAGCGGAATATATAGCCCAGGAGAAGAAAACTCACCTAGAAACCGGACAAAATGATATTTCGAAATTATAGCATTGCGTGCCCTGTTCTCCTCCACCTTCTCTAGATCCCTTTGGTATCCCTTGAGTGCTCTTTCTTTCTCTACTCTCACGTCCGCAGGTAGATTCTTAGAATGTTCTAGTAGTCGCTTCGTGGCTCGTATTTTGCTCTTGAGATCATTAACCGATTGTCCTGAGGAAGCGTTGGAGTTGTTCCTATTACTCTTTTTAGAGCCGGAGTTTTGCTTGTATGCGTATCGTGGTTTCTTATATTTCTCATGCGAGTCTCCAGTACGACTGCGTTTACCTGATATCGAGCTCATGGTGCGCGGTAATGTGATATAACTTCTCCAATGCAATCGATTGGAGAATAACTGAAAGCGCTTTTATGCTGATAATAACTTGCTTACTTTTTTTGATAATAAAGTTTAAGTCTCATCAACCAATAACATTTTAGTACATACAACATTATTGTTAGGTAAGCAAACCCTAATTGTGTAATCGGGCCGTGGTTATTCCGATATCAACTTGAGGTTCCCCAAACATTTCACAGCAGAAGATCGCATGTTTAGGATGAGCACCAGACGGAACGCGCAGAGTTCGTTACGGACGAAGTCGCCTTGAGTGATGAATTTATAACGGCAATGGCTATTAATCCTGGATGATTTACGCCCAATCCGGTTTTTCCTATAGAAATTGACCTTGCAATAGCGTCAAATACCCCACACAGAATGGAGACCGCAGTCCGATGGTCACCAAGCTCAACGATTGACGACCAGAGGTTTCTATACGTCGATATACCAGGGAAATCTTTCAATTTATGCAAAGTCACCTCTCGCGACGATGTTCTTGGAACTTTGAAGTACGACGTCCTGTCCTCTCGCCACTCGGTTCCAGCGTTTCGAGCCTTCGACTGGTCGTCTGCTGACGAGAACCTAGCTGTTGTCGGGCAGTCATCAGGAGAGGCGGCGGTACTTCGCCTCGACGATGATACACTGAGCCCCATTGTTTTCCCAATACGAAATCAGAGGAGCTGCAACGCCGTCGCGTTCAATACACAAGGGTTGCTAGCTGCTGGGCTGGACAAAGTTAGGAACGATTTCAGTCTTAATATATGGAATGTGAATCAGCGTCTTAGTTTGGGAAGCTCTGCACGGCCATTTGGGACAAGTCGGTACCCGACAGAACCTCTCCGCAAACTAGCTAGTTCAGAGCCGATTACTAGTATCAAATTCTTCAAAGATCACCCAGAGACCTTGGTTGCTGGGGTTAGAGGGCAATCCATAAGAATATATGACCTAAGAGGTACGCATATGTGATACGTTGTACCCCTTGATTTCAATGCAGTACTATACAGCTGAACCCTATCCACACCCTTTTCTAAATATGCCATGTTTATAGAGTCATCGGGTAGTCCATCTCTGCAGTTCATTACGCGATGTGTCCACAACATAGCCATAGATTGGCTAGATGAAAACTATATCGCTGCATGTTTCCCTTCCAACGATGTTGCTATTAGCATATGGGATCGTCGCTCAGGATTCCGTTACCCTACGGCTGCGGGCGCCCCATCTGCTACTGCTGATTCAGGTCCACTCTCTACTGCGTTGGACCTAAAACCAGACATTGAACCTAGTTCCGCAATTTCAAGTCTACGATTTTCTCGAACGGAGCGAGGATGCTTGGGAATGCTAACCACAACTGGAACCTTTCGATGTTATGACATTGCTAAGGAGTACCTTTCTGATGAGCATAAATCATCCTTGGAACTTGCACTAGGGCAGGACTCTAGTAAGCATTATCCAGAACAAATATATACCAGAAAGGTGCAAGATTTCCGGCCTTCAGTCCTCTCATCAAGCAGCGCTGCCAAGAAAGATTGGCAACGGGTTACCTCCTTCGACTTTCTAAATAAAGGAGTGGTATCTCAACCTGTTGCCATAACCCTTTTGGCTAACAAAACTGTCAGCCTATTTACTCCACCACCTCCATCACCTTCGATAGACCTATCTTCAAGATCTTCTTTAAGCAGGGGAGGCCTGGTCCATAGTGACTCCAACCCAAGTATCTTGAACCCTTCTTCTGATCTGGGAATAAATGCATCACAGATCAATTCTAGGATATGTTCTCAGACCTCATTTTTAAAGCGTAAAGAGCTGAGCCACGAGCCTACATCTGATCATCCAGATGAGGAGGTGGATGATATAGATCACGAAAAACGGAATGGCTCTCATCCAATCGAAGATGGACTCTCCTTTGACGATGCACTGTCATGGCTAACCATTCCACGCTTGAGGTGTGCTGAAGGATATTTACTCGACAGCGAGAAAAATAAAGCTATAGTATCCGATGACCCAGCTCTACAGGAATTATGGGACTGGATAGGCCGTGAGCTACCAAGCCACTTGAAATTTTTGTCAATCACTAACGGAAATGCTTAGGCGCACACTCGCGGTCATCTAACGACTCAATGATCATACATGGTGTTGATATGAATTATGTTGGCATATATAGTGTTTGGAATGGGAAGCTTGGTTTGTTAGCCTAGTATACCATGATTTCAAGGATGAAAGTTGCTCACAATACATTAGGGCGAAGTTTTGAAAGTAGGCGCGATGGCTCTGATCTACGTGAAGGTGTAGACATTAGTCACCTTTTTCAAGAATTGGTCCATAAACTAAAATTCGCACAAAGCAAGACTTGTGAATCTGAGTTTCCAGAGAAACGGCAGCTTTGCCTTCATATATGTGGCGCACCGGAATCTAATGATGATCTCGTGAATACAGTGAATCAACTTGTTGCAGATAGGCAACACTCTAAAGCGGCAGCTTTAGCCATTTTCCAAGATGAGGTGAAACTGGCTTACAAGGCACTTAGGGAGAATAAACCAACTCAAGCGCATAAACTTTTGGCAATGGCTATAATTGGAGGCTCTAAGGGTGATGCAGGACCCGACTGGGAAGAGACATGTGCAGAAATTGCAGCTGAGCTCACAGATCCTTATGCCAGAGCTATACTCGCCATGGTTGGTAATAGCGACTGGATGTCAGTGTTGCAAGAATCGACGCTCCCTCTGAGATATCGAGTGGAGGTAGCATTACGCTGGTTACCTGACGCTGAACTCACGAGCTATTTGAGGGATGCCTCCGTACGAGCCATACACGAAGGGAATGTTGAGGGTATTCTGCTTACAGGGCTTGACCACGCAGCATTAGACTTGTTTCAATCCTACATAAACAAATTCAACGACATACAGACCCCCGTTCTGGCAATGTGCCATACAATTCCCCGATTCATCAGAGATGCCCCAAGCAAGGCTCGGTTTGAGGCCTGGCGCGAAACCTACCGACATCAAATGAACTCCTGGAAGCTGCATTTAAACAGAGTCAAATTTGACATTGAGTCGCGGAAACTAGCCATAACGTGGGAATCACGCAGGCTCGTGGAACCACCGCTCCAACAGATTAGTCTTGTCTGCAACTACTGTACCCGGCCCCTTACGCAGCAGGATAATTCAAATTCAGATATCGCAGCTACACCAACAGCTGCTCCAGAGTATTCTCATCCAACACCTGGAAACCCATTAGGCCACGCCTCCATGAATGGCACAGCATGCCCTAAATGCAACCGGCATATGCCCCGTTGTGGCGTATGCTCCTTATGGTTAGGGACTCCTGATCCAATGTCCAAAGCATCAATCGCTGAAGACTCAAAGAAAGCAGCAACAACTGCTCAGAGCCATGAAGACATTATGAGACGGTTTGTGGTGTTTTGTATCAACTGCAACCACGGATTTCACGCAGACCACGCTAGAGACTGGTTTTATAGGCATAAAATATGCCCGGTTGCGGAATGTGGCTGTATTTGTGATCGTTGATATAGCAATCAAGTAATAAGCGGGTATCTTTTCTGTATAGCACTGGCGGAGAATATAACCATCTGGCAATTCTAACTCTTCAACCTCGAGAAATATAGTAAAGACTTTTATTCAAACTATTCCATAAGGTATATTTTGCGGGATAGAACATGCAAAGGCAGACTTGTTCATTTTGCGGAAGCTCAACACTTGAATTCAGTCCTCCACATTCATTGTGACCGCCCTCTGCTTCCCAAGGCTTGCAGCACACACGACGCTCCAGATCAGTTGTGTATTCATCGAGTAAACGACGGTATCTCCACACTGCTCACTGTTGAATACAAATCATAATTAGCGAAACGATGTAGGGTAACGACTACAATTGTGGGAGGACCTCTGAACACGCCAGATCATAGATCCCCGAAGAGGAGCCCTTAGGGCTCGGAATATGTATTATCCTCTCCTCCTTTGAGCTCACCGATCCATCACTCGATCCTAAGCTGGCTGTGCGCCTCGAAGCATAACTATACACCCTTCAGAGCCTACAGACTCTGACTCCGACTCAGACTCCTAGCAAGCGAGATGGTTTCGAAAATGTTACTAGCGAAGAGCATGTGTCCTTGATTCGTTTTGCTCAAGAAACCATCCTTGAAACGGAGCTAAAGAGACGACAAGTCGAAGCCAAGTCTATAACTACCCGTGGACGTACCTATAGGTACTAATTCCTCTTATGATCATTTTTAATCATGTCCGAAGAGCTCATGACACAGGATGAAGCTGTTTCAGCGCTCCTGGCTTTTGTCTATTCCAGCGCTATTGGCTCTCCGAAGGGAAAAGGTGTGGGTTACGCGTTGATCGAAGCGACGCCTACGACCTTCTCCTGGTCGGCGGCCTTGGAAGATATTGGTGCGCAGGCTATGCCTGTTGATCGGTACTGGATTAAAATCGACAGGCGGTCGAAGGAAATATCACCTCCAGAACCCATAGTACTTTCGGAAGCAGAGCTGTCAGAGGCAATTCTGTCGGCCACAGGTCAGCGCCTGGCCTCATCGGCTAGATTCACTGACGGTGCACTGAGCATCTCGTACAAGGTCATGGTACAAGAGAGTCCAGGTACCGCCTACGTGGTCCAGCTATGCCACCATGGCAATGTGGCATCTATGAACTCGCTGATGGCCTTAATCTCAAAGACACTCAACTCTCACATCTTACCAGTGCCTCCCGTGTATCCGATACCCGGAGAAAAGAGACGGCAAGCTACTACGGGTGTAGGAAGGCAGATAACGCTGTTGATACCAGGCGTCATAGCTTCGAGGACGTACCCTCGCCTATATCATGAAGAGAAGCTCGTTTTTGTTCAAAGGATAGCCCTTGCATTCCAGGCCTGCTGGGAGCATCCCACTCCCGAAGCCTCGTCTCATCGGTGAGCTTGTCGCCACGGACGTTGGCGACGATACCATCCTCAGCGTCGAACCCGATCGACATCACGGTCTCGGCGGCCCATTTTCGTCTGTGCGCGAGTACCTCCAAGCATACATAAAGTCCTCACTTGTCGCCCTCGAAAAACAGCAAGGTATCGAAGAATATAAGGAGAAGTTTCTCGAGCGCATCAGGGACTTTGTTAAGAACTGCATGCACAAGATTCCGGCTATTGTCGAGGAAATCCCCATTGTCGCTATGCACTCTGACATGGGACCCCATAATATTATCGTATCCAGCCATACACATATCGACATAGAGGCTGTCATCGATTGGGAATTTGTCGCCAGTGCTCCATTTGCGTCACTTTACCGAATTATCGAGATGTTTTTCCGCAAGCCAGCCGAAAACGGGTTTGGCCCGGAGTACGACCGCGCCAGTGAGCTTCGCGACGTATTCTGGGGAACTATTCCCGAGTGGAAGTTGCAGGTCGAGAGCGAGCCTACCCGAGTTTTCCTGGAGTGGTTTAGATTTGGCTTATTTATGAAGCCCGAGTGGCGGCCGAAGGACCTCCCAGAAAACGAAGCAAAAGAGTTCTGGCGGGAAAACATACGGGTTGTTGAAGGGATCTTGCATAAGTATTCGTGATCTAGTCACTGATTCTACTATGTAAGTATGAGTTTTTGTTCAGGACCATCGATTTGGGCGAAACATTCCTCCGTTGAAGAGGACTTGATACTAGAGACAATCCGCGAACACCGTGACCATGAACACCGTAACCATGAATACCGTGATCCCCTCCATTACTTTGAACCTTCTGTCTCCATCATACAATATTTATTGAGGGTAGAAAAAAACCGCTTGCGTGCCAACTCTCCAGTCTGTCCTCGAAGTGCCTCATCCCATTCTACCCAATCTAATACCAGTTTTTCGTGTTGTCGATCGTTTGGGGAGAAACCAAAGGCAGCCGTATCTAGCTCTAGTTTCGGTGGATTGAGCAGCCGGGACGAGTCGTAGAATCTCTTCAATAGTGTAAGCAAGACGTATGAAGTTGCGGCATGTCGATTGTACTTACGATTCGTTCGCCACTCAGCTCCGCGCCGCCGTCAGGGCCTCTCCTCCAGATTTCAAGATAAGCGGTTATATTACCCACAAAGTTAACACCATGTATCTCTGCAGCTCCTTGGTTGAATGAGGCTACAGTATCGGTGTTGATATATGCTTGTGGGTTTGCGATCACGTATTCGGGGAAATGGCTGAACGCGCGTTTGGAACTGAACCGTGGTCGTTCGTCCAATTTGATAAGGAACGCGACATTAACTTCAGGCATAACTTTAAACCATTGATTAATGCTTTTCTCAAGATTCGACGCACTTTCTGTGAATCCTATCTCCGCGACGAATACTATTTTGTTTGGTGGGATCTCTCCACTAGGCGAAGTGCGCTCCCGTCTCGCAATCCGAATGTCGGGAATTTTCATCGCAGCTTTTTTCTCTTTAGAGGGGGTGCTCGTGTTCATCATCACTTGAAACGAATAATCCTTATTACCCCGGGTTACTTGCTTCAACGTATTAGTAACGAGATCAACAATGTTCCAGATTAGCGCGTCGTGAACGTCCGACGGCGGTGCGCGAAGCACGGAGGCCGTATGAAAGCTATCCCCATACACAAGATAACCCGAGGGTCGACCCCACCTATAGAAGAGAGTTAGTAAGAATAGAAAACAATGCAATTATTTCGCTATATACGTACCTCCCACTAAGGGAGCGCTCAAAACCGTGGACAATCTTATTGTAATCACGCTGAGATAGATCTTTGAAGACAAGCACATCATGATCACAGTCAGTAGGGAATCGCCCAGTAAACAGGTCTTTTACCTGCGAGGGGCTCAATGGAATACCGCCTTCGGCGACGAGTCGCGTGGTAGGGGGTTTAGGTACATCGGTCGAGACAAGGGGGGGAGTTTTCGTCGCGTGGAATCGGCGGCTTGCCTGCGATGGGACACAGGCTAAAAGGGACTTACAGGGTGCGGGAGACCGTATAAGGCGGCGAATAGAAGACGAGAGGCCAAGGGAGCTCGACAGGAGAGAATGCACGCGAGACAACATCGTCACTAGATGAACGGGGCCGCTGCTTGGAAGTTGTGATTGGAGCGGACGGGAAGAAGAAAAGAAACTGACAAGGAGTTGATGTGGAGTTCCCTCTGTGCGATAAGCCTCGAGCTCTGAGCCCTAAGCCCTAAAGAAGTCTCAGTCTGCGCCAAACCCAAACGGGCTGCACTATGCCTGGACGGGCGGCGCTAGACCCGAAGGAGCGATATAGTAAGCAAAATCCATATTCTACGTAATTAGCCCTTATTTATAATAGTGTAGAAAGCTCGTACTTGAATTTAACTCGGCGGAGACCAAAATAGGAATGGCGCTTGTGACTGAAACTCTAAATGGTATCCAATATTCGATGGAAATTCAGACTCATAAAAGGATAATAAACACAAACCGCATCATATATCAATGTTTTATATAAGAGCGCTGAAGGCACTAACGCTACAGTCGTACCCAAACCTCCAAGTCGCGAAGCTCTATTCCCACTCTCATTTTCAAAGGCGGTATTTCCGTCTCACCTCGCCACGTTCCGTCCCGCTTAGAGCTCGGTTTCCCTCTCCCATCAATATCCAAATGGCACCGCCTCGGGGAAGAGGCGGTAGGGAGCAATCACGAGAATATAGAATATCGAGAGAACTTACGTTCATACTACGGCATGCCGCTGAAAAGGAGGGGATTAAAATCGACAGGCAAGGCTATGCTAACGTGGGCGAACTAGTCAGTACCCTCTACAGACACTAGTTGACTCAGAAGGCTAATAAATGGTCAAGTTACAATATAGGAAACTCAAGGGCCTAAAAGCGACCCTAGCAGATGTCCTCGAGGCAGTTTCCACCTCCGATAAGCAGAGATTTGGTCTTCTATACATCCCCGACCAACCCAGCTTGCCCGAAATAAACGCAAAAGAAGAGGCGGCTACAGGCGATGAGTCCTCTCTCTTGACTGCTACCAATCAAGCACTCGCCGCCAACGATCCGGATCCGAATAACTACTTAATCCGTGCCAGACAGGGGCATAGTATGAAGTGTATTGACTCTGCCTCTCTTCTTACACCACTTACCCTCTCTGAAAATCCCTCCGTTCCCCTACCTGAAACTGTTGTCCACGGAACCTACCATGCTACCTGGCCCAAGATACTCCAGAGTGGCGGGCTGCGGTGTATGGGAAGAAATCACATACACTTTGCCAGTGGGCCACCTATAAGCTCAGTTCTGCCTAATGGGAGAGGCGGTGAGGTAGCGACGCCTCCAGCCAAAAGCCATGGACGTGATAGTGTAATTTCCGGGATGAGAGCAGATGCTCAAATTTTGATATATATCGACCTTAAACGCGCCCTAGCTGCCGGCTGCCCGTTCGGCATAAGTGAGAACGGTGTAATTTTGAGCGAGGGTATATCTTCCGATGGGACTGACGATAAGAAGATAGGACTCGAATTCTTCGACATCGTGGTAGAGAGGAAGAACGGTCTGGGTATTTTATGGGAGAACGGGGTGTTAGTGAAAGAATCGCCCGATTGGATGTTAACTGCAAAGGCTCCAGTCGGGAAGGGTGGTCAGAGGCAAAGGGGTGGGAGGGGCCAAGCCTCGGCGCCACGACTGAAGATAGAGAAGGATACAGATTGTGTGGAGGAAGATTGATGATATTATCTCCTATACGTGCTCTATACCCGACTAGAAATCGTGTGGTGTACTATTCTACGTCCTCATCCTCAGCCTAGAGGCGAGAGTAAAGGAGATGGCTACTGATACATAGCCCCTGGAGTGACCTACTCTGTACGTGTCCTTCCATATGCTCCTTACAAGAGTAGCTGAATATTGTTGTCTCTATCTCTATTTACGACATTGTCTTGGCGCTTCGGGAGTAACATGAGCTTAAATAAGGTTAATTTTTGGTACATAAAAGGAGGATTCTATCAGGGCAATAGGCGAGCCCCACATCCACACAACAGCATCAATGGTGTAAGGGTAGCACGGGTGCCTTCCATTCACAATTGGTCTAGCACCCAATCCGCGTTCGAGTCGCGGTTGATGCACGTTAATCACTTCGTTTTTTTGGTTCCATCATTGATATCTCTCTTAAGAAATTGGAACCTTTCTTGGTCGGCAGAATGCTGCTGTGAAGTGTTAAGTATGATCCTCATGTTACAACGCCTGCTCCAATCTCCTCCTCAATCTCTCCAGCTCAACCTTACAATCTTCAAATTCTCGCTTAGCATCCTCATACTGTTCATGCGAAACCCACCCATCCTTTCCCAGAAGTTGTGTTCGAAATCTCTCAAATTCACCAAATGCCTCGCCCCATTCCTCAGCCTGCTGACGTGCCTCTTTGATCTCTTCCTCAGTGAATGAAATAGGGCATGTTGGTGTTACGCCATTTTTGCGTGTTAACTGGTCCCATTTCTCATAAACTTGCATAAGTAACTCTCTGAGCGGAATTGGCCCATCAAACGCAGACTGCTGGACGATGTAAAATATAAAAGAGGTGGGGTGTTCGTCGTTCCTCATAGCATCCATAGCCTTGACTTGAAGAGGGTTCATTTTCCTCGAGGCAAGCTCGTAGAATTTCTTCAGCCTTAGACGGTCAAGCGACTCTTCAGCGAGCCTTTTCTCCTCCGGTGATAAGGCGTCAAAATCTTCTGGGAGTGTGGGCTGGATGGCACCCCAAGGGTATGGATCGTCGCAATCGAATATTGATGGGAATCTAGATTGCATAAAAAGCGGGGAAGCATATGTTCCTTGCCAGTCGATTATACCCGAAATTTTTGATGGATCGGTTGCATCAACGAAGATGTTATCGAAGTGAAGATCCTGGTGCATTAGGATGGGTTGGGTGATTTCAGAGGGGGGTATAATGTAGGGTAGGATGGAAATGAACTGTTCTAGAAGTTTAATGTGAGGCTTAGACAACGATGGGGTGTTGACTCGCTCCCAAAAAGACAATGTTTCCTGTGCATTAGTTACACTCAAATCCTGTATTGAAGATATCTCCCGTCTTGCAATAGCGGTAAGATATTCCACGGCCGTTTTCCCTTTAAACGGTCAGCTAATATAGCCTAGTTACTGGTTCATGACTGGACTTACAGGGGCCTTGATTTCCTTGTTTCCCGCCCTTTTCAACGTAGAACGCTCTCTCAGTCGTTGGGCCTATGACAAACCGGGATGCATCCTCTTCTCTCCCACAAGGAACCCTATTTGGGCTAATTGCCTCTATGTATTTAGGGTCACTATCTCCAAAACGAGCTTTATAATATAAGCTGCCATGCCCCATAAACCTAGTGTTTACAAGCTTCATCTCAATCTCAACAACGCTCTTAACCAAATCGAAACGCTGTCTTTCAGACATGCTGTCCCAAACTTCGCTCAATTGACGGCCGCCCACTCTCTCCATCAATATGTACTCGACGCCCACTGGATTTGGCTGTGATTCTGGGGAACTCCAAGCCAAAACTTTGGGGACAGGAATGTCAAGGACGGTGCCAAGCTAAATATGGCCAACACTTGAGTTAGTAGTCTGCTATTGAATTGTATTCAGACATAATCTAGAAGGGTCACCTACAAAATCAAGAGTTGCCACTTCGCTGGAAACCACCTGGCTTAAATGACCGATATTCGGGTTAGGAATTCTTGCTAAGACATCCCTGCCATCCTCCATTTCCAGAGAAAACACTTTGTTATAAAGCCCTTCCGGCAATTTCCTTAACCCAATGCATTTGCTGCCAAGTGCTTGGGAAGCACAACGCTTGAGGGCTTCGGCATTGAACTCAACATAGCGTTTCCTCAACTGACTGTTTTCATTGTAGAGCCAGCGGCCAGATGTGTAACTGAAGAGCTCGTTGTTTATATGGAATTGCCCTGTGCCTGTTAAACTGGCGAGGCCTCGAAAAAATAACTGCTTCCCGAAGAATGTATAAAACCCCTTTTGTCTTCTCAAAGTATAGCGATATAGTATGAGACTGGCCATATCCTTCTTTTGAGCACTCTAAGGGATAAAGCCCGAACAAAATTGCTTGGTGTATAACTAATTAATTAGTTATAACCCGCTTGGTGAGAGCTCGGCACATGTTTGGTTAGAGTCTTGATATGGTCCGCGTGGGGGTATAAAGCTATAGTATTCTATGTACTATTGAGCGTTGATATATTACAAAAGGTATGTGGTCGTTATTGCCATAAACAGTTAGTTAAACATGCGTTGCACGTGACCACACCATCCTCTCTGATGGAAACATCAACACCCAAAACTATCACACACTATCTGGAGAACTAGTCTTTTCTTTTAAATGCATAATGAAGAGAGTTCTTGCATTTGATATTCTAACTAATATACAATAGCCATTGTTGATCGGTCTATATCAGATACTGGAAGAGATAATCGAGACGTCAACCAGATTTCCCCTCCTGTGCTGCATTGCGTATAGAACCGGATTATGCATTGGTGAATACAGAGTCTCAGGTCATTTGATAAACATTCGATATCTTATAACCACTATCTTCCCCGCTTGTATTCCGGTCGGGATGACAATGGACACAAATGCAAGGTTTTGCGCAAAAAACATAACCAATCTACTTCCATTCAAGGTATATACCATCTACATCCACTTATTTAGAGCCACCTAACCAGGTGATGTAATGTCCTAAATCAGGCCAATATGATATATGCTGAGCAACCATTGTCGAGCAAGGGATGATACCCAAATTTATTCCATATGCTGCTCAACCATAGTCCGTGCCACAGCTTTCCAGCTATGCCCATTGGCTATATACTACTCTGTGGCCAGGTATAATGAGAGGCATACTTGAATATCATGGTATTTGTTGTGAAACGGCCTGGGCCGGCAACTTCCTGAAAAGGCATACAGTTAATCTGCTCACGAGAGGGGATTGTTGTTGAGAAACAGAAAATCATGTCGGCATGGTTATATATTTAACCATGTTCCTCCTCTCTAAACTAGGCTATATAGCTGAACAAAATACTCAAACTGGCCCCCTACTCCATATCAACAGAAGCACTTTTTCCCCCTCACCACTGGCAACGCCCTCCCAAGTCAAAATGAACGATGACTTTGAATTCGCTCAGCGGGGGCTTTTGAGTACTCCTAAAAGGTCTTTAGTGATTTCGGACTTTGGGAGAGATGTCGTCTGGAATTTCAATGCTTATGCCTTCCTTGAAGATGAGGCTCCTAACACTGTCAACAAATTACTATGGAGACAAGGACAGCTCTGCAGTGCAACACCCGGGCTCTATCAAGTCATCGACGGTATTTATCAAATCCGCGGATATGACCTAGCTAATATGAGCATTATCCAAATTCCGAATTCCAATGGGATCATTATTGTCGACTGTTTGACCTCAGTTGAGACAGCTCGAAGTGCCATAGAGCTCTACCTAGATTACTATAAAGACAAACATAACCAGGACGCAGAAATCAAGGCTCTATTCTATACCCACTGCCATATAGATCATTTTGGGGGTGCACAGGCAATTGTCGATCTCGCAAAGGCAGGTGGTAATAGTAATCTTCCAATTTATGGTCCTGACGGGTTTCTTGAGCATGCGGTCAGTGAAAATATTTACGCCGGGGCAGCAATGACGCGACGATCCATTTACATGTACGGAGAAGTTCTACCCAGATCTCCTGAAGGGCAGATTGGATGTGGACTGGGACAAGCTGTGTCTACCGGGGCCTCCTCGCTTGTGGCACCATCTCATGTCATCACCGAGGACGGCCCTCTAAAAGTAGCTGTTGAGGGCCTGAAGATTACTTGCCAGCTTACCCCGGGAACTGAAGCACCTGCAGAAGTAAACTTTTACTTCCCTGACTACTTGGCGCTGTGTATGGCAGAGAATGCTACCCATACCCTGCATAATCTCCAAACACTGCGTGGTGCCCCGGTACGCGATGGACGGCTCTGGTCACGGTACATGGATGAGTCGATAGCACTGTTCGGCGATAAGACTGATGTCGTATTTTCTAGCCACCACTGGCCCACCTGGAAGGAAGATAAGGATCTTGTGGTTAAGTTTCTGTCTGAACAGCGTGATTACTACGCCTACCTTAACAATGAAACGCTTCGGCAGCTCAACGATGGAAAAACCCCTTTGGAAATCGCAGAAGATATCCAGATGCCTCCGTCGCTGAGTTCCAGGACTAATCTCCGTGGATACTACGGCTCTATAAGCCATAATGCCAAAGCAGTCTATGACAAATACATGGGTTGGTTTGACGGGAACCCTGCATATCTATGGCCTCTTCCCCCTACTGCAGAATCGATCGAATTCGTCAAATGCATGGGTGGAAATGAAGCTGTTCTCAAACTGGCCCAGGGGTATCGTACTGACAAAAATTATCGCTTTGCGGCCACGCTCCTTGACAAACTTATCTTTGCAACCCAAAGCAACCCAGCCGAAAAGGACGGGGAGACTGCAAAGCAGGCAAAGCAAGAACTGGCAGCCGTGTATACCGCACTCGGATACGGTGCAGAAAACGGGCCGTGGCGCAACATCTACCTGACAGGAGCATATGAACTGAAAAACGGGGCCACAGCAGCCGTCAACTCGGTTTCGTCTCAGTCAATGATGAACGTAAGCTTAGACCAGCTATTCGATACGATAGCTATTCTCATGGATGGACCAAAGGCCTTCAAACAGCCCAAGGTCTATCTTGAGAAGGAAATCTCAATTGACTTCATGGTTGAGGACATTGCGCAGCTTAAAAAGATGGGTGCTGGCTGGCACATGAGACTGAGCAATGCTGCCCTCACGGGGCATGCTGTCGGATACACTGCGCCTCCAAACCCACGCAGCGCCGGCGTTGCTCTCACTGTCTGGCTCAAGCATGAACAGCTCGTGAGCCTTATCGTGGCTGCAGCCACTGGTAAAAACCCCAACCTCGACAACCTCACTATCAGTGGAGACGTGGACGCTTGGGCCAAAGTCATGGCCATTATTACACTCCCAAGCACCGCATTCAATATTGTGACGCCTTGAGCATGATTGTTATATTTTATCACTTACGATAACATTTCGATCACTATCATTTAAGCGTTTTTCTTTTTCTAGTCTCTCATATCTACGGGCTTACTATTTACGAAATTGAAATGTTCACTCACACTCTTAATAAATATCATTGTCATTCTCTCGACTGGGTTTGGATGTAGCACACTGCAGCGAGACACAATATCGAGCTTGGGAGACACCTTGAGAAAGGTGTTTATACACCAAAATCAGCTGGACCAGAATGAAGGGCACGATTTTTTGATGTAATCAGTGGAATGTACTTCAACATCTGCAGACATGGCAGCTTAAATTCCTTCTTCCAGACGTGTTTGCAATTGATCTGAGGTGGGTCTAGATATATGGCTTTCTCCTTTGTCTTATATAAATCTTGCGCCGTGGATTAAAGCGGACGCATGCACTCTTTTGGCTGTAGGGAGTGGTTCTCCCTGACGGGGCTCTTGAATATAAGCTTCTTGTTTTTTCTGACATAATAGGGGTGTTGCAACGCTGTGGCATGATGTTCTGACGGAATCATGATCTAGGCCCTAGTAGCGTTACTACCTGCTGTGCTACGTGTGAGCACTTGATAGAAGGGAACGGTCAGTTCTGACAGGCTCGGAGTATCAGGTTCCTGATATCTAGCTCTCCAAGCTTCACTTTGGGTATATATGGATGTCAAATAATGTCGGGACCTTGGGCCATGAGACCACGGGACAAAAACGGTCTATCTGCCCCATGGAAACATGAATGATAAAGAGTCGAACGGATGACTAATCCAACAAATAATCGTCCTGCAAGTCCACCAAAGAATGACTAATCACAGTGCCTGATGACTAACGGAGCCATTCCTTAATTGGGAATATGCTGTTGACTCATCAACATGACTAAGAAGACCAAACTTACCCATATTCAACCAATGGTAGTATTATATGAATAAATAACCCATGTTCAAGGAAGCATATTAGCGAAGAGAATAAAGGTGGCAACGACTATCTGTTTCAAGGGACAAACGCGAGATCACAAAAAAAAAAAAGGAAAAAAGGTCTGGCCAGTTGGCAAGCCGCTTCATCAGTCAGCATATATAACACACACTGTCGTAAGCAAGAGCTTCTTCCCCCCTAAGATGATCAAGAGGTCCACTTGCCCATGTTTAATCTTAACCTCTATCGATCAATATATCCAAAGGTAGATCGCCATCACCCCCCTTTTTTCCCTATTTTCTCCATAAGGGGGCCCGCGTTGGATCGTGTTTAAGCAACGTCCCGTCAAGGCGGTTTCACCCACCGTTTCAAAAAAAAAACACACACACACATAACATGCTTCATCCGGCTCGAGTTGAATAAAACAGCCAGAGATCGAGCTCCTGGACATATATCTGTCCGCGTATATATGTGACTATGGGTATGGAATAAAAGGCGTCTTGATTCAGTGGTGGCGGCGAGCGCTCAGGAGGCGGTGAAGTCTAAGCCTGGAACTCTCATGATGAGTACTATGTAAAAAGGGGTGAGTGTGGAGGGCGGTGTGGTAGTTAGACGTGGCGTCTGTGAGACCTCTTGAGAGCAAGTCTTCTCTTATCAGTGGTATTTTATCTGATAGTGAGAGAGAAAGAGGAGGACGACCAAGGTAGATGACGAGATCTTTATATATGGATACATGCAACATGGCGGCTATTAGGTTCAACCAATCACCAGCGGGCGCTCTGCAAAATCGACAAGATTTATCTGATCCAATGTAGAAGGGGCTTACTCCCCTACAAAAACCAAGGGAATACTTTTTCGCGTCTTCTCCTCAAATCTATCAAGTGTAAGTCTCAAGCACCAGCCTGATTCTGTGTCAAATATGCCATTCGGCCAAAAAGGCGAGCCCGCACCAATTGGTGGCAGGACCGGTAATTATATATTTCCATATTTAAGTATCTTTTACTCCGTACTAATATATGATATAGTACATTAGGGCACGAAATATGCCGCCCGAGTCATATGAAGAATTTGCAGCCATCCTAAAGAGCCGTGGATGCAACAGTATTATGATGAACGGGGTGGTTTGTTTCCAATCGCTTATGGGCTGCAGAGTGAACAGTTTTCACCTGCAAATATATCTGGTAATAAGGCTGAGTGAAGGTTAGTACTTTAAGTATAGACTATCGTTAGCAGCCATTATACAATAAATTGTCTACCTTGTTGATCGAATATCTTGAGTGTCCCGATTTTACAAGTGTCGGCACGTTGGTGACACCGTACATATCAACACAAAACTGCTCGTCAGGCAGCAAAAAAGAGGGGAAGAAAAGATGGAGAAACTGGCGAGTGAGGAGAAAAGCGAGGAACTCGTGGGCGCGCGCGCATCGGGCGTTCGGGCGTTCGGGGCGGTCATGCCGGAAAGGAACGGAGGGGAAAAGAGGGAGGAAAAGTTCAAGGAAAATGTCTCCAGGAGGGGATTCGCATCAAGGATATCAAGGATGCCAGGGGTGTTACCTCTAGGATCTCTCAGGGAGATCTCAAGGGAGGGATCGCTCTCAGGGTTCTCGGTTCCGGGGCCATGTTACATCCTGTAGCACCGACCTCTTGTCCGACGCGCAAGGTGTCTTGAATAGTAGCGTAGCAGTAGTGGACAAGTACATAGTAGTACGTAGCTATATATATGGTATACATAGTACGATGATTACGCGAGGAGGAGGCGGAGTAAGCGAAGGATGGAGCTGAAGCCTTGGGGGGAGGAAGACCAACATAGCCTGCGCATGTTAACTGCCGAGTAAAAGAGGGAGAAGGAGAAGACGTCACTTGCACCACTTGGTTAGCGACTTTTTGCATCATCGACGACCTTGAGAGAAGTAAGAGAAGAAGAAGAGGCAGAAAGAGTGGAAGAAGGAGGGCAGGTGGTTGGCTGGGGTGGAGTGGCCAATGGGGAAGAAGGAGACGGGCAGCCGCTGGAAGAGGGCGACGATGTCTGGCGGGAAGCGCGGGTGGAGAGCCAGACGAAGCATGAGACTTGGACCTTCGAGGAAGCAGGAAGAAGCAGGAAGAAGCAGGAAGAAGCAGGAAAGGAAGAAGTAGGAGGATGTAGGAAGACTCTCTATCTCTATCTCTCTCTCTCTTTCTCTCTCTCTCTCTCCCTCTCTATCTCTCTCTAAGCGATGGTATTCTATCTACATACGGAGTACCGTAGATTCACGTCTTATGTAATATCTCTGAGTCAGCTCACGTGCACCCACCAGATCGGGTCAACCCGGGCTAGTGCCCAAAGCAGACTAGCGTGCGGGAGACCCAAGGGATCCACCTGACCTTTTCCCAGAAGGTCTTGGCATCTTCTCCTTAAAGGAAGGTCTCCACTTTTTATTTTTCCTTTTCTTCTTCTTCCTTCTTTTACTTCTTCGTCTTCTCATCGCAAAAAAACACAAGAAGCAGAAGAAGCAGAAGCAGAAGAAGAAGAAGCAAAGGAACAACAAGCTCGCCCTCACATCGCCAACAAGTTTTTCTTTATCTTTTTTTACTTGAAAAGAAAATCCCGCCTTTTTCTTACTCAAGACTTGTACATTCTTAATATCGTCCGCGTCCGTTTCCTTTCTCCCTTCAACATCCATCACCAATCGAAACATATACGCAAGACAGGCTCTTATAGGGAGTCTCTCTCTTGTGCACTCTTGATACTGCTTGTGTGGTCTACGTATTGTAGTCTTCGCTGACGTTGGTTCTTCCTTTTGCCTTCAACCGTCTGGCTGCATCAAGTCACATGCTAACAACCCGGTCATCATTACAGTCACAATAAGAAGAAGAACAGCCACAGACGACATCATACATCATGGCTCCTCGTTCGGTCACCAAGACGGCCTCCATGGACATCCCCAAGCCGCGCGATGCTCCTCGCCGTCATGCTATGCTGCCCACGCCTCCCTCGTCCATCTCTCCCTGTCTCAACCCCCAAGGCTTCAAGCAGCGTGTCACCCACGAGGTCCTCCACCAGTATAACCTCCGCTCCCCACCGGCTTCCTCTTCCCTCGCCCCCCATGACACACAACATGAGATAGATGCGGTCGACTCGGACATCGACCTGCAGGACACCGAAGACAGGCGTACTTCTGCCGCTAATACCGCAACCCGTAACCACGGCAAGGCTGATGTCTCGGGAGACATCACGCCAGCCATGTTGGCGAGGCATCACCTGCCCGACATCCTGCTGGCACATGGCCCGCTCGCCATCAGGCACATCATGGGCTACCTGACCACCTCGGTGCCCGGATTCGCCATGATACCGCCCGCCAAAGCAAGGAGACTGGTTGTCGCCGGCTTGGAGGGCAAGGCTTCCCTCTCCGCCAACGCTGGCTCCATGGACGACGGTGAGGTCGAGTTCGAGAAGGTTGGATGGGGTCGCTGGGACGCTTACCGTCGTGGCCAGCAGAAGGATGGTGGTGCCGCTACTGCTGCTACTCGTGCTGGCCACGTCAACCGCCAACTCCCTCACTACTACTCCTCTGCCGACTCTCCCATCTTCTCCCACTCAGACTTTGCCCAGAACCACGACATTGACGAGGTGGACAAGATGTCCCTCGACGACGACAACGACGGCCAGGAGCGGATGTACTGCTCTTCCTCGGACGCAGAGGAGGCAGACGTCATGGACGGCGACTGGGACGAGGCTGACATGACCGACGAGGAGGACTGGGCCGGTATCGGTGCAGACGCCCTCAGAGCCCAGTCTCTCGGTCAGGAGCTCTCCATGCCCTCAGCCGTCTACGCTCGAGGCTACGGATACGGTCACGGCTACGGAGGTGGACCCTCTTCCTCTGCCCTGGCCAAGACCGCTCCCATGGCCATGCCAGCTGGTAACGTCGAGGAACGCGCCGCCGTCGAGGCTCTCCTGCAACTCGGGTCGATGTAGCCTCTCCCACACGCATCACCGACACTTTTTAACCTTTCTGCGACTCGACTTTCAACACCGGCGATCAATGCATATATCTTACTCTCTTCTATACATTTTTACCTTTTTAAAGTCCTTATTACACTTTTAATCCCACCCCCAACGACACGACCCGAGACGAAACCCTCCCTTTTTATTCCCATTTTCATGATACAGTACGCGTGGCTGGCCGCGACCGTATACTTATCAACCCACATTCCTTTTTGGCCTCACGATGTATTTTTCTTTTTTTTATCTCTTTCCAGTTCTTAATGTGTTTATTTTCATTTTAACGTGATTTCATGATAAATTTTCATCCTCTCCCCCCTTTTTTTTCTTGGCCGGTTTGGTGGCTTGCATATCTGGAATATGGCGCAGGCTGAAAACACGAAGAACCGAAACCAACGAAACTTCCTACCACACGACCGGTGTCTCCCATCTTCCATGCCAAAGCAGGCCATCTCAACAATGGCTGCATATCTAAGAAAGGATAGGCATAGGGAATAATACAATAGAATATGGCCTGTGGACTGGAACGGGGAAAACTGGAACTGGGAACTGGGAACAACAACAACGGGAACAGGGTGGCGCGTTTACTATGGCTTTATTTGTCTTCTTTTTTTCTGTCTTTATCCGTTCTATTTGCCAGAGATGTCAAACTTCTAGAAGAACAACAAGAAGAAGAGGTGAAAAAGAAAGAAAAAACATCCCTACCGGCTTTCTGTTCACAGTTCCTTACGTTCCTTATACCCAGGATCCCCTTTTTTTCTCTCCCTTTTTTTCTCCTATGTCTTTTCCTTTTAACATGATGATTCCCACCCCTTGTTCCTTACGTGCCTGTTTCTCTTCATATTTCTTTTCTATTTCCTTTTGTCCTGCCACGATACCCCCCCTTGCCCTGCCCTGCCCTGCCTGGCCCATCTGAAGAGAAGGAAAGCCAACTTCCCAACTCCAACTCCATCCTCGAAAACAAGAAAAAAACGAGAAAAAAAAAAGAAAAAGAAAAATAATAAAAACCAACAAAACGAAAACACTGCACGACGCACGTCTTGATGTCTTTTGTATGTTTTTTTGGTTCCCGAAAGGGCGCGACAGCAAGGATTTGAACACCGACAGGAACAAACGCAAACCTGGCTCGACCTTTCAACCTGCTTCAACGGCCCAGCTGATCCGGTCATCTTAGCTGAATTGTACTTGACATCTGGGCCCGTTAAGTCAGTCAGTCAGTCCAGCCAGTCGGTTTGGATCACGGACTGTTCTTCCTTTGCTCGCTCTTCGTTTTCTTTTTGCTTTTCTACCTGCTTCTCTCTCTCTGCCTACTTGGGCATTGCCATATATCTGGCTGGGAGGAATCAGTTCCATGGTCAGACTTACTCGGTCATCTTAACTGTATTGCACTGGGGAGTTTTGACCATTATTCTGCCCTACTCCTTCCGGCGACTGGCTCTATCTGCATATTTTTTTTCCTATTCGTTTTTACTATAGTTAGATAGCCGTTCACTGGCCCTGCTTTGGATTGGGTCATATCGAGATGTTTGATACATAACAACTACAACATATACAATATACTTTAATGAAGCCACGATCCATTACCATCATCTCCTCCCCACGTAAGATAAACTCCGCTCATGCACGATATACCGCAAACATAATCCCGAAGAACAAAACCGCCCATGAAAATATTCCTATAGTCATGCACCTATCTACCTCCCATTAACCCACCTCCAAACCCCTTCCTCCACCTCCGCCATCTTCTCTCCAGCACTCTTCATCCACGAAACAGTAGTCTCCCACATCCCAGCAGCAGAATCCCATATCCACTCATCATCCTGTGCCTGTTGTCTCTGTCCCACGTCCCCGCCTTCCCTGCTCCCATCGCCGAAAAAGTCGTATTCATATACATATCGCCCTCCCGCCTCTCCCGGCGCCGGATCCCACACCTGCCTCATCCCGAGGTGCGAGCCGTCGATGAATTCAGTGCCGTCAGCAGCGGCCAGTGTTGCAGCAGACGGCTGTGCGATTGCTGGATTCTGTCGATAGCCCGGTGGATGTTCGAGGTTAGGCATGTTCGTTCGTTCCAATGCTTGATGGGGAGGCATGTATTGTTGTTGCGTATTATTATGTGAGTGGGTATCTAGGTGGGTGTTGGGCGGTTTCGTCGTCGATGTTGTTCGGTAAAGATGCATTTCCGATGCTTTGGGAGGAGGAGGGATGGAGTTGTTCCTGTTGCGGTTGGAGGTTGTTGATGACGGTACGCTTTGACCTGTCCATGTTGTGCTGTGTCCTGTGTATGGGGTTGGAAAGGGCTGCGGTTGTGGTGGTGGAGGAACCGGTGAGGGCGAATCCTTTGAGATGCTTGTTGGAACCGTTGAAGTAGGGCTGGATGCTGGTTCGGGTTCTGGAGCAGTCGCTGTGGATGTAGGTAGAGATGGTACTGCCGCGGTATCCCCTTGGCCGGATGCTGTGCCCGTTGACGTCTTCAAGGGCTCATTTGCCATTTTCTTTTGGAAGAGCCGAGTCTCAGACTAAGATATAGACGTAACACTCGTCGTAAAAAGGTACATGTATCGTGTGAAGCTCTCTTCTGGTATGTATTATGATAGTAGAAGCGGTTCTACAGATGCAGGATTTGAAGCCCCTACGTCATATCATGTGACCACATGTAGGCGTTGGTTGGACGTGGAAATTGGGACCTGTTGGAAAAGAAATTTTGGGAGCAATAAAAACGACATTTTTCTATCTGACAAGGTTGTACATAGTGAAAACAGACAAAGGTGAAAGGGACCAGGGAGAGAAAATGATTGAATGCCAAGATGTCACCGAAGGAAATACACAGAAAATCAGCAGAAAAGAGACCTCGCAGGTAGTAGTGGTAAAGTACAGATGGGTGAAAAGAAAAACGCGACCCTGTCTCCGATTTCTCTAATGCATCAAGAACGATGATAGGGATCGGTTGTTCTCGACGCACTGTTGTTGTTCCATGGTAATCCAAGCGCTTCATGTCAATCCTCACTTCTCTCCCAGAAGAAGCAACGACCATCACGAATGAACACTCAGCTGGCTGTGATCCATTATGATTAGGGTTGGAATGGGCGAGCCGTTTATTTGTAGGCCTTTCCGAAGAGGAGGAGCTGGGCCTGGTCGTAGATGGAGAGGACACCAGCACCAGCAACACCACGGAGGATGTTGGCACCGGCACCCTTGAAGAAGGAGCGGATACCCTCCTTAGCCATGATTTGACGGGCAGCATCGAGAGAAGAAGAGTACTTGACGGCCTGTGAAGCATGTCAGATATGGATTTCCGTTGGCATATGACATGGTTCAATTCGATACGTACCTCACCAGAAGTCATCATCATACGACGACGGACAGTGTCAAGAGGATAAGAAGCAATACCAGCACCAGTGGTGACAGTCCAGCCGAGCAAGAAGGAGGCAAGGAAGTTACCCTCAAGAGGTCCAACGAGGAGAACGGGCTTGATGGAGTCGTACATTCCGAAGTACAGACCACGGTAGACGACAATTCCGAGGACGGAAGGACCGAAACCACGGTACAGACCAGCAATACCATCGGAAGCGAGGGTCTTCTTGTAGACGTCAACGAGACCGTTGAACTGACGATCACCACCCTTCTTAGCAGACTTGGCGTCGTTGGCAAGACGGGTACGGGCGTAGTCAAGGGAGTAGACGAAGAGAAGGGAGGTGGCACCGGCCATCTATTTTTGCTTGTCAGCAATGGCTGTCTCGTCAATATCCAATAGAGACATTGTTGAACTTACACCACCAGAGGCCAAGTTACCGGCCATCCAGGTCCAGTAGCCATCACGGTCCTTCTTGAAGGCAAACATAGACTTGTAGGTATCACGGAAAGCAAAGTTGAGAGCCTGGGTTGGGAAGTAACGAATGACGTTGGCAGTGTTACCTCTCCAGAGAGAGACCATACCCTCAGTACCAGCGGTTCTGCGGAAGCAGTCCATGATGCCGTTGTACTTGCGGTCGAGACGACCAGTCTTCAACATCTCATCCTAATCGGGTATTAGCGCCATTTTCCGGTTACGAGTGGAAAAATTTTTTTGCAGCAACAGATTCTCGAGAACTTGCCGCGTGCATATTTGGAGGCTAACATACCTGGTTCTGGATAAGAAGCTTAACACGCTCAATAGGAGCGGCAGCAGTCTTGGAGACGGCAGCGGAGACACCACCCACTGTAAAGCGAAAAAAATCTATGTTAGCATATCCATTCTACGTGTTTTCTCTCCTGCTCGCCAGGCGCCATCGACAGCCTGATGATTGCAGTTCTTTTCTTGCTTCATGTCTGAATTGATTCACGTACTCATAAAGTCCACGACGAAGCCCTACAATGGTGAGATGTTAGCCGCCCATGCCCGGGTGAAAATTTTTTCCCTCTACTCTTCATCAGCCATCGACAGCATCGATTCCATCCATTGTACAGTCGCAGCCGTGGCATCGACGACTACTCCCATCAATTGAAGGTCAAGCTGTCTCTGATCCTGTCTGGGGGCCTACTTACGGGAACTCCGAAGATGGACTTGTCCTGTTGGCTAGCCATTGTGCCGGTATGTGATTTCTTCGTGGAAAAGAAGAAAGGAAGAAACGAAGGAGAGGAGATGGAAGAGAAAGGCAAGCAAAAGCCTTCAAAGAGGAGAGAGGGATGCAAATGAAGCTTGGAGATGGAGGGAGAAAGAGAAGAGAGAGAAAGAAGAAGAAGAGAAAAAATCTGAAAGGGAAGAAAAAAATCCTCAATTGGGTTGTCAGGGAGGAAAGGGAAAATCTGTTGCGCTAGTCCTCTTTGGGCACAGTTGTCGCGTTGCCGAGTTCTCCCGAGATTTGCCCCGGAAGGAAAAACTTTTCTCTCTCTTCTTTTTTTTTCTTCTCTTTACAAGGTTGCTTCTTTTCCTCACCTTTCGCCGCTGGAGGAGTTCCACTCGGAAAACCAGAGACCAGACGTCGGCGCTCCCTCACTGCCTGCCTAGGTAACCCAACCCGCCCGTGTTCCAAGGAAGAAAGGAGGTGTGAAGCTGGGGAAGGGCGATGCTACCCACAAGACATATGCAAGGCTTTGCTGGGGGTGTGGACAGGCAGTAATACAGGTAATACTGGCCGGCCACTCCTGGCGCCAAGATGCAGAAGGGCTGGTACATACATGTATTAATCTGTACTCTGTAATACGAGGCTTCCCGTAGATATGCTCGTTTTCACGGCTGCTTCAACATGCTTCAACAGGTCGCCACAGAGGAGACGCCGTTGTTGCAGGTCGTTGCGGTCGTTTGGCTCTTGATACAAGAAGCTTTTTCAAGCCGTCAAGGCTGATTGCTTAGTAATCATTAACAAACGGTAACATCTAAGGTGCTATGTAGTGCTATGTAAGTCTTATGTACGAGTAAGGATATACGGATCAATGTTTCCTTGACCGTTTGCGACGCTTGCTGCTACCTTCTCGGATGTCTACCTTTGTCTCTCCATCTGCTTCTGGAGTAGGGACAGGTTCAGCTGTCAATTCAGGCGGTTCTTCCGTTCCAAAGGTCTGCTTGCGCCATTCTCTCAACCTGGCCTTCTTCCCCAGTCGTTTATGGTCACGCTTCTTCTTCTCTGCGTCGCGGAAGGAAGCTAGTTTCTTCAGGCCGGCATACTGGTTCAGTTGGGAGTCGTCTGCCATGAGAATGTCCCGCGCAGTCAGGCCATAGGAGACAGGAGACGACTCTCGGTAGCGGAATGCGCCTCCGAACTTCTTTGAGGAGCCGGGTAGGAGAGACGGTTCGAGCTCAAGAGACTTGTCGGCAAGAGCCTCGATCTTTCGCCGTTCTCGCTTAGCCTCCTTTTGCTTCTCCTTCTTATCCTTCAGCATCTGCTTCTTCGACTTTTTTGCCCCGTCATGGTCGTCTTCCTCTTCCTCTTCTTCGGCTTCCATGTCTACATCTAACTCCTCATCAAAGTCAGGCACCAGGTCGCCAATGTCAATATCATCGTCCCATTTTGGCTTCTTTAGCCTGCGCTTCTTGGGACCTGCACCATCATCACTCTCGTCCTCCTCCTCGCCGGCAGCATAGTATTCCTCTCCAAACCGCTGCTTCATCTCCTTCTCCCACTTCTCATCATCCCATCCCTCATCCAAGAACCTGCTCCAGTCCTCATCTGCAAAATCGCTGCTCTTCACGCCAGCCGCCTTCTTAATCTTGGCAAGCTTATCCTCGAGCTCTTCAATCTTCAACTTTCGCAGTCTTGCTCGCTCTTCTTCACGCTGTTTCTTCTCTTCTTCTTTTCTCTGGCGCTCTAGTTCCCGTTGGCGCTTTCGGCCACTGACCTCCTCCCTCCTAACGGAATATTTGGACGTAGTGTCACGGGCGTGGGTACGTATAACTTCATTGAGTTTGTTGGGATCCTCAAACCGTAGGTTATACGCTTCTTCAAACTGTTCGGCTTTCTTATCTTCCTCTTCGTCGTCGGATTCGAGGGGTTGGAAGCTGGATTTTTGGGTTGGTACCCAGGCTCGAGAAGCCATGAAGTTCGATAGGAACGTTTCCGGATCTTGGTCTGCCTCAGCAACATCCTTCTCCGTTATTGTAGGCCGGTCTGACTTGGGCACCGGCGCTTTCTCTTTGCGAACCAAAAACCCTTCATCTTCCTCTTCATCGTCCTGCTCCCCGTCCTCTGCTGTAGAATGCATCTCCTTGAGAATCGACCGTTTTAAGTCTTCCTGTTCTTGAGCATACGTTTTCGGCGCATCTTCGTCATCGTCGTCCACGTCCGGACCACTCAGTAGATTTCGACGATGATAATCCTTAAGGAACATTGGTTTTTCTCCCTTTACTGACTCGGGTTTTTCACCCTCTGCATTCTCTGTATCGTCCAGGACAGTATAAAACTTCGCATTGGGATCATAGACTTTTGGATCTTTAGATCGAATAGCTTGCAGTGTAGCCGCAATCTCCTCGTCCAAAGCCTCAGTTACAAGCTCAGCAACATCATCCTCTTCCTCAGAGTCCTCAGAACCAGACTCCTCTTCGTCTTCTCCTTCGTCTGCAGAAGGCTTGCCTTTGGGAAGCGGTCGTTTGCCCAACTTGTTTTCAACTAAAAGGAACAGGTTAGATTCTGTCCCCAACGTAGGTGCTTTCAATGAATTGAGACTAACGCTGTACCATTTCCTCCCTCTTCTTATTATATTCAAACCTCCTTGCATATTCCTTGTTGACATTGAGCTTGAAGTCATCTCCAATTGCGACTCCAGCGCCCTCGTCTTCTGAACCACTATCCTCAAAAAGCACCTTCTTCTGGCGTTTGTTCGGAGGCTCCATGATAGCGCAGGAGGAAAAAAGGACACAATGGCGGCTAACTAAAAGAGTGTCACTGGGTCTTAAAGAGTGTGTCAAACCTGTGAACATCAATGCTCTCTCAGTCTTATCAAAAATGTTTTTTTTTCCCTTCCCTTCGCACTTAGTGGGTCGTTCACAGGTCACGCATCGCCGGCCAATGATGTGGTCAGCCTTAAAGCTCACCGGTTTGCTGACTCAGCCCTCAACCCATGAGCTTTCTTGATGTTGACAAGGTTGAGCGAGAGCAGCAAAAGCCTCCGCCTGCAATATGGCAACTTTTATTCCTGGATTTATATATTTCCTTCTTATTCCCTTTTCTCCCTCTCGTTAACTTGGAGTGTTCCACGGGTGGAGCTTTGCTACCTTTTTGCTGAGTTCGTCAGTATCTGGGCGTTAGATCGGGCAAGTCGTCCAGATGGCGTCACAGATACAACTGTCAATACCGCAGGAAGGGAAACTGGTAAATGTCGTGTGAGTACAGAGACTGTATCGTCCGTCTTTTTGAATACAGGCTTAAACATGCTACTGGAATGATGCTAACGCTACAGTTTAGCCCGGTAGTTTTAAAAGAAGCCGCCCTAGATTCACCGAGTTTTCGGGCCACTACAGTACATTTCTCTGACCAGATAGATTATATGGAAAGATGGCTCGACAGTTATATAAAAACTACCGGGAGACTTACGTCTGAACTGGCCTCTCTGGAAAACATATCGAATGGCATTCTTTCTCATATTATATCACCACCAAACGTATCTGAAGCCATCCTCGACCAAGACTATGCCTTGCTTGCAATGAAGCGATATGGGGAGTGCTTTAGAGATAGCTGGTCTGGAATGATAAGTGCAACCAAACGGTTTGAGTTACAAGTTGCAGAGCCCATTAGGGCATTCATGCAGGGAGACCTACGGGCGTTCAAGGTCTGATATCTGGGACCCCCTCGGATAATTCGATATTCGCCGCTTACTCTCTTGTAGGAGCTACGCCGTGTCCTTGACCAAACACAGAAACAATATGACCAACTGCAAGCACGGTATTCATCCCAAGGAAAGTCAAAGGAACCGTCTTCTCTGAGAGAAGATGCGTTCCAACTCCATGAGGCTAGGAAAGCATACCTTAAAGCGTCTATGGATTTCTCTGTACAAGCACCGCAGCTCAAGGTTGCGCTTGAAAAGCTTCTTGTCAAAGTATTTTTTGATCAATGGCGGGAATTTCGAATTGTCAAGGACGCATGTTCTGCCACATTCACCAAATACGGACAAGAAATGGAGCGAACCAAGGGCTGGACCCATGAGTTAGAAGCAGGGGAGAAGTCTGCTCGTAAGGATCTCTTGATAGCAAGAAAACAGATCGAAGAATCCGTTGAATATGCGACACGACCTTCTCGAGAGCTGGACGATTACTCTATATCTACAGTACCCTACCTTGGCTCTCGAGGACCTACGTCCGTTAATTTGGCAGAGAATCATGTTTTCTTACCAGAAAAACAAGGCTGGCTAAATCTAAGAGTTCTTACCGGAAAGCCAACTAGAACGGTTTGGATGCGGCGCTGGGCTTTCTTGAAGAATGGCATTTTCGGATGCCTAGTTCAGAACCCCAGAACTGGTGGAGTGGAAGAAAGCGAGCGTATTGGTGTATTACTTTGCAGCATTCGCCCTGCCTTTCAAGAAGAGCGGCGTTTTTGTTTTGAAGTCAAGACCAAAAGCAACACGATAATGCTTCAGGCTGAGACCCAAAAGGAACTCACGGATTGGATCGGTTCTTTTGAAGCTGCTAAACGGAAAGCTCTCGAAAGCCCTGGCTCAGAGTTCTCGGGATTTACGAAATCCAACGCTCCTGATCCTGCATTTGCGATTTCCCAGCCACCTGCCCCTGAATTCGCTGCTGACCCTTCTGACTCTTTAATACCAAACACTAGTGATGAACCGCATACCGTTGAACGTGGTGCCACAACCCCTCTACTAGATCGTGACGCTCTCGGTGTCAGAAATAGCGGTGATTTTTCCCATTCTCGGCGGTCTACTGGTCCAGATAGAGATGCTGACGGTCCCGGCCGTGACCATACTTCAAGAATCATTCAAAAATTGGATATCCATCGGAAACAGAATGCAAATTCACCTCTCCTTGTTCCGCCTTCACCTGGCCAACCGTCTAGTGGCATTGCCAGCTTAATATCCGCTAGCCATAGCATGTTTCCCACAGCGCCTGCATCATCTATGAGGGATGGCGGTGCTGAGAATGGCAAAGTAAAGGGCGGAGCTGCTAAAGGTGACCGCAACCAGACAACCCTTGCGCCATCGACATTAGTTAATCCTCCAGCACCTACAAGCATGAGTAGGATGGCCGTTGTGGTTAGTGCCGAGCGAGGCATTGGTATGGGGCCGGGTGATACAGCAAGTTCTATACCTACCGGAATGATGGCAAACTTATGGGGAAGCTCGCAGTGGGCAATGGTAAACCAACTTCAACGAGAAGAGCCAGTAGTAGCCTCTGAGAACACTCCCGATCGCCCTACAGTATGTTTTCCCTCCCATTTAACTAGTGATATCTAGGACTAACGACAGAAAACTCAGGTTGAAGTCACTCCGGAGACACCCTCTAGTAGCACCACTACTCCTCAGGGCCGGTCATCCATGACACGCCATAGGGCGACGGTCAGCCTTGGAGAACCTGGAGCATTCCACTCTGATGCCATAACAGCACCACATGAATATCCATCTTATTACCCGCAACAGCTAAAGCCCCATGATTCTCAATTCCGTCTACTTTTCCCACATATACCTAGGAGCGAAAGCCTTGTCCTCGTGTTCAGGGCAACATTTAGCCCCAATGACCAACAAGACTTCCCTGGAAGGGCTTTTGCGACAACTCGTAACATATATTTTTACAGCAACCATCTGGGCCTTGTTCTAACAACCTGCGCCAATTTACGCAGTATAACCGAGGTTACTGCTGCACCTGGTAGAGACTGTGACTTCTTGTATCTTCACGTTGTTCCGGAGAAAGGGAGTGACATTCCAGGACGTTTAGGGGTGAAGACGTTTTTGGAGCCCTTGAAACTACTCCAGCGAAGATTAAATTATCTAGTTACCAACGCTGCTCTTGATAACCCTGCAGGTCTAGATACAGTTATCAGCACCTTGATCAAACTAGAGACCAATGGCCCGACAAGGACACCAAGTGTGGATAGCTGGGAGGATGTACCATTGAACACTCCAGCTGACGATGGCACTGTATTACCAAAGCCAGAAAAACTGCTCAAAGCCGGCACATATATCGATAATGATTTGGACATTGATCTAATCAAACAGAACGCTAGCACACAAGCTTCTCGTATAAGGCTACCGGCGCAGCCTGTAATATATGAACCACAAGGAGCTCTTCATCTTGCAGCCGAACAATATGTTAACATGAGCCCGAAAGCTTTATTTCTCGTATTATTTGGGGATAACAGTCCCGTTTGGCAACTATCGCAGCACCAAAGAAGGGCACAAAGTGTGTATCATCCCCTCCTACTTATCATGTTTTATAGCTGATTGGATCAAGATATCAAGCAAGGTCCGTGGGTGACTCTACCATCTTCCCATCTTCGGCGTGAGATGGCCTATCAAATCCGCATGGTTGACACCTTTGGTAAGATTCTACGATAAAACATAGACTCTTAGATTCAACTAATATTGTAAACACTCCAGGGCGATCCCACCTCGCAGACGTTTGTGATTACCAGATAATTGACGTATTCAATGACCATCTCTGCTATGTTGTTACAGACAAGCGAACCCCATGGCATCTTCCATTCAAGCGACAATTCAGGCTTGTTAGCAAAGCCGTTATTACCCATGTTTCGAAATCGAAATGCAAGTTGGCTGTTTTCACAAAGGTCGAATGGATTTTACAGCCTTACCTTATCAGCGGTAAGTCTTGGTAATTCCCCTCCTGGTATTCTTACGAATGCTAATTAGTTTAAAGGCATCATCGAACGACAAGCTATGAAGGAGCTGGAACAAGGTTCATTGGACTTGATAGACCTTGTGTCGGACCAAGTTAAACGACTGGGCCCGTATCCCACAATAAAAACCGCAATTTCCATGTTCGGCAACGTTGGCCATCAAACAGAGACTTCCAATATCATAGTCTCTGAAAAACTTCGATTACAACTACAGCGCCCGTTAAAGCAAAGTGGTTTGCTACCCCTGTTGCTAGAAACCTCTGGGTCACTCTTCCAATCCGCAGCGTCCTCCTTAATCATCTGGTTCTGGGCTCTTCTTCAATGGGTTTGGAAAGTATCCAACGCCAACAAAACTATTCTACTGCTTTTGGTTCTCAGTCTGCTTGTAAACGGATTTCACTCATGGCGTGATACATTAGATTGGTGGCAAGAGCGTAATGCAACCAAGTTTATGGCTCGCCTTGGTGTTCGTCCAAACACGGTAATGGGCAAAGCAATCTACCTCAAAGATATGAACGATACAGTTACGTTGTCTGTAGGGATTCAGGGCTTCAATGGCAGCACCTGGTTAGTTACTCTAATCCAACAATGCGGTTGTAAGGACTAATGATTGACATTTTTATAGCTTTTCAACATTCCGTGAAGAGAATGGATTGATGAGAACTGATCTACTATTACCACCGTCAGGAACGCCTGCCCGCAATAAGATTTCGCAGAGTGCTGCCTATCGGCTTCAACGTACTCGCGAAAGACTTGGATCCTACCGCCACAACCTCCTCGTAGGGTTGAGGGTGGTAAACAGTATAGAAAGAGAAGTTCTTCAGTTAGAATGGGAGCGCTGGCTTCGTCGTGAAACTCGAAGGTGCACCCTGCTTGATATCATGCTGAAGGAGCACATACAATATCATGATAATGATGACTATGATGGAGTTTTGGGTCTTCGGAGACAAATATTGTCTGGTAATCAAGAAGAGATTGAAAAGTGGTATAAGGAATATTGTTCGAGTTGCCAACGAGATCAGGAGCGAGTTTTTATCGACAATTAGCATCAGCGTCACGCGTCTTTTCACCGCGTTTGATTTTGGGCATCCATTATGCATCATATATATACCCCGTTAGCAGAATTGGTGTTTTTAATATATACAAGGATGTTATGTATTTCTTTTTTGCATTATTAGCCATTCGTCAATCTTTTAGTAGTGTACAATAGGGCAATCATCGAGCTGGTCAGGTTATGATACCGCGCATGCAGCCTTGGGTATCTTATTTTAGCCGCCATCCATAACTAACATCTCAGTATATGTGACTCAAAAACGCACGTTTGTAAGAATTCCGTGATTGAATGGTATCATTTCATCAATTCTGTCTTGGCTTCGGTGTGCCTTCCATTGTCACATAGTAGACCACGGTACCATCTCCACCCAAGCCTCTATTCACCATTGCAAGCAAGGCTCTCTTTCCACCCCACGGTTTGTCCCTTTTCAGCCTTATGTACTCTTGCATCTTTTTACTTGCTTCTTCTAGGTCAAACGAATCAAGCCGTAAATCCTCTGTTCGATCAGGCAAAGAGTCATGTATACCAGCTAACCGGCGTAATGTCCACTTTTCTCCCTGTGCTGTGGGTATTACCCACTCTCGCTCTATTGGCACATCATGCATGGGGATGCGATGTTCTAATATATAAGCCTGTTCGTCTGGATGGATGTAAACGGCTTGAGGAGGAGTGCCAGAGATCAAAGGTATGGATTGTTTGGTAGAAAGCGAGAACGGTTCATGGATCCGTAGCCCTGTCCATTGATGTTGGTGTTCGAGGTTATGGAGGATCTCAAGTGTGAGAGCGGTATTTGGAGTAGGAGGTTGTGGCTGTGAAGAAATCAGCGACGTAACCGCAGATGGAGCTACTGCTGGGGTATGGGTCGACATTCCTGGGGACACCGAGGCATACCACGAGCCAAATTCGTGTGTACTAAGCTGAAAGATAGACAACTATGTTAGTTGGACCATTTGCTCGCCACCCATCAATCTCGAGAGTGCAAATGTGTACGTACTTTCATTGCTCCAACGACGAGAGAGAAAAAGACTGAAAGGAGCGAAATAAACTCTCGATAACAATCTGATAAGCTTTAGGGATACTTATGTAATAAGGTACTGGACAGATTTCAAGATCGTCATCGCTTGAACGGAGGAAGAAGAATAAAAAAGAAACCATTTCAAGTCTATGTTGCGCTGTATTATATTCCAACCGGAATATTTCTTTTCTACCCCTTTTGTTTTTCTATTTTGCTTCTGCTCTTTTCTGCCAATGGGACGGTTAGACTCCTGAATTCTTCCAATAATTATTATATCTTCAATGGCGCGCGAGAAACAAAAGGTGCCCGTTCAACGGGTACCATCCGGCGGAATCATGCACGCACCTAAAGACATTCCAGAAACGAACGGCGCAATTGAGCAGCCAGGGAAAGGAAAACCACAAGTCCAGGCTTCTCCGGAGCCGTCACAACCTGGGCTCTTGCAGCTGGTGATTTGCGTGGCAGGTATCTATGCCTCATTGTAAGCGCTCCCTACGCATTACTCTTCTTAATATTTATGCCTCTAACACTATCTATTTGCAGTCTTTCTTGGGGTGTGCTTCAGGAAGCAATCACTACTACCCATTATCCTGTTCACCCGCCTACGTCCGTGATCCCGAACCCTCAGACCGAAAGATTCACATTCTCCCTGGTTTTGAATACCGTACAATCCTTCTTTGCTGTCATAACGGGGTCTATGTACCTCTATTTCTCTACACCTCGTGGGGCGAGTACACCATCGATATTTCCTACCAGCCGGATTATCGTTCCTTTGATACTTGTCAGCCTATCGTCCTCCTTAGCCTCTCCTTTTGGATATGCCAGTCTTGCACACATCGACTACGTCACTTTTACTCTGGCAAAGTCTTGCAAGTTATTGCCGGTTATGTTTCTTCATCTGACTATTTTTCAAAAACGGTATCCTCTGTATAAGTATGGAGTGATTCTTCTCCTCACTATCGGCGTGGCGACATTTACTCTACATCATCCAGGCACGGCAAAGAAGAGAGGATCCAAGGGACCGAACTCGTCCTCCATATTTGGACTCTTCCTCCTCTTCATTAACCTCCTGCTGGATGGTCTCACCAATACAACACAGGATCATATCTTCACGTCTCCAAAGTTATATGGCAAATTCAGTGGCCCCCAGATGATGGTGGCTCAAAACTTGATATCTACTATCCTCACGAGCGCTTATCTCGTTGTCATGCCCCACGTTTCTACCTCTATCCTCCCTCTCCTGCCATTACCTATTCCTCCATCACAAACATCAGAACTCTCGTCTGCTATTGCTTTTCTCTCCCGTCACCCTCAGGCCACTAAAGACGTAGTTGCATTCGCTGCGTGTGGGGCCATTGGCCAGTTATTCATCTTCTACACATTAGCACGCTTCTCCTCCCTTCTCTTGGTGACAGTAACATTAACCAGAAAGATGTTAACTATGCTTCTCAGTGTTGTATGGTTTGGCCATAAGTTAGGTAGAGGCCAATGGGCAGGAGTTGGTTTGGTGTTTAGCGGAATTGGAGCAGAGGCTTGGGTTCAGAGGAAGGAGAAGGAGAAGAAACTCCGGGACAAAGCCAAAGAGGGGAAATTCCTATAGATGCTTTTGTCATCATATGGCAGCCCTCTAGAAGGCCTGATGCTTTCCACCACGCTTTAATACTGGGCGTCCATGTTCTCATTTTTTGTTTTTTGTACCCTTCTTTTCATGTTCCTTTTTAGACAAGATTTCTATTCTAGTATAGATGTACCCTTGAGATTCATGTATATAGTTGATTTTCACGTTTTAGATATCCCGAATTATATATCTGCCCAGGGTAATGCTAACTCTGGGAATTTTTTTGTTGCATTAACCTATTTTCTCCCTTCAACCATAATAATATGGTATCCAAACCCAGTTTTCACTTCGACATACTTCGGGTTTCCCGTGGTACTTGGTTCTAAGTCATATGCTACCTTCTCAAATGCAGCGTCTAAGCTCCCTCTGACTTTCCATCCGAGTGATCCACCTATTTAGTGCACATGTTAGACTTCACCCTCTGTGGAATCATACAACCATTAAGCCAGGTGAAGAACGAAACATATAGTTTGAATTGTGACGATAGAGGGGAGTAATAGAGGGAAACCATACCCTGTCTAGCTTTGTCTTCTGAAAACTCCCGAGCAACTTCGTCAAATTTGGCCCCTGATCGTAATTTCTCTAAAGCTTCTTCCTTCTTTGAGTGTTTCTCGCACTGTCGTTTCATTTCACAACATGCAGTAAGCAAACAATCAAGATCGCAAAAGATAACACATAGGATCACCAAGCATATGCAGGGGTATCTTCTCTCCATAGAAATAATCTGGGGTAAAGTGGGTATATGCACGACGTACAAGAATGTGTCGAACGTTTATGGAGGTGGCAGCTTTCAATCCCTTCCCCTTACCACCATCAGAACTTTCTGCCTCTTTTCCTTTCCCCTTGCCTTTCCCACCCTTACTATCTCCTCCTTTATTCTTCGGGGCCATGGTACGATTAAATGTGTCAGGTAACAACAGAAAAAATGCGCTGGAATGCACTTTTGACAGATGAGATTATAGATTGTGTTAGTTGAAGGGTAGTAGATTTTCGATGTTTGTCGACTTTTGATATGGAGTGGATTTTAACTCCCGTTAGCGGCTGACTAAACTAACTTTTATATAGCCAACCTCCTCTTTATTCTCTTCCTCATCTCATTGTGGAATATCATGCAGTCCATGGAGGGGTTGGAGTTGCGATGGTAGCCTAAGTGTAGGTATGTGGCAAAATTTAGCGTATAGGTGAAGGAAGAGAGTGATATTAAACATTTCTATTTCTGGTATCAAAACACCTTGACGATAGTTCAGAACGCTAAATTATATGGAAAATTATTATATACATATAAGAGTATAATCTGGCTGCCATTATGGCAACTCGTATGTCACTCCGTCTTGAACGCCCCTTCCACTAGGTTTTCCTGCTGGTATGGAGCCGAGCATCTCGCTCGGAGGTCTCTTTTGGTTATTACCCGTTTCGCTGACCACGGGAAGCGAGCCTGGCACCTCATCGTGCATTTCTGGTGGCCCAGGGGGTGAGTACTTATTGGACTCATGACCGCTAACCATAGGCATAACTTGGTTCGCCCGCCGCCGCCGCCGTAGTAGTAGCAGTAAATAAGCTGCAGCTGCGAGGCCAATTGCACCAGCAGCTACGCCTGCTCCAATGCCTGCTTTTGCGCCAGTGCTGAGGCCCGCGTTTTTGTGGTTGACAGGTATCGAGTGTGTGGCGGTGGGTTCTAATGTTTTTGTTACAATAATAGTTGCGACCGGGGTGAGAATGCTCTCTGAGGTTGATGAGGCTGTTGTTAATGTAGTATAGCTTGTGGTTGATGTGCTGGTAATTGTCGTATATGATGTGACTGGGCTATCGTCGGATATTCCGAATCCGCCAGACACTGCGTATAAGGTCTCGTTCACATCGTATTCCTCCGACGCTTTTCTAAGATCGAAATGGAATGGCGACCATACAAGGTTATCTTTCGATATATCGACTGTCCCATATGAGTCAAACTTTTTCCTTGGCTCAATCTCTTCTATAAAGCGAAGCTGTCAATATTTCTCTCGAGTCTAGAGCCTCAATGACTCGCGGCATCTAACATACCATAGAGTAGCCAAACATACGGGCACCTATCATCATTGGACACTAGCCAGATATTGTATGAATTTGCGCTGCCCAGGCATTCCTTCACCTCTTCGTCTGACCAGCCTCCAAACTCAAGTCTGGGTCTGTCTCCCCAAGAGTAATTCGGGTTCGGAGTTGTTGTTGATGGCTGTGCGAATACTACAGCCGTACAATTCACAGCCAAACTGAGCAAGGCGCCATGAGAGAGCAGGAGGGCAAAATATATAACGTACATTTTGACGGTGGATGAGATGAAAACTTGCTGCCCATAACAAGGCCATCGTGGGGGCTCAAATATAAGAGAAGTAAAAGGGGCTGAGCTAACTGTTGGGTATCAAGGATATTTTTGGTGTACCGGGGACCGCTGTAAATAAATAAAAGATCCATGTCCCGTCATTTTGAAATGTCCAACGAGATGTTGCGCTAGGCATGGTTTGATGTTGGTTCGGTGGTATATCACAACCAGGTTACCAACATCTCTAGTTCCAACGCTCGGCAACCCCCAAAGGATGGAAAGCAATGGATGCACTGCCAAATGGGTCTTATAAGGCCAAACTTCACCGGAGCGTTTCCTTTCTGATACCGTTGCATCGCATAGAGCACAAACCGATATTATACGTGGTATTACAGGTGTCACACATGACGGGTATTAGGTAAGGTACGCCCCGGGCGGCCCGGCAGCTGTGCTTACTCGGAAATTTATTATTCCAGTTCTAAATAGGGAGGCAATATTACGTAAAAATTGATTATTAAGATGATATTATCAAAGCGTCATGTAATCCACATGGCGAGCGAATCACCATTAAGAAAGTGTAAGACATCGCGCGGAGATTTACGTGCGGAACAACGATCATTCAGATTTGCATGGTAGTAGGGGCATGCCTTAGTTAAAGAGGAATGAGATCCCCCCAGCTTCCATACAAGTCGAACGTCCATCTGACGACCAGCATGGACGATTTATTACCATACTTATCTTGACGAATTCCGTCGCCGTGGACAGTATCTATATCTGAGGCCACCAACAAACCAACGATCCAAATGGACTGCGTGAAGCAGATGAAGGCAATAATGGAAGCTATCGTTCTCTTAACGTCAGACGTTGCAGTATCCCGCAATCGAAGGTTACGCGTCTGACAATTATAAATAATGCCTCGATTAGCTATATAATTCAAGGATAGGTTTGCTATCTTGGAGTCCCGTGCTTTTGAACTTGATATCAGCTCTGCGAACTCTTGTCTAACTTGTTGACAAAGTCATTATACACCTCTGTAAAGCCTTCCGCTGCCTGGAGTGCATGTTGTTAATCTTTAGCAGAGCTTATGACGATGCAAACAGTACGCGACTTATCGACCAAGGCTTCGTCATATGTGAAAAGAGTCGAGTCTGCGATCGCATTCCTCGATGCCCTATACCCTTTAGATTCTCCAGGCAAGGTTGAACAAGCATTGCCCTTGCTGGAATCAGCTATACGACGTCTTTGGCTTTTTACCACTCTAGACACCGACCTCGAGAGTGCAGTCATCAGACAGCTTCAAAAATTCGATATTGTTTCGGGAGTAGGAAGAGCCACGGTAGCATGCGAAGCAACCTTTGAATTATATATAGCGAACAAGGTGATGGCTGCTACTGACAAGGCGAAAGGTAGGCAACACCATGCTTGATGTCGTGGGACGGATGAGGCCTGGCACACTTCTGCGGCGCGTACTCATTAAAGACAGCCGTTTATCCAGTGGGTACCCAGCCCACCCTCTCCTAGCATTGTTAAGAAATTGAGGCCTGTGATTATATGTCATAGCAATGGAGTCTCTCAACTCAACTGATATAGTTTCTATGGTTCTATGATAGTAGTACAAGTATTTCTTAGAAATAAAACAAAGAAGGGTAAATGGTTGGATAGACCTGAATGCCACTTAATAGCAGATCAGGAATTGGGTATATTTGCGTATGATTCCGTAGCTCTCGCCACTTCTCGTGCCTACGCTTTGTATTTTTACAGAATTACATATCAATACTCACCGTACCTATTAAAATAGATACCAAATCAAGTTATTTTTGCAATTAAACCTCATATATCTCGTGTCTCAGACTAGGGGTCGACAGAAACGGTGAGAGCTAATGCAGCAGGGCTACATAGTAAGGATGCGTTGTACTATGCGGTGCTGCGGTCTACTACATAGTACTGCATAGTATGTCCTCTGCTCTCGCTGGGTTGTAAGCTAGTTAGAGTCCGCTGGTACTAACTTAGTTTAAAGTGTCAAATGTTCTACTTAGTCAGCTCGCATGCTCAGAGACCTCATCCTTGTACTTAGGCGCTTCAAGCTTAAGAATATTCTCATTTTACACCCATAGTTACATGCTCTCTTACCCTGTCAACTAATCACCATTCGCTGCTCCTGCTCATATTTGACAGTTATGAGCCCGGCTATCGCTTATTGAATTAAAGAACGCCACGAAGAACGATCAATTTGAAAATTCCGAATACACCATACGACTACTGTCACCTACCCAGTCTTCAACTAGCTCCGAGCAGAGGTCTCATTATATACGATAATGAAAGGCCTAAAGAAGCGCCTCTGCCCAATGGACAAGGACAGAATGTACGAGGTCGAACAAAAGTACGAAGCATTGAAAAATGGGACAAGAGCCAGAGACGTCTTTGCCTAGCTTGATAACTGGATAAAGGTCTATCAAGAGGCACAAAAACTTGATATCATCCAGAAACAAGCCCTTTACATTCCCTGTTTCCACACAAATTTGCTGGCCGATAGGCCTCTAGATAAAACTAGAAACAGGAAGAATAAGTCATAAAAAGTCCAAAAAGGAAGCCGCGGTAACGAGACGAATATGCGGAATGAGGGTGCTTGAGTTCAATGAGCCCGAACAAACAATCAATGTCACAATCGAGCTCGAAGCCTACCTTCCAGGGACGAACACAGTCCCAATCCTGGAACCTGATCCCAACCTGCATTTGTGGAAATATACACTGGAGCAGCGATTGATGATTGGTTAATTGATCGTGAGAGTATATACGGGTGTAAAATGCGTATATTCCTGAGCTTGAAGAGCCTAAGAACAAGGATGAATGAATATACCACGGACAGAGCACGTGAGCTGGCTAAGTACTCTGTACAACATTTGACAAGAAGGAATCAGTCCCTCCAGGGAGAAGCGACTATCAGGTTAAGATATATATATATCCCGCCAGTTTATTGATCGCTTCTAAATTTCTCCGTTATAACCTCTTTGTATCTCACATCGTTTCTCCCTCTCTCCATCATGGGCGGCGGTGAAAGTTTCCCCGGGTTCCCTCACCCCAACCCCACGGTATCCTACTGGCAAGTGCCTCCGCACAATATCGCAAACCACCGAACAACACCAGCCCTGCCAACGTCCACTAAGTTCGACTATATTATCGTGGGCTCAGGCATATCTGGCGCGGCGATAGCTCACAAACTCCTAGCACGCAATGCTGGCCTCTCGATCCTTATGCTCGAGGCCCGCACATCCGCCTCAGGCGCTTCGGGCCGTAACGGAGGCCACTGTCGGGCCGGCTTTTGGCTGAACTATAGCCGTTATGCCCAGGCCCTAGGCGAAGACGAGGCGCTCAAGTTCGAGAGGCTCGAGGAGGCCAACATCCAGGACATTGCCGATTTTGTGCGCGACCACCGTGTTGATTGCGACTTTGCCAACGTTGAAACAGCGGATGTCTATGTCACTCAGGAGGAATGGGCGGCTGTGTTGGATGTCGTTGAGGCCCGAGAGGAGGTTAAACGGCGGAAGCCCGACCTTGCGTCCTCGATTCGTCGTACAGTCTTGCATGGAGAAGAGGCCAGGAAACATATGGGAATGCCTGCTATTGTTGGAGCCATCACCTGGCCCGCCCATACCCAGAACCCGTATCATCTAGTATGCCGGATGCTAGAGCTCAGCTTGGAGAAGGGTCTCAATCTGCAAACCACAACGACAGCACTTGACATTACCGCGCACGCACAAGGAGAAGGTTGGCTCGTCAACACGGACAGGGGCACCGTCCATGCAAGCCGAGTCGTCCTCGCCACCAATGCCTACACGGCTCCCCTACACCGTGGCCTGGCCGCTACAGGCTTCCTGACAACCGCAAGGAGCCAGCTTACCGCCTTGAGGCCTGGAAAAAATATGCTAGATGACCCAGAGACACTGTTGCGCGGTAGTGCAGGGCTTAATGACGCCGGCAGCGGTGACTACTTCATGTACCGTGCTCAAGACTGTCATCTCATCTACGGTGGCGGCCGAAGTCACTCCGAGACTGGCGATCGTAACACCACGAATGATGCCGTAGTAAACCCGGACGTTGCCAACTATCTCCACCGTGCGCCTCCCCAGCTCTTTAGCCCCGAGGCATGGGGTGACGACAGTCGTGTTGTCAGGGACTGGTGTGGTATCACCTGCTACACGCCCGACACGTTCCCTCTTGTCGGTGAATCCCCGGGCCAGAATGGATTATGGATGTCTGTGGGTATGAATGGACATGGCAGTACGTTTCTTACCATTTGCCTTATTTAAGTCGTGAAATTACTGACCTGGAATTGCAGTGGCTATGGCCTTTCGATGTGCCGAGGCTTTGGTAGAGATGATGACGACTGGCAAAGAACCGGAATGGTTTCCAAAGTCATTTAGGCTGCAGCGCGCATGGGAGAAGCCCATTGCTGAATTTACCAATTAGAGGCTAAATTATACTATTTGTATGTGACATAATTTAGCTATGAACAAGGGTGCATCTCAGGAGCTCAGGTAAACTCATTCTCAAAATAGTGTACGACCACGCAATTCTCTATGTTGATCTACAGTGACTGCATACAGAGGCAGTCTAGTTCCCAATACTTTTTGCAGTATAGCTCAAATTTTCGGACACAGGCAAGTCGTGACCTTGCAGCGTGTTAGGCTGCAATGCATGTCGGACTTGACGGCCAACCCAGCGGAACGCGTCTGGGAAATTCCGTTCAATTTTCAAGCATATGACCACTATAATGCTGTTCTACGAGCAGGCTGTGGGAGCTGAAAACATCCACCCAAGAATTGTTTTTTAAGGAGAATATATATCCGAACACATAGTGGTCAATATACCTTAGCAAGCCTAAAGCAACATGACCTCCAATACCCGGGCTGCCAGGCACCATCCATTACCATGCAGACTACCTCCGCAGCAATACATGACTTTTGACGACTTCATGCTTGAGTCCGGCCATAAATTAACTAATGCCACTGTTGCATTTACCTTTAGTGGCCTTCTACCACCCGCCCACCAGTCATATTTGATATGTCTAGCCACGTCATGTGCCAAATCTAAGAACTTGAAATTTAATACCACATTTGCGGCGCTACCTACTCCCTCAATACCTTACTTATACTTAGTATCTCTTTCACCCTCTATATTGATATTGTATTTATACTAGGTTGTAGGTCGGGAGCATGCTTCCTCCCATGCTGCGCGGCATGACAAAGTGCTAGCATCATAGCTCTCTTGCCACCAACTCCTATTTTCTTAACATTTTGCTCCTTCTCTAATAATAACAACTTCTTCTCGTCCGACGATATGAACTACATACAGCCTTTGATCATATTGAACTATCTGAAGGTAAGCTACCAAGACTTATAAGATGGCGTTACCTAGGGTTGTTCTTCAGCTAACGCCTCCGAGCAAACAAACTAAAGCTCTCTCGATTAAGCAGTTTCTTCATAGCTCGGAAACCATGGACAGAATCCAGACGAAATTACAGTCCAAAGCCATCAATCCGAAACGGCTAAAGCTACATCCTATTCCCACCCCAAACGACCGCAGTATTGGAGTATACTATGATCGGGTCACCGCCGAAGATCCTGACTCAAAAATTGTCAAATATAACAAGTCTCTCTGCCGCCAATTAGAGCGGGCTCGCCTTTTTGGCCGAATGGCAGATTCTGACAAAAATCTATGTTTCTGCCCCTTATAAATCAAATCTCAACTCTTTCAGACGGGCCAAACATGTAAGTCAATGTAGCTATTTATTTCGCATATTAATAGTTACTAAGATAGATTATAGGAAGAAGAAGAGCGAGACAAACAGATAGCAGATCAATTTAAGCAGCTACAAAAGCAAATAAATCAGCCTTTTGAAGAAAATGCCCAGTTACGCGACCACAATATTGCGAAACAAGCGGAATTAGAAACAACGCTATGCGTTAGAGCCAATCTCGGAATCGGGAATTTACTTATCGATATGGCGCGAAAGCTCCTGGCCAAGGAGCCACAAGGTTCAGCGTCTACAAAATTGAAAGAACAAATTGATGGATCGACAACCAGAATTCAGCAACTCGCAACGACCATAACCGATCAACGCTTGGTGGAGGCAGGAGTCCCAACTAAGTATCGGAAAGAATTAAATCGGTTGCCTAGTGTATGTATATATATCTCATACCACAGATAACTCCATGCTAATATTTAAATATAGTGGGTCGTAAAGCGAAACGAGTCGGCTCATGATTTGGCCTATGATCTCGCAGCTGTTCTGTCCCATCCTACCATGCAAGACCTGTACGAGCAATGGGCAGCAGCATTCCCGTTCGTATATGGCAAAACAATTTCACAGCTTATAGAAGAGAAGAAGACCAACGATCACCACTGGGTGGGCAATGATTAGAGCCTCCTTCAACTTCTTCAACTTCTTCAACTTTCAGTTTCAAAGTTAGTCCTCACTAAGTGTTACGATTTGTTATGCTGCGCTTTACTACTATTATACTAAAAATCCATTCTGAACCCATATACAGAATGAGAGTCAATGACAGGACGCCTCAATTCACCGTTTACTAACTTGTCTCACTTATCACTTTCTCTGCACGCACCGTACTTGACAGATCTTATCACCTCGCGTTTTTGTTTGGATTGAACTTTCAAGCTTCTTGCTCCCTCAGGCTTCTGCTCTCTCAGGCTTCCTGCTCTCTCAAGATTCTTCCTTTCTCAAGCTACTTGCTCTCTTAAGCCATTACATTCTACAAAATATTCTTGTCTACACGCTTCTCTTCTTATACAAGTGGCTTTTGTCTAAGGCCGTTCTCTCTTGGATCGTCTTGATCTTCTCCAGTATACTAATCGAGCAGACTTGCTCGTTCTTGCCCTGACTACGCAAGAGCCTCGAAGTATATTGTCCTCGCCATTCTAGATCGGTTAGAAAATATGCGCTCGGGGAAGTCCCTTTACCTTGAGCCCGGTATCACTGATATACAAGCTGCAATTGCACTCTCTAAGACGCTAACATCGCAACTCCAATCCTTAGGGCGAACCACCAGCCCGTGGTGTTTAACCTAATGCGTGATGAAATAATGAGAGTTTCGCCATGGAAGCTTGCAACTTCAGTACGAGGGTTAAGTCCTCGCGCAGATGCTGTGCTACTCCAAAGACCTTACACCTCGAGGTACAGGCTGAGATCAATATCCTTCTTGGAAATGATCGTGCTCGAGCATGGCAGTTCATAGAGCAGTGGCGTGTTTTTGCAATCGAGAACCTGAGGCACCATTTTGACTTATGGTTATATATCGAGAAGCAGATTTACCAGGACGACTCTTATCAGCTGAAATTTGAACCTTTCTCCCTATAATGGGAACCTTCTGGAAACTGGCCCTCCAAGGCCGAGTCGAAAGAGGGAGGACCAGCCATGGTTATAGTAGTTAACTAGTTAGTTACTTACTTGGTAGGAGGCTAGAAAATCAAAATCAAATTGAGAAATTGAATTGAAACTGGTATACAATTATAGTCACTCTTAATAATAGCCATTGAATAACTCTAATAATTCATCTGCTCACAGCCTCGAATATAAGAATGTAGGTTAACTGATCTCCTAACCCCAGTCCCCAGGGTAATATACAGAGTACTGTTATTTCTATGTGTATCCCCTAGCCACAGAGCCACTCGCAAAGTTGCTGAGATGCCCTTGTTTCCTTTAACTCGAGGAAGAAATTGGAAGTGTAGATCCCCTTCCTACCTATTGCGCCTAGCTTCCCTAAGCCGACAAGGACCTCAGCTAGTCAGTGCTTACCAGCCAGAAGACCTCAGGTTATACTTGGGACTCGGATATAGTCTTGCCCCCCTTCCTCTATATTATATCAGAACTAGGGACTGTCTCCTATATAGTCCAACCCCAACACAAAAAGATTCACCTGACTTCGATCAGTTACTTCTCTGGTCTTAGCCCCAGGTGTCCTTGGATTACTATAGCACTTTTGGTAACACCCCGATTTACTCCGTACATAGCAAGGAACTGAAACCCCCTGCGGTATCCCCCACCCCCATCCTCAGGGCTTGTGAACTACTGGCATTCTTATTGGTGAAATGGCCCCGAACACCCCGTCATCCCCAGAACTGATGGGCCTAACATGCAGCTTCCGGTTATTTTGGTCGCCACGTCTTTTCAACAGGAAACTGCTGATCAAGTTACTGGTCAAACATCCACTCTCCGGCCGTGTTGACAGGGAGAGAAACGTCTGGGGCGTCGCTGTCGATGCAGAGTACGCAAGATCTCGTAAGTGTCTCTCAAGTCTATCTCATCGAGCAACATCTATCGAGCGCGGCCAGTGTTTAGATAGATGTTGGAGACGGGTTCATTCCGTAAGATCCATGGCCCTCCATTCGGTTAACTCTGAGGAAACGGTTGTGTAGTTCGCTCTCTTACGAGCGTACCATGTATTATTAGATGCATGCGAGAACAGGGATCATCGACTGCGGGTTCTCATGGCTGTACTATGTACTGAACTGATACCGCTTTGGGCTCAAGTTGGGGGCTGGTTGAATTGCGGTATTGTGATGTTATGTATAGCAAAGCATAGTACTGAACTGGAGCCTGCTTCGTAGATGAAATCGTGCACGCTGAGGCTTCGGAAGGCTTTGTTCTTTGTTTGGGGCCAAATCTTGTAAATTGTCTATCTGGGATCCCTCAGCCTGGCACCTGTGATGGCTCCATCCAGTGAATATTTCAGCAAGGAATGTTACTCGAAGAAATAAACTGACAAAATATCAAATATAAAAGGCAAAATTCAACCAAATAAACGAGTACTGGTTAAATATAAATAAGGAAAAAGGCCTTTGAACATGTGACTCAGGCTAAACATACCGACAGAAGACGCTTTAGACAGAGACAGGCATATTTCGTCAAGAAAAGTTGTCAAATAACCAGAACACTACAACAGTAATACAGATATACAACTTGGTTCTCCAACTCGTGGAATATGGAAGAGGATTTCCCACAAAGCTCGGATGGCCTAGAGAAATACAGAGTCACCCGGCTTCCAGATACTGCATATTATATCTCTGATTTTCTTTCAGAGGACGAAGAAAAGATAATTTTAAGCAAGGTTAGTAGCCTTTTTAAGTCAAGAAATATCTGTTGGTCAATCATTGATAAATACGAAGTACGTGAGCTTTCAGCTAACTATCGAAAACCGCTTCATGAAAGCATATGTAGGTAGTATCAGTGCCGGCTCCGAAATGGACACATCTATCACGGCGGCGGTTGCAGACATGGCCCTCTGCGCTCAGTAAATCCAATACCCTACTAGCTTCACCGCTCCCAGGCTGGCTGGAATCCCCTATCGCCTCTCGATTTCGAGATATGGAGATCTTTACCGACTCTCCTCATAAATCTCCCAACCATGTGCTTATCAATGAATATCGACCAGGCCAGGGCATCATGCCTCATGAAGACGGTGCAGCATACTACCCGATCGTTGCGACAGTAAGTCTAGCGGCGCCAATCATCCTAGACATATATGATAAGCGACAGAGCGATCTATCAGTGGAGATGGAAGAGGCGGTGAGTGGACAGCGTCTTCCACGGTATAGGATTTTACAAGAGAGGCGAAGTCTGCTGGTTACCACTGGGAGCCTATATTCTGATTATTTGCACGGGATTGCGGAGAGACTGTCTGACGACGAACTTGGGCCGGAAACAATATGTAACTGGGGCAACTTAGGTGACAGCCACCTCTTCGAGACGGGGAAATATGAGAGGCAGACACGAGTCAGCTTGACCTACAGGGATGTGCTGAAGGTATCAAAGCTTGGAAACAGTATAAAATTTTTGAGCAAGTGATGATAATAGAAAGGGGGGAAAGCATATCATGATGACAATCCCATTACTTATGCAGTTTACTTGGCCTTGGAAGTTTTGGGGGTTATGTCAGAAGCATCTACCATACTGGCGGTAGCATGACCCATCTATCTTTGACCTTTTCCACTCCGAATTTCTCACCGTACCACCTTTTAGTTGCTGCAGCAGACGTCCCCAGCTGCACCACCGTTAAAATCAGAGCGGAGAAGATGGTCATGTTGACTATTGATCCTGGTGGTGCAGCAAGAACGCTTAGCGAGAGGTATATCGTGCATTCAGCCGTATAGTGTGGGGATATTATGCTGACGAAGGCCGGATGCACCGGGAGAGTATATTTGACAAGAGATGCCAAGTACTCGTGGCAATCATACTGTATTCCAGAAGCAAATATGAACACCGGTATGAAGATTAGTGATCTTAGAGAAGGTGCGGTTATGGTGGCGTCGCCCAGCGGCGTATCAGTCGAGAGCAAAGTTGCTATATTTTTATGTTAGAGATCCCATTAGCCAATCTAAACAAAGGAGAAGCAGGGCCCTAACCTGTTCCTTCAACCCAGATTGCTACCCCCATGGCAACGTAATAGGCAAACCCGTAGAGCCAATGTCCGCCAAACATCCTTGACCTGGACGGCTTCGTGAAAGAGATGCACTCATACAGTCGACGGCAGGCCTGGATGGTAAACAGGCTCCAGCAGAGGAATATCTGGTTAAAGGACATGGAACCCTTCCTGCTATCTTGATCAACCATGCTGGCAATAAGCTGAAAGGCCCAACCTCTAGTCAGCAGTTGGTACCACCAAAAGAACGACAGGCCAACGGCGCAGTAGTAAAACTGGGTAAAGTAGGAATGCGGCACATCCCATGCAGCTATGGAATTTAAGAGTTCTGTAATTCTACTCCGCGAAGGGGTTGTCACCGCAGTAGTACTTTCATCTGCGGCTCCCTCCTCGCCTTTGGTCGACGATGTAGATCGAGCACCATATGATATAAACTGGCCTCGAAGGGTCTCGAAGCTGTTGATAGCCATGACCTACCGATCTACCAAGTCAGCAGAGTCCATGAACTATCTCTTTTCTTTCTTTATCCCCTCTGTGTATTCTTTTTACAGGTCATAATATCAGGTCCCGTACACTGGCAGCTAATACCACATATCCTCCTCGCATCAGGTCGATGAGATCCACACCAACGAACACATGGTCGAGATCGAGTCCCATGCTGACCTCCCTGTCGACTACAGGGATAATCCTGTCAGCCAGTCCTTTATATATTAACTGCGATTGTCGTGGAAAAGCTGCTGCTGCTGCTGCTGTTTATTTTCTCTTGGTTTGCAGCTTTTTTGCCTCCAAAAATAAAAATAAAAAAAACATTTGACACGTGACACAATTCCAGAACCAGGAGGAGAACCAAAGAGAGGAACTTGTCCTTTTTTCCATCTCGTCTTCATCTCGTCTTTTCGTCTGCCTGCCGTCTCGTCTCGTCATATACCATCTCATCCTGCCCATCTCATCCCCTCTCCTCCCATCTTCTATCGTCTTACGCTCTAGCATGCCGTCCGTCTTATATCAGGGAGTTATAGGCTGCGTCCAGAAAAGGCTAGCGCCATGCCATAACGGGACTAGCGGCGTCAGGGCCTCTTCTCTTTTTTTTTTTTTTCCTTCTCTTCCTCGCAACAAGGACGAAAGAGAAAACCTTCGTCCGCGAAACCAACTTTCTTTCCCATCGCTTCCTCCCTCTCACCCCCCAAAAAGCGACGACACGCTGCTCCGCCCGGCCAAAGGGAGGTCTGCGATACTGATAGACTACTGCTGCCTACTACTGCAAGACGTGGTTGGTCACCTAGCTTTCGCGTTGTTTTCACTGGCCTGGAAGCAGTTCGCAAGTGCCTCGTTTTACGTGGCCCATCATCGAAGGCAACGTCGCCTCTCCTTTTTACTGACTCGACGTCGATTACTCGAGCCTCCTTCTGCCTGAGGATGCCACAAGGAGGCTCGATATCTCAAGTTTAACCGCTATGAGTGATGTTGACACGGCCTCTTCGCTACCGGATACCTTGAACTCCCATCGTAGAGCCCATCATCACCTTGCTCCCAAAACAACTCTGGATCTGCCTCAAAGGAGGACCGCCAACGGAGATGGACGACCTGCGGCCGAGGATGCGGGTGTAAACGATGACGCCTTGAGCGTCAAGGCTGATTCCGAAGCAGAGACAATCATTCAGTCTGGCAGGGAGGAGATGTCACCGGAGAAGAAGAGGACCTACGTTCGACATATTCCCGGCCAAAGCGACAAGAATGAAGCGGATAATGCTGCCCGAAAGACTTCCAAGTTCAGTCAGCCTGGTAATTGGCAACTCGGCAAGAGGAAACGACCGGATCACGACCATGATGACACAAGATCGTCCCTACGAAGCAACCCAAGTTCCCGGGCATCAAGTCCCGTTCCGGCCTTAAAACAGGAGAAGATGGAGGATCCCCAGGTGCTGTCTATCATCCAGGCCCCTTCATCTCCCCGTGCTGATGATGCTACGGAGCAAAAGCCAAGCGATAAGCTCAAGAGCAATAGGAAACCGGAAGGCGCTAGTGTTGCCACCAGGAACACCCCCAGCGAAGGACGCAGGTTTAACCACCGATCAGGCTCCCCTGGCAATGAACCCGATGGAAAGGCCGACTTGCACCCTTCACGTCATCATGACAGGTCACCCTCTCCTCCGATTCGCTCGCACAAGAGGGTAACGTCTGATTCTGTACACTCTCCTCCGCCCTCCAACATTCAAAAGAGGAGAAAGGTACCTCCTCCTCAACCACTAATTGACCAAAGGCACCATCCTTCGGAAGGCAGGGCGTCTCCCTTCTCTGCCTCAAGCGCCGGTTCACCTCCTCCAAACCCACGCACTCGACGGCTCGCTTCCTGCGACTCCTACCCTTTCTCACCCATGAAGCAGATGCAAAATAAAAAGTTACGCGACCAGAATGGCCGAACACGTCTAGCTAGAGCCTGTGCTGCGCAGGAAATAGAGGCTGCCAAGTGTCGACAGGCCGAACGCCCTGAAGACCTTAATGTTCCCGACAATGCTGGGAACACGCCACTCCAGATCGCCGCTCTTGAAGGATGTGCCGAAATAGTAAAGTTTTTGATTGAGGCTGGCTGTGATATTCATACCAAGAATATTGACCGCGATACCCCTCTCATCGATGCTGTGGAGAACGGACATTTGGATGTCGTCAAGATACTTCTAGAGGCTGGTGCAAACCCTCGTGTCGGTAACGCCAAGGGCGACGAGCCATACGACCTTGTTCCATCTGATAACGAAAACAGGCATGAACTACGGCGTGTTCTCGCCGATGCAAAATATAACGGAAATAGACGCCGGAAGTCAGATGATATAAGTGGCCACGGGACTGCGTCGACCAAGGATCCTCGCTCGAGGGGAGTTTCTGCTGCAAGCTCCCCCGATTCCCCCCCTCCTCACCATGCCCAAAGCCCTCCTCCGCAGTTTGGTCGGCGGAAAACCGTTAGGAGCGAGGCCACTCGAAACGACTTACTGTGGACGAAACCTACGTTTGAAAACCTTCGAGGCTTTGCAGCAAAGGGGGACATGGCTGGAGTAGCAACCATCCTAAATATCCTCCAAAAAGCTGATACGGAGTCCTTGATTGCAGCAGCAAAAGGTGGACACGACGAAGTTCTTGGACTATTGCTTGGAATGGGGAACCCAGACCCAGACCCAGAACCTCTTGCTAATGCAAACCACCGACCCGGCCATGATACGCCTATGTTGGCGGCTATTGGAAGAGGCAACATCGATGTGGTTAAACTTCTACTGAACCAACCAGGGTTTAATCCTACGCGTACGGACCCAGATGGTCGTCGATTTTTTGAGATTGCGCAGGACCGCAAAGGTGAAAACTGGCGATTGGAGTACGACATATTGAGGGAAGCATACGACGAGTATATCGCCTCGCATCCAAAACAGCGAAGAGTCGAATCAAGATCCCCCCGAAGATCTCGAGATGCACTCAAGGTAGCCAAAAGACCCGATCGTGACTCCGCATCCCCATCTTCAATCATGCGTAAAAGTTCAGGGAAAAATTCAACCACTCGTCAAAGCGAGGACGGATCAAAGGAGTTGAAAACGCAAAAGGATAGGAGGAGGGCTGATGGTACATTATTTACGAAGGAAAGGCCGAACCCAAATAAAGGATCAGGCCGCGAAGATTCCCACGGGCTAATCGATGAGCGGGATAATGGTCACTCCGAAAGGAAGCCAAAGATTTCATCTGAGTCCCGCACCCCGCGGGAATCTACCCCACTCAAGCAAAGCGAAGAGCCGGTCAAGCGTCGGCGTCTTATTGCTGGGCGTCCACCGCCAGATCATGCCAAGCGAAGACTGAGTTTGATGTCTTCAGACTCGTTTTCTGGCCGTGAGGATACTTCCAAAGCCGGAGCCACCGAAGATTCAGCTGAGAATGGTCAGAGATCTGAGAAACGCAACCCCGTTCTAAAACGAGCGCGGAACAGCGTCTCGCCAAAGCCAGTCAAGACCCGAAATAACGATAATGACGAGCTTCGTGAGAAACATTTGAAAAAGCGGCGAATACATTCAAATGAGCTTTCAAGTCAGTCTCAGTCCACCAGTGAAGCAACAAATCCCAAAGTTGAAGGTGACACACAATCGTCAAAAGCGCACCATGGGCATCGTGAAAATCCCAACCCCAAGACTGAAAGTTCCAAGCCAGCTGAAAACTCCACGAACCATAATGACAAATATCACTCTAACTCTCGAGACTCTGTGGCGACTAAAATTAAGCGTCGATTATCTGATTCAGGCACCAAAACTGAGGGCGCGTCTGAGAGCAATTCCGGTGTTAAAGTGAAGTCTGAAAGACATCCCGAGAAGGAACATGTTTCTGCAGAAACAGAGCTTGAACGGGTGGAAAAGGCGCACGCAAAAGCGCTGAAAGAGGCAACAGAGGCTAAAATAGCCGTCGAAAAGGCAGCCATTATCTCACGTGAGAAGGCCGAGGAGGATGAAAGAAAGCTTGAAGAAGAGCGGAAACAGCAGGAAGAAGAGCGAAGGCAGGAAGAGGAACACAAGCGTAAGGAGATGGAACAACGACGAGCTCGCCAAGCGGAAGAGGAACATCAGAGGAGACTTGAACAAGAACGTCTCCGCCAGGCACGCATACGAAGGGAGCAAGAGGAGCAAGAACAGAGGCGACGAGATGCCCTTCCTCACCGTCTACGCACCGCCGCCAATCTCATTGGTACCAATGACCCCAGGGCTAGAAGCCATGATTTCCTCAAGAAGGTTATGCCTATCTTGCAGGCTACACGAAGTGACCTCGAGCCGCTGTGCGACCCTGAGCTGAAAAACGAAAAGTGGATTCTTAACTTCTACGTTGCTCTGTTACTTGCTACGAACGACCTTCAACTCTCACAGTGTATGTGTCTTCGCCCATTGATACTCTATAATGCGGACATTTACTAATTGGCAAATAGATCCAAGCTGGGAAAAGAGGATCGCAACTCCTACCCAGAGGAACAATATTTGGGATTGTAGCGGGCCCATGCTATCCAATCCGCAGCAACTTAACCCAGTTAAGGCTGACGTCAATGACTATTCTCGCATATATCAGGAAACCAAACCGTTATACGAGAAAATGGAACATGTCTTTTGGGTAAAGGTACATTACGATTTCACTCCAAATTCAAAACGATAAAGAGTAAAGGGTATAAGCTAACTGAAAACACCAGTGCTCTGATTTTATGGATCTTGTTCCCCATATTCCCCATCTCCACGGCCTCAATATCAGTTTTGTGGGCATGCATATTGACCCCGAACCTTCAGCTTCGCTACAGGATGAGCCACACTCGATTAATGGCGAACCGAATTATACTACCCATAATCCTCTGATAAATGGCTCATTTGAGCCTAACGGCGTCCAACACAGCTCTTAAATACGCAGACCGTGTTTTGAAGATATCATTCATGACATCTAACTGTACGGTTTCTTCCTCAGTTCTTTTGTCCACTGTCCAGCGTTCGTTTCTTTTTCTCTTTTTCGTTTTGCAGCATGCTTGCCTGTTTACTTGCAACCACATTGTTCGAATATTTGTTCCCTAAAACTGGCTGCGTTCATCATCTTGGCGACACGGAACGTTAGATTACTTCAACGGGTGATCATGGGCTTTTGTATGTAGATGCATGTTTCAAGGCGCTTAGGGGGGTTTTCTGGAAAAAGGTGGGAAAGTCGGGCATGCACATTATTCTGTTTATGTCTCGTCTGCATTCTATGTTCGTTGTCTTAACGTGTGTTGCGTGTGCGAGTTTTGGATGTCTGGAATTGGATGGCTGGGTCGATGTTTTTCTTTTCTCTTTTTTTTTTTTGTTTTGTTTTCTTCTCTATAAGTTTACCCCCCGTACGAGCCTGAGCACTCCAGGTGCTCTACATTCATGTCAACTATCTTTACTCGAACTTTGCAGCGTTATGTTGGAATAAAACGAGGGCTATATAACCATTAGATGCCTGACGGTCAAGTCTTGAACTCGATTACGTAATAAGAGCCAACATAAATAAGATCAGAAAATTTTCGAGTTGTCTCAAAACTTCAACTTTTTCACAGTGTTCAAACCATTTTGGCTGCCTTTAGTTGGGCGTACAGTTAAGTCATTGACACTGAGATATGAAGTATGCTATAACCCAGATATATCCTCCAATGATGTAGTCTGTGATGCATCTAGCGAAGATGAAGCTCTACCTGATCCGTCACGCTGAGAGTGAGCACAACGTCGCCCAGGTCTAGTACGATGAGGATCTAATTTTGTTTCCTCTATATGGGTTCAATACTTACTCCATGCTCGTTGCAGTGCAGGCGTCACAGACTCTGCGTTGACAAACCACGGGATGCTCCAGATCGAGAAGTTGGTTGACTACTTTCGTCAACAAGACGTCCGGTTCACTCGAGTCTTCTGCTCCCCCTTGCAGCGAGCGCGGGTGACAGCTGATGCCTTGAAATACCACGGAGATACAGAAGTTCAATTGTTCATTGTTCCATGTCTTCGCGAGAAGAAATTTGGATCTCTCGAGGGAAAATCGTGGGTCTCTTCCCATGCAGCCGAGAAGCAGGGCGAGGGTAATTTCGTTCCAGCAGAGTCGCATGAAGAACTATCCTCGAGAGCGAGGGGGTTCCTTGATGACCACTTGTTCCCTTTGTTACATGATGGCGAAGATGAGGAGACTGTCGCCGTTGTATCTCATGGAATCATTCTGTCCGTTTTATGGCGGACTCTGAAGCAAATGTGTGACCCTCTTAATTTGACCTTCGGTCCCTTCGCCTCACTTGACAGCCATTCCATCATTTGGTCAAATACAGGATATCTCGAGCTGGAGCTGAATGGGATGCCATCTAACTTGAGCATCAAGGTACTTACGATAAACGGCCGTCGACACTTGGCTAACTTGAAGCGCACCAGGGGGTGTTGGCAGCTCTAAGCATGACCCGAAGCAAAGAAAGATGGAATCTTTCTTCCGGCCTCCGCCATAACATTATCTAAAAGGTACTTGAGTCTCCATCCCTTCATTGTCATCCCCTCACCTTTCTCCCACCAAATCAATATGATGAATACAATACACAGACCTGATCCGAACATTATATGTGGATACAGCATTGTTGCCTTCCTTCTGATACCTTACAACTCACTCACTTCGATGTCATTCCAAACCTTTCGCGTTACTCGGTAACTGACCTTCGGTCTTAGGGAGCCAAGCGAAAGCCTCAAACGCGGTAGACAGTTTTGTTAAATAGAATGATCAATGTTGCTGCTTCTCCTATACGCATTGTATTCTGCTATTACCTCCCAGGCATAATATCATTCAGTTATAGAGATAATTCCTAAGCAGCCCAAGATTTGAATGTGCAAAATTACCATATAGCATTATATTACGTAATCACACTTAGGGCAAAACCCACACAAAATATTCTCCATCTTTCAATCTCGAAATATCTTTCAACCTCGAATTCTCTTCTGCTTTCCATCAGTCACATATTCCTTAACTCTTTGAGGATCATCCGACATTTAGGAAACATCCTTAAAATCCAATCAAAATGGTATGTCCGCTTGATTAATGCTGCGCCCGCAAAGCTCGTGTGCCTCCTTGTCGCAAAGCCAATATCAATTACCCACGAAATAAACCAATTCAGCTAACATTTTCAATTAATTAAATAGTCGGACGGAGAAGAGAACGCCTCCAACGCCGGCGTTGCTGCCGCTGATGAAGTTGAAGTTTCTGCAAACGCCACCGCAGGCAGCTCCATGTCTGTCCTGGACGCATTGAAGGGTGTCTTGAAGATCGCTCTTATCCACGACGGTCTTGCCCGTGGTCTCCGTGAGGCTGCTAAGGCCCTCGACCGTCGCCAGGCCCATATGTGTGTCCTGAACGAGGGCTGCGAGGAGGAGGCTTACAAGAAGCTCGTTGTTGCTCTCTGCTCCGAGCACAAGATTCCTCTTATCAAGGTCCCCGATGGCAAGATGTTGGGTGAATGGGTTGGACTCTGTAAGTCTGCTTGTTACGTCGTTATTATTCTTTAATAAGATGAGATCTAATTGCGTATTTTTGCTTGAATTAAGGTGTTCTCGACCGTGAGGGTAATCCACGCAAGGTCGTCAACTGCTCTTGTGTTGTCCTCAAGGACTGGGGTGAGGAGTCCCAGGAGCGCTCCATCCTGCTCAACTACTTCCAGACCGAGCAGTAGATAATCCCAACGTTAAACGCTGTCTTTTACATCGTTCTTCGTCAACTTCGGCCTTGTCTCTCTCGCGAATACCTAAATAGGGCTGTGTCTTCGGTTGACATGAATTGGGCCATGGATTCGAGAAGCAAGGGGACTTGCAGGTATCTCTGGGTGTGCTACAATCGGAGTAACGCTATGATTAACTTGGCTTTGCTCTTTTACTCGTGGACATTTACTGATATATGCGCCTCTGGGAGGCATCCATGTACCTAAAAGACTTGGTTGATGTGGAGAAAAAAAAATATATTGAAATGATGTATTCCAAACAAATACTTCTAACTTGGAACTTGGCTGTGTATGGAATAACTTGAAGGAACAAGCGGATATGAATCATCCGCTCAGCATAGAGCTGTCAAAGCTGTACACCCACAAAAGAAACATAGAAGCAGTAGCAGCCCTGGAACACCAAACGGGAAGCAAAAGGAAAATGAATATGTACAAGATGTCTTCCATCTTAAAGGCAACCATAGACAACTCAGACCAGGACAAGCCAGGCTGAGCAACAGATACAACTACACTGGGAACCCGATGGTCCGGCTTATCTGAACTTGTAAGCGGGAAAAACCATCTTATCTTTCAGTATTGGGTCAAGAGAGAGTTGCTGGTAAGGGGAGCTTCCGGGGTCATAATACATCCCTTCGATGTGACCAGTTTCACGATGGACGGAGATGTAGTAGAAGCCAGATATTGTAAGCCCCTGGCGTGAATGAGACGGAGAAACAAAGCAGCGTTCTGAGGATGAAGTATTGATTAGCATTGGCAGTTTTAGAGAGGATAAAAAAAAGAGAAAGCGGAATAAAGAGACTCACCCTTCCACCTCATCAGTATCCATCCCTTAGATAGCTTCTCCGTAACCCATTTCTTACTCACGAGGTTCTTGACGATCTCATCATACGTCAGATTTTTAAAGGGTTCCAACTCCCTCCAGTAACAGCTATCAACCTCAGGGCCGGCATTGAAGTTCTTCGTTTCCAGTGTATGGGTGTTGAAATCAATGATTTCGCCTTCCAAGAAGGTGATTATGTGTGCGCCTTGGTTGTTAGCTGACTTGTCTGGGATGTTATACGCCTCCATGGTTCCAGATAGGGTCATGGTGTTATAATCAACGTTGTGGATGGTCACTTTGACAGGCCAGCTCTCCGTCTTTGCGGGTTCTGAGAGGTCCTGGCTGCTGTTGGTGTTACTGTTGTTACCCATGATATTAGTTGCCCAGTAACTGCGACCACCACTGGTGTAGACGCTGATCCGGTTCTCAACCCCGGGGGTTGCGGCAGGGTCTGTGAGACGACCAGTCCCCAGGAGTCTGTGGGGAAACATTGCGGTCGAGGCGGATGCCTGTTGCTGGCCGGAGAAGACGGTACCGGGGCTCAACCAGGAGCAGTGATCCGGCCCTGCGATTGAGCCGGTGTCGAGAATAAAGTCATCTTCATTGCGGAGGAAATATTCAAACTGCACGAAGCCTCCGGCCGCGGCGGTGGAAAGGCTCTCTTCGTATGAGTTTGAGAAACGGACCCGGTCTAGGTACTGGATAGCCTCCCTGAGGCGGTCGATAGAAGGGTCCTTAAGATACATGCGGCGGATGTCAGAATTTCTAGACGTATCGGCGCGAGCAGGCGGTGGTAAACGAGGACTTGGACGCCTTGTATGGCCTGAAAAGGAAGTAGAGGGAGAGTAATCGTCGCTACTGGTCCTGTCTCGTGTACTACCCGCACCATCCGGCCTGGCTCTCTCACCGTCTCCTCGCGTTCTCGGTGAGTACCTGTGATTTCTTCGAACAGACTGCAGGAGCGCCGCTGTGACTAAAGCCGGGTTGTCTCGGCCCACAGGCACATTTGGCGCTCCCACGGTTCTTCCTGCATCAGGGTCCTCGGGCGACGGTACGTTGGGCGTCAGCTGCGCCGTCCCTCTCAGCTCCCTCGGCAAGTGACTCCAGAACGAATCGTCTTCGTCCCTGGAGGCCGACCTGCCAAACCACATCTCATCGCGAGGGTGCAAGGGATCGGTGCGTGTGTAGAGGCCTTCTTCGTCCTGTGAAGGGGCCCAGCTGTATATCCGGTTCGACTGCTGAGGCGGCCCTTCATACGCCGGCCCGTGGCTTATATTCATCGCCCCCCGTCGGCGGATGATTGGTATCCTCTGGCCGTGCCCGGAAACGTACTGCTGATGCGATCGAGGCAAGTACTGGTCACCGCCAAGGTCGACGGAATCGTGCGGCGAGTCGACCAACACTGCGCCGACGCCTCCTCCCTGCTGCCGTCTGCGGATACGAGCACGCGAGGGCGAGAGCTCCGTCGACGACCGTCTTCTGCTGCGAAGGAAGTGGACGTTCTCGTTGTGTGCCTCATCTTCCGGGTTGCTCATGAGGGTGGCGGCCAAATCTGGAACGGGGCTGGTGAAGGACTCGAGCTGTTGTAGATAGTAGCTTAGCGGCGGCGGCGTAACGGATGTCGAGGGCGTCCCCAGCTGCTCATCTGGTAGATACTAATTCCAATTTCAAGCAGAAATCAGGTCTTCTGGTCAGCGAAAAGATGACTTGAAAGCTGTGGATAGAGAGAGAGAGAGCGATGGATATTCATCCTCCTTAACTACCGCCAAGAGTGGGAAGAAGCAGAACGAATATAAAAGTGTTGGCTCACTGGGGGATTGCTTGTCGGCGGCATGGTGTGCACTAACTGTCCTTGCGCTTCCTAAGGTATCTCCATCAAACTGGCCAGGCGAAGACATGGGAAGCCCGTCTTGCTGTCTTGCAGTCCTGGTTTTGTTGTCTGTAGATGTTGAGGAAGAGGCAAAAGCGACGGAGTTTTTTTTCGCCCTGAAGTTTCGTCCTGGTCGGTCAAATGACGTCCCTTTTTACTCGCACTATTTTTCGAAGCCAGCCACAAGTTTATACGAGAAGAGAAGCAAAAGATGAAGACGATGGCGGGAAGATGACGAGAAGACGAGGGAAAAGCGCCGGTTAGGTTGGACAAGAACTTGTTGTGCCCTGGACGGCGAGTCAACCAGAAAAGAAACACACCCTTCCGTCCGTATGTTATAGGATACAAGGAGGAGCCGAGAGGGAGAGAAGAATCTTGTCATGAGATACCCCCAGACTCCGTGTCTATCGTCAGGAGGGACGGCAGGCTGATGTCTCGACCCATCAGCTTCAGGACGTCAACCTGGGACGGACGCTCTCACCCCCTTGTCGGGCCCTTGGAAGCAGCTCACCTTATGGCTGGCCCGGCTTACTATAGGGTTGAGCGTGAACGGCTTCCTGTCACCTCTGGAGCCGGCTGTGGAGAAGGATGCGGGATCCGCTTGGCTGCCAGAAGGCCCCTCGATCAGCCTTGAAAGCATTTATATCAGGCATACCGGTTGGAAGCCTGGATGGTGGGATGGAGGACGCAGTTTGATGGCTACAAGGAGAGCTGCTTCTTATCGCAGTCTTCATCCCCTGCATAAAATGCATAGAGGTGCTGCCGATGATGTTTCAACTGAATATGGCCACAACTGGAGCCAGTTTCGGTCTATGGTAGCATCCAGGTCTTGCCCGAGGTAAACACCCGGATAATACACTCGACTGGGCATATCTACGTCGTTCTCTGTCAAAACATCATCTCAGCTTGAGACCATGGCAACGATCAAGACTGTCGAGCACTTTCGAGTGCCGTCCAGATAACTCTTCGTCAGGATAACAGACGAAGAAGGCTGTTGCGGATGGGTTGAAAGCCACCCTGAATGCCTTTAGCAGGCAGATCCAGGGCTACGAGGCAGGGTGAGTTACTGACTCTATACTACAGAACAGACCATAGGCTAACATCCTTAATGCTAGTGATATCGAACATATATGGCGGACAGCATGGAGACAAAGGCTTCTGCCGCGGTTGTCCAGTCAAGGCGCTCGCAAGGGTGAAACGCCATAAAGGTGAACGCTACCGACATCAACTGGCTCGACTCTCCACGCATCCTTGAAGCCAGAGTCGAGAGACTGAAGACTGTTAAAACCTCGGTCTTGACGCTGCTCTAGGCTCCCACAGTCGACTTCACACAAAACCCATGGCCTAACAGTTGACCAAATTAGTTGATCCGCATTAAACCCCTATTCATCCAGAAACCACTGCTCTCTGAACATCCAGAAGGCATCAAGCAGCCATTGCAGCAGAATCTCCATCCCCATCATACTAGGGGGAACGACTGCATGGCCGCTGGGATATCAAACGCTTCCTCGAAGTTGCTAGCGTCGATATCTTCCAGCCTGATATCAGCCATTCCGGCGATATATCCGAAATTCGGCGCATCGCCGCCATGGCCGAGACATATGATGTTGCTACTGCTCCACATTGCCCTCTGGGCCCTGTTGTCCTTGCGGCCGGTATGCAGGTTGACTTTGTCAATGCCGAGCTTTGTGATGAACCTGTACATTATAATACCACCGAGTCGGGAGGAGAATATGATGTGACCAACTATGGCCAGTGCGTTCGGCGTCAACGATGGGTATGCAAAGGCCTTGGATGGGCCAGGCCTTGGGATTGACGTTGACGAAGAGCAAGGCGGTCGGTTGCTACGGATGTGAAGCCTTGAAATACTACTGGTTTCTTTGGGTCAGACGGTAGCATCCAGGAGTGGTAGTGCGGTCAATTCATTAGTCTCTAAGCAGTGTAAGTATAAATGTATATGATGCTCCGTCCAAATTCTATTTTATCCCTCTGCCAATTGACTTGACCAACCAAGAAAGCTGTAAGATGCAAAGGAAAGCTATGATAAGATGAACAAAAAATTATAATTAGAAATAAGGAAAAACTTATCCAAGTCATCTAGATCGTTTGGACTCGTTCCAGGTTCCACCTATCAGCTCGATCCAAGCAATCGTATATAGTCTCCCAAAATTTATCCACATCAAGGCTACATGGGATGGTGACTCCCCCGACACCATCAAGGCATGGGCTGACGTTTGTACGGCCTACTTCGCCTTGCAAGTCGGCTCCATCGACGCAGTGATGAAGTCCATCCGTCACGATAGAAACATTGTATCTCGCGCCACTTGCATCGTCAAAGGGTAGCTGTTCTTTAAGGCCGTCGGCCTTCTTAGCTTGGTCATTGAGATTTGATAGTAGGATGGCAACTGCAAGGGGGTCATGAAGAGGTGGGCCAGCGCTGATACCAAAAACGGAATCATAAGTGCCTGCAAAATAGGTCAGTAACGCGTGGAGGATTTGACGAAGAACAGAAGGACTCTGTTTCTCTCCCGTGGCACCGTCGAACCCTAGAATACGTGATTGAACTGCTTTGGTGGCCAGTACTTGGTGTGTCAAATCGACAGTTACCAGCGTGGTCTTTGGTGCGAGAACTGGGGATGAGAAAATAGACTGGGCTGATTCCGGATCACACTATACGGAAATAATTAGCATAACGGCAACATTTATGAGTAAAACTCGTGAGAAAAGACAAACATATATGTTAAACTCAGCCCAGGGAGTTATATTTCCGACCCTCAATTCGTCTCCTTCCTTCTTGCTAATAGGAACGCCTGAGAAGCCTCCGCCGATAGCACCGCCCATAATACTAATGCCACGGACATGCTCTGCCACCTCAGGAAATGTTGCGAAGAGGATGGCAATATTGGTAAGTGTTCCAGTAGCCACAACCCATGCAGTATCTTTGGGTTGTGATAGGAGAGCCTCCCTCATGGCAACAAATGCTGAGACATTCGTCACCGCCGGTTTTGTTGGGGCGGGGAGAAGGTCCGTCCCGTCGATGCCGGAGGCTCCTAGCAGACGCAGCGTGTAAGTGATATGATATATAGCGGAGCAAGTGAATATGGGTATAGTACCATGAATATTCTCCGCATGTACAGCTTTGCGACAGAACGGCTTCTTTGCACCAGGATATACGGGGATGTCGGAACGTCCGATAGCTTCAAGAATGCTTCCGGCATTGACCGTTGTATTTTCCAACGACCCGTTGCCATGCACCGTACTTACACCCAGCAGCTTCAACGCCGGGTGATGGGCAGCAAGGAGAATCGCAAAGGCGTCCTAGGAAATTGCTGTTAATTCTCTATCTCTTCGCCGTCTTGCGGGGCATCTCACATCATGCCCTATGACGTATTGGTTAGCGTCGCCATTGCAGAAAGAGGGAACCCCGAGGACTAACCTGGGTCACAGTCAAGCCAGAGAGGGATACGGCCGCCGTCTAAAACTGAAATAGAGCCCATAACTGCTTGGATACCGACGTCTCTTGTCCTTTTGACTGGCAACAATCGTCTGTCGTCGAAACTCCGGCGCAAGTCCGAAAAAAGATATCCGTTATCGATAAGAAATTGGAAAAAAGAAGCTTCTATTAGTCATCATGCAAAGCTGGCTCTTCCCGGCTTGGCGTTTTTGCTCTCCTTCGACTTCCTTCGTTTATATTTCCGGATGATGCAAGAGAGACAAGCTTCTCCTACGCTTCATGGACGGCAGCAAACAGGCTGACAGCTTCTGCCAGGTTCCATGAACCATCCAGTCCTGGCTACTGTATGCCGTGGCATTCCGTGACTGGAAATGCCTGGCCCCTCTGGACGTTTGCGGTCGCCTCCTTCGAAATCCAAACCGAGAATACCAACAGTCTCAATCCCTTCTCATGGATCCCCTCCCACATCCCGGCCAACATCTCGCACACATCAACGCATTAAACATGCTTCAGACCGGATTCAGTCGAACGCAGCCAGTGATAGAGCTACTGCAGCCTTGATTCGCCGAGTTCTATGCCCGAACGCCAGTGGCCATGGCGGCCTGGATCGTGGCAGCCCTCGGCCGCTGGAGGAGCTGCTTCCTCCACTAACCAGCATGAATGAAGTTGATCTCCAGCTCTATGCCCTGATGGCTGTCGTTATGAGAGAGTTTGTTTACTCTTGGTATTCGAAGATCACCCCTGATACCCTTTTCACGGACGAGGTCATCCAGCTTGTTGCACACTGCACCAGGGCTTTAGAGCAGAGATTACGGCAGATTGACGTGGAGACGCTACTGTTTGATGAGATTCCTGCACTGCTTGAAGCACATATCATTGGTAAGCCACCTTTTTCTTTTTCTTTTTCCCCGTTTCCAATATATACACAGAAATGTATATATATGTTTTAGGAGTTTACAGGGGCTGTCATGAATGAGCTTATCTTAATGAAGAATGACGGCAGCCTACCGAACTGCTCGCGACAGCTCCGCAAGAGGGGAAGACTCAGGTCGCCGATTACGTGTGGTCTATCATACGCTAAATCCACATCCGGCGCTATCACCAGTCCCCGGCCCTGATGACGGGGATGTAGTGAAGCAACAAGAGGCCGAGAAGATATACCGTCAGCTCCTAGCCCATGGAGCTATGGCTGTGCTCCTTCCAACAGAAGATTTGCAAAACGTTTGCTTACGAACATTGGTTGGAGATATATTAGCCGATCTACTCCTGGGAGGGGTTGTCAGCGGGAAAGTTGCTGAGGGCTGGTTCATCTGGGATGCCATCTCGAAGATTCTCGCAAGCTTGAACCACAAAACACAGAATGATGGTGTGGAACACGATCAAAGTGGCAATCTAGAAAAAGGCGATCACGAACCTGATCAGGAACGATCATCTAAGTTTGACGGTTTATCGACTCAGAGAAGCCAATCGATCCTACTATCATCTCTTTTCAGTTTGATGCAATATTGCTATCTAGCTTATGTTGCATTTCGGTTCGTGGCATTGGGGTTGTTTCGTGTCTCATCAACAACAACCTCCTCCACGGCATATGCTAGCAATAGCAGCAACACTAAAGAGGCAACCCCTTCCAGGCCAAAGGGTAACATCGTGCGACTGCCCGTTTTGGAGTATCGAATCTTTAGCGTGATTTCGCAGCTTCTTGACATATCGAGCCGGATGCCATGGCTTGGAGGGTTTCTAGCCCTTGTTCAACACCTCCTGATGACAGGCCCGGGTAAAGTTGGAACGGTTGATGGAGTCATTGACAGGTGAGTTTTTGCGAACTTGTTGTTTTTGACGGTCGAGCCTACTTGCTTTGCTTTGCCCATGTTTTTGCACGTTTTCTTTCGCAATGACCGTTGGGTGATGTTCCATATAAACTTCTGGTTGTCGAAGAGCCCACCCGCTTCCCCCCACCTACGTCCTTGATAGGGTGGACGAAGGGCTCCCTTCATTTATCCGTGCTCCATCCAGACATCGATCTTGAACGAAGGCCCCGAGCAATCAGATCGCATGGCAGGGATCTCACTTAGAGTTTCCAGTTTTCATGCATAGCACTTCAGTCACTTGATTTTATGGAGGGTAGCCCCCGCATCCAATCAGCAGCGGCAAGCTCCCAGCGACCTAAAAGAGGGCCACTTTAAAGGCGAAAAAACGATAAAATGCGATTCCCGTATCGTCATCCTGCATACGCCGTATTTTTGTATGGTTACCATTGTATTGGTAATACCAGTCCGTTTTCCTTACCGGGTTCCATTACGATACGACGATAAACCCCTTGCGCGGCCATACATACTTACTCGAGTACGGAGTGCATGCGCCTTATTCTCTCATATCCAATGTGTTTAGCAGGAGGCACTCCATCCTCCTCCGCGCTGATCTGTGGGACGGGCCTTCCTCCCTTCCGCAAGCCTCCAACCTTTTGCGTTCTTCAGGATTCAGCATCACTGGGCGCCGAATGGCATGGTGGTTCATCCATCCACCGCTAACTGCGTTTTCATATTTCTTTCCCGTTTATCAAATGCGTCCTTTGTTACCCTTGCAGTTCTCGTTTAACCTGCTCTTTTTTTTGGGACTATTTTCTGCGTTGATTCCATTCTCACCCCTCTCTATAACACCTTGAAAAACATGCTAGTTGTTGCAAAGTGTGACGCCATTGCTGACAAGAGAAAATAGATTCCTCCGCGATTGTATCCGCAGACAGCTGTTGACTGCCACATTCTTGCCGTCTTGGCTTCTTGCGATCCGAACCACGATATTTCCAATTAATGGTAGGCCTAGCCTAACGCGGGTTTCCGGGCTTTCTGCGGCCACACAACAGCAGCAGCCTTCCACCCCTAGTTCAGACGCCGAGATCGGCACCCTCGCCAACAGCAGTTCTAATACTGACGGCCCAAACCACGGCCACAGAATTAGCAATGCCTTACAGGAGACGCAGACATCGCTTAATCCAGTCCCGCGTCGACCCAGCATGGTAGACGCATCCTCGTCTGGATCTCAACAACCATCTGCAGCGGAATTAAAATCGATCAAGCGGGCATGCGCTGCAAGTATACTCGCGTTGATCCCCCGAGCTATAGCCTTGAAGCTTTTTGCAATCCGGACGGATCGAAGATTATTTTCTTCAGAGACCAGTACTACAGCCAACGACAGCCCGGATCATCTCGTTCAATCCAGCGTTCCCGAGTCTTCAGTTAATAGTAGAATCGACGCGCCTCTATCAGACGCTGGATCTGAACCGGGACTGGCAAGAGATTCGAATCCGAGCCAGGGAGATGGCAGGCATAGTGGGCCAGGTGCTTATAGACAAAATATCCAAACTCACAGCAGTCATGATCGTAATAAAGGCAGGAAGGTGACTGATGGCAGCCCTGATCTGCCAAAGGCCAGTTCGGGTAAGGCATCGAAGGATCACGATGATGAAAATGCTGCCTTACTGTCCGCGGTTGAACATGATCTCCTCGACCTCTTCTCAGATTCTTACTGTAACAAACATGTCATCTACTCCATTGTCGAGCTCGTTCTCATTAAACTAATTCCCGAGATGGGAGAGCATAGCGTGACCGATTTGATGAACGAACGGGGAGTTTCATGGTCAACTGCATCGACTGCAACAACCTGTGAATGATTTCCCTCAATCACCTTTTCTCTTCCATCTCAACTTTCCTTGTTTTTCGTTTGCCTTTTTTTTTTTTTTTTTTTTTTTTTTTTGGTGACGTATCTGTTTAATGCTCCGTTCCCTTGTATATTGACTTTTTTTCCCTTTTCTCAACCTCGCCGCTTCGACCTCCATCTGCTCCCATAGGAACCGCATTGAATTATGAATATCTCCTGTTTTTTTCTTTTCTATTCTTGACTGCCCAAAGTGGCAAGAGACCCCCTACATGCGCATGACCAGTACCGGGGGTCTCTAGTTACACTTGATGCACAGCTAGCTATTTGACCTGAGAACGGGCCTTTCTCTTGCGACCGGTCCATGATCCGCCTGTCACTGCAGAAGGGTGCTAGGTACTACTCACGATCACTTAGCTCTATGCTGCCATCCGTCTTTCGTCTTGACCACTATTCTATTCTCCAAATGCTCTCCATCCCTTGCATACTTCCGATATCGTTCATGCAACCGACTTGATCGCTCATCCCCATTGATTTTTCTCCGCATAAGCGCCCTGTCGACCCAAAGTATATTGGACGGTTATATATATATATGTACATTGTTACATCATAGCTGCACGTCGTAGGAAAAGGCCGTGGTATTCGACCTTCTTCCTCCCCCACCGTATCCCTACCCCTACGCACGTACATAGTACATCCTACACACCCTCCATATCTTCCATTGACCCGATGCAACGGTAAATAGACAAAATAAATATAGTAAATAAGGAAAGTAAAAAAGAGGGAGGGCAACGAGCAATAACTCGTACCGTATTTTGCCTTTTGCCTCGCTTCGCTTTTTTCAATGCGTCAGGGTCTCATCTCAGCCGCTTTGTCTGGATCACAGGCCAAGTTGATACTGAATAACTACCGTCAGGAGGCAAAGAATGTGAATGTCCAGAGAGTATTGACGAATTATTAGAAACGCTTCTCCCGCGAGAAAGTGTCACCAAGCCCTCCACCCTGGGCATGTTAGAAGCTCGGGGCTCTGTGGCCTGTGAACCAGACGTTCAGGCTGCCAAAGAGCTGCTGTGGGACCTATACGTGGGAAAAGTGACGAATAAGGATATGCGATTTTGAGTAAATATGTACGTAGGGTGTTACTGCTATTCGCATAAGAACGGCAAATGTAGTAGTAGTTGTTGTATATATGTGTATATTTTTCTTTCTGCGTCCTCCCGCTACTATATCAAATTACCATATTATTTCAATCTCATTGTCCAGTTCTACCTAGCACAGTTCAAAATCGCAAAGCGTGAAGTGTAGAAAAAGAAATAAGTAGGAAAGAAATAAAGGGGGAGGAGGAAGAATAGAGAATATAGAAGAAAAATAATCAGGTCCCAGTTGCCTATCCCCGTTTCCCAGTCCGCGCGAGCGGTAGTCGTTGTAAATACTCTCCGAGCCCTAGAATGAATAACATAGCATGAAGACAAAAGGAAACAAACCAAGAGAGAGCATGGTAAATCAGACAAGTAAGATGATAAGGGGAAACCATAATTCCCCCTTGACATCAATAAATGCAACATATGATGATGGAAGTATATAGGTATAACATAACGAAGAGCATAGATGGGGGACGCAAAAAGCAAATAAGGGGAATAAAATCAGTGGATAGGTAAATGAATGGGCGACATTAATGGGAATTAGGCAGAGTGATGAATATTACTTGGCACAGCTGTTGAAACCGTCCAAATATACCATGGACTATCGCCCAAGCGAAATAAAATGAAAAGGATGGATGTGTAGTAATAGCAGAAAAATCGATTTGCATAAGGGGGAATGATTGTCGTAAACGTTGAAGGTAATGAATCGGGAACAAGACATGGGGTTCGTATTAGATGGGGATGCCGTGCAAGCAAACAAATGAAATAGCGTGAGATCGATGCTAGTATAATAAAGAGAGTCAGCTATAATGTGTGGATGCTTCTCTTCTTGCTCACACGAGGTCTATCGGTGTGGAACTTGGCTCGGGAGGTAGCTTTCATGGGTTGTATATAGGGCTGGCCTTGTGCTAGTTTTAGTTTCTCCATGAGTCTCCCTATAATCTGATAGTCAGACATCGCCAATTCCGTTGACTGGTTTTGGAAGTAGTTGAGGACCAACTCCAAGGCCTTTCGAGCTTCATCCTGGGTCGGAGAGCTGGGAGTGGTGGCCGGAGATGATATGCTCTTTGATTTTGGAAGGGGTGGCGGTTGCATAGAAGTGATATTGGTGGTTATTTCTGGATTGCTGCAGTTCCGTTTCATTGCAGGTGCGCCTATATACTCAGTAGGCTCCTCTTCGATGACTCCTGATTGGGTGAAGGTGTTTGTAGGCGATAAGCTCTCTGGGATTTCATCCTTGACCGTGGAGGGTCCAGAGATCATTAGAGGCAATGTTTGGCTCCGTCTTCGCTTTGATTCCACACCTAAGCCTGTATGTTCAGATGGTGCAAAAGGGTTATGAGAGAAGATTATGTTTGATTCACTTGTTGCTCTGGTGACAGCGGGTGGTACAACCGGTTTATTCTCCTGGGGTAGGGGTGCGTTAAAGGCGTCATTACCGAGTTCACTGAGTTCTCCCTCTTGCGCAGATCCAGGCTGTGTTGGAGATATGGGAGAAGGTGTCGTGGTAAGGGTAGGGGAAACAGGAGAGAGCTGGGTGGGTGTCCTGATAGTAGACCGTTTCCTTGGACTAATCGAGTCGACAGAGGACTTCCTGCCTGGGGAGCTAATGATGTAATTCTTTTGCTTGAACCTCTCTAGCCAACTTGAGGTCAAGATCTTCTCATGGCCTTCAGGGCTGCCGACGGTGTTTGCAAAAAATAAAGCCTTCTCCCTGATTAATGCATCATTGATATCCCCGCCTTGTCGCTGGTGGTTCTTAACCCAGTTTGATAAGGCTCGTTCAATATCTGGAAACTTCCCTTTCGCCTTCTTAATGGGTGATCGATGGCCATCATCGGGGAAGAGGTACTTGTCCTTTTGACGGAGTACTTTGGAAACGGTACTAAGGAACAAGTGATTAGAAAATGTACAATATACTAGCACTGATACAAAACTACTAGTCATACCTTCGTTCAACGCCAAACATAGCTGTTAGATTTTCCTGTTAGCTTATTCACGGCAACATTATTCCGATAGGTTAAACAAGGACTCACCTCCAATCTCGGTCTGCTTAACATGCGGGTTCTCCTGATGATACAAGCACATGCGTCGGCGCTCGGCATCAGTCAAAGTTCTCCGCGGGGTAGGTGGCGTCGGTATCTGAGGCGTTTGAACGTGCTGCAAAGGAGGTGCAATTGGAGTCATTGGCATTGGTGCAACCGGCATTGGCGCGAAGCCAGGCTGAGTAGATAGCATGCTCGGCCATTGAGAAGACATGGTGAGCGGAATCAAGTGTTGTGTTGTATAAGGCTGGGGCATAGACATGCTATATGCAGGTTCAATTGGCATGATGGGAGAAGATCCAAACTGAAACCCAGAGAATTCGGTCAACTGCTGATGCTGAGCTACCGCATATCCTCCCATGTCAATCCACTGCGAGTTGACGAAGTCATGATCTTGCATCGGCGGGGTTTCTGTATCCATAGTCCAAGATTCTTTTTCTACCGATAATCAAGCAAAATGGCCGCCACTGGCGTTCTTTTAGAAGCCTCAAGAAAAAAGGGGGCGGGGAGAAATAGAGGCACGCAAAGTAAGTGTCTTAAAGCTGCTTGAGGCACGCTGCCAACAAGGAGATTTCACGATGCAGTTAGGTGGGACCTCTAGAAGAATTCAGTCGACAGCACATGGCATAGCGCAACTGCAAGCTGAGACCAAGAAGCGAGGGGCCCCGAAAAAAAAAACGAGGTGTCCCAGTAGCCGCCGTCTGATGTTGAGAAAAGGGGGAGGGTAAGGTGGGAAGAAGGATGGGGTAGATAATCCAGAGAGACCCAGGGCCGGACGATGCAAAGTATGTAAGTATGTAATATAGGGAGAGTTCGATAGACAGGTACTTCAGTTGAGAAAGGGAAACAGCGAGAAAAAGAAGTCTAGCCCAGCCTGCAGGAGTTCGAGACTACTTTCTTTTTCTTATTTCTGTTCTCTCTCCCGCTGTGTGCGTGTGTCTCTTTTATTTTTTCTTTTCGAATGAATTTTTATCTCGAGTGCTTTGCTTTTGCGGTTGTTGGGGCCGGAGACGGGTATATTATGTATGTTGCTATTAGTTGGGCGGATGCAGGCATATGTCTGTCTACTCCCGTACATCAAGGGGAGTCAGGAGGGGGCAAAAGAAGAGTCAAATGCAGGACCCGACAGTGACAGGGAAGGCACACTACTTTTTAGTTTTAGGGTTGCATAAGAAAGACGGTTGAGCTAGCACAGGAATGAGTTTAGCCACCGCCAATCTAGGGCAGGGATAAGCCTGGAGAGGACAGGGAAGCCTAGCAAAGACGAAAAGAGGGCCAGGAGGCGGGACCTTTCTCCGGGATAGCCGGGTTATAAGTATGGGTGTTCGACGACGTTCCGGGGATGGACCTGTACAACAGGGGGCGGAGGACAGCAGCAGACCGCAGAGAAAGGTTAAAAAAAGAGTAGATCCTCTTCTCATGGCCACTGTGGCCGGGCTGGCAGACGGAGTATTAAGTAGTCCAGCTACATACATCCCTTGGAGGAAAGCTCCAGGACCAGGGGCAGCCACAAACGAGCCATCGTCATGCGGGCTGGCAAATCGCAAGCTGGAGCCCGCACTTCTTCTAAACAGAGCATCGCATCACCAGATTATACGGAGTATATCATGCCTAAGAAAGAAAAGAAAAAAAGGGACAGACGGCTGTATGGGCTAAAACAGTTGGGTATCAAATATTGAAAGTCGATGACGCCGTAACGCGGCGTTTGTACCCCGTTTGATACGTCCATACGGTCATGACGAAATGTGTATTCTCCATACAGACTATGTCGTATGGATAAAAGTCATATATAAATAACGACACACTAAAAAAGACGAGGTTGTCAGTTTGTATAGACGAGAAGGAAAAGGAAAAGTAAAAAAAAAAAGAAGAAGAGGAACAAAAAAGATAAATAGTTCGTTTCGTGGCAGCCACGAGCCAAACCTTGATCGAAGATCTGGCCATGGCTCGTTGACAGTTTTTGTGAATTCGATATAATAAGCAAAGCGGACAGCCAGAGTTTGGTTATGGGCCATCGTTGAACACGTTTGTAAATCCCCAGATATTACTTCTTTTGGTCGTTTGGTCTGTCAACGGGCGTATACGCGAGTACGGCGTATATACATACTGACATTGGTAACATCATCCGGGTCACCTGCAAGGAGCAGAGGGCACTTCAAGGGGCGCTACGAAATGCGTGTAAGTTTGGCGGAAGAAGGAGACAAGATCTGGTCATCGCTAAACGGTTACTGGCTCATCTGTGTAGAGAGCCGTCCCGCTTTCATGTTAATCCTTCATCCACACCAGCTTTGCTTGTGCTTCAAACGGCCGCTGCCGAGAAGGGAAAAGGGGGTTAGAAATAAAACACGCCCTTTGACCATTCCCAGGACAAGGAAGAAAGACTATCTAGCTGCTTCTTTGGGGCAACCGTTGATATTTGGTCTTGATCACTTAGTCCAATAGTATCGTCATATAGACGGGACCCCTCAGGGCAGCGGACGGGAGCTTGCCTAACAGCGGCGACCGTGGCGCAAAGAAGATAACTATATCAACTGCGCACAGCATATATAACTCGATTTCCTAATGCTTATGAAATCCAAGGATCTGGAGAAATATCGAACCTTACTCTGTAGTTCTGCTTCGTTTCCTTGTTCCTGTTCCTGTTCCGGTTTTCTTTTTGTCTTCCCGGGGGCTGTTTAACTAAGCGATGCCCTGACTGTTGAGCCCTAAAACAACTATACACTGATCGCCCGCGTGGTGGTTTGCCCAATTGCTGCATCCGGCCCGCATACACTATGTATGTAGGCCCCCATGGACAGGCCGCGAAGCGAGCTGGTTGTCTTGTTGATCGGTGCATGTCATATCTGTTTGGCTTCGAACCCTCAGGCTGAATGTTTACCATGTATGTATCGTTTCTAACGAACGTGAATGGTCGACCTATTTTTATCAGTTTTATGTTAAAACAATTACGTGCGTAGTGGTGGTACGAAGGAAGTATTCCTCCCCCTACTCTATCTCCTTCCAATGATGATTTGATACTTACGAAAGTGTACATTCTTCCCTCATGTCGAAAAGGGAAAAAAACTCTTGCTTCCCTTACTAGCTCTATCGAATTCCACGAATAATTGTGACCTGTACTGTATACCATCATCCTTGAAGAGCAAGGGGTTGGCAGAGGCTTTTTCTCCCTCTTTCCTTGCTCAGGTTCCTGGCAGCAAGCAAGGGTGGCTTGTAGAGAGAGCGACAGCCAGGGAGGATTTCTCCACCGTCTGCCAGCCAGCCTTAAGCTAACTGTACGGAACCAGCCATTTTTTTCACTTTCTTTCCTTTTTATCTTCGTCTTTTTTTTTTTTAAAAAAAAAAAAAAAGCAGTCGGTTTGCATGCGTAAATACTCCAAACTCCGTACTCCGTGCGAAGATGTTCTACACATCTAGTTTGCATGTGACATGCTAAGAAATATTTGGTTAGCAAAAAGCCCAGGTTATGACGACAGATTTGAGGCATGACGGAAGAAATCAAGGACCATCACAGCTGCGAGAGCTCTCTCTCTCTCGAATGCGCAGCCAGGGAGAGGCGTTACTTTCAAGGGCCTTCAAGGGGCATTTTAGTCTTTCTTCTAGAGCCCGGAAAGAACAAGGTGATACGCGAGGGTTGCACGTCTCAAAAAGAAGAGCAACCAAAGGAGGGAGGCGACCAGGATGGTGAAAGAGAGAGACACGACTCAGTCATTCGATCTCGAACCACCGATCAGCGTACACATTATATACTAGACGGCGAACATCCAAGAAAACGATCGCTGATGCACTGCCGCTGCTTCGACTATGTGGGGCCGAAGCAAGTACATATCTTCCCTCTTTTTTTTTTACCTCAAAAGAGAAAGATGGTGAGAGAAGAAGGGGAAGTCTGAAGGCTAGAATTGCCCATCGGTTGCTCCGGTAAAGTCCTTGCTAGGTCAAAAACACACTATTGCCCCGATTCCACATTATACCCTCCTGCATCCCATATCATAGTTGAACTCACGGCAGAAGGTTTCCAAGCGACAATCCCCCGCCCACCCCCCCCCCCCCCCCTCGTTCAACTCTTCTTCGGGGTTCATGGGAATTGGGCGGGATCTAAAGGCTATGCATGTTGGGTGGCGTGGAGAGGATTAACGGGGCCGGTATATATGTATTTGTTAGCCGAACTTCGCCACGAGGGAAAGGCATAGCCAGAAGGGAAAAAGGAAAGAAGAGAGGGGCTGGGTTTCAGAAATCCGCCCCACGGTCAAGAATATAGCATCCATTAGCCTGAGGGGGTGCTGTCATGTGCGTACCTCATGTATGCGTCGAGATATATAGATCTGAGATCAACAACCGTGACTGGGTGCCGCATAGCTAAGCTTATAAGCTAGGAAAGACGGCCGTCAGGAGGCCATCGTAACGGCATGCTAAAGCCCGTCCAGTGTGATGTCATCAAACCGTTTCCCCTTCTCCTTAGTTCGAGAAAACATCGATGTACTCTGTGTAATATCTAATGAGCGGATGCGCCGGTGAAGATGAGTCGGCGGAGTTGCTTGAAGTGGCATGGTATGCTAAGGGGGTTCCTCAGGCATTGCCAAAAAGGGGTGGGAGGGGGAAAGGTGAGCAGAGCTAGGAACCCCTACACATAGCACCTAGAGTCCATGTTAGCGCCCTGCATTGAACAATCAGGAGGAGATGATGGAGTATGTATGAATACTTGGTTAGGTGGTACATGGCGAATGGAGGATAGTCAGACAACTTACTAACATGGACACATATAACTAATATATCATGAATTGGTTGTATACGAACCCCCCTCCTCCCCCAGGTAAACCAGCAGCGGATGTACTACCTGTAAGTATACTCCATTCTCCGTATCCTATACCTCTTTCGTAACCAAGATAATTAAGCTACCGCAGTAGGCAGTAGTTTAGTGCGGAGAAGCCGCGCTCCATTTTGACACATCCTGATTGGGCTGCAATGCAGAATTGCTCCTACAGAGTAACTCGAAATTATCACCTATCATGGGCCAAACGCAGGTCAGGGGGGGGAATCGCCGTCCACATCCGTACCCAGTATGAACATCTCGGCCGCATGACCAGGGAACAAGGCTGTACATATGTAGGTATATAGATGGTGAGCTGCTTAATTGGCGTGTATTGAAACATCACTCGCAGGCTAATTGAGAGATCGCATGAGAATAATGTTATGGACATCATCATTGAAATGTCAATCAGCGCTCTTCATGTGAGAGCCTGCCTTTCCTGATGATCAGTAATCGGCTAGTAAGCGCTAGGGGGTTCGGTTCTTTTTATTGCTTATGCAAAAATTGGGTCGAGGGCGTAGCAAGGGGCATGGCAAATAATATATTTCCTTTTCCTTTTTTCTCTCCCTTCGTTTTCTCGTTTCTTCTCCTGTGTAGTATGTACGTAGCACTTCGTACAGGCTTTCATCCCAGTCATCTCGCGTGGTGGAAGGGGGGAAGACCTATACTCCATCCACGATGCATATGTACATACCATAGTAACTCCCTTCTAAGGTTGCCGTCCTCAGAAGTGGATATTATATCGCTGCGGCAACCTCGAGCCCCTTTTGGCCCTCTTTTTTTTTCACTCCCCTGGCTTGTCTTCTCCTGAACGACATCATAGGAAAATCATGTCGCGGAGGACCAGATCCCGGTCCTTAATGATAATATTAAGCGTGCATAAGTATATTTGCCTTGCTCTCCATCGACCGATTCGGCAAACGGAAGGGAAGCACATGTTGCAATTCAATGCCTCCCAAGCCTGTTCCCCCTCCTTGAAAATTGGCATTGTATGATTGCATAACTACAGTAGCAGCAAATGATAAATCCCCTGCCACCCATGAAAGGTCACTGATGAATGGCCAAGCTGATCCCGAGGATGCGGGAAGTAAAAGCTAGTCAGCTAAATGTTGGTTTTGCACTGCACCTTTCATTGTTCCCTTCCCCCCTTTTCAACTTGCAACCAACACCTTGATGTCGTCCGCCATTTGCTTCGTTCGGGCACGAGGAAGAGGAGCTTGGACGATAACCAAGCCTGGCCCTTGAAGAGGAGGAAGAGAAAAAAGAAGCAGAAACAAACGTGCATAAGACTATACATCATAGTACTTTGCGACGTTGTACATGTTAATTCTGCATATTTTCGAGAACCTTGCAAATCATCATTCCTTCCACTGCGTAATTTTGACATGCCTGCTTTGTTTTGCTCGGCGTACATATAGAGCAGCTCGTTACTGATATGTCGTTACTGCTCTATACTATGTAAGTATCTGCATTCATTAGTCCTGCTCTCACTGCCTGTACCCTGCCCTCCACCCATCGGCAGGCGGAATATCCGCCGATTGACTCTGCAAAAACTTGGTACCGAAGCCTAGCTCGGATGGATATAGTGCATATATAAATATATATATATATATATATCATGCCATGTATCTACATGATAGGGGTCTTTCTGGCAGGTAGATACGTAAACTCGTTCCCTGGCATCGCTTCCAACTTATGGAATACGAGTCAGGAGATATCTCATATCCTCTTACGTTAAAAAATGGGTTGGCTCATTTTTTTTTATATAGATAGATACATACATACACCTGCTTTACACCGCCCAGGATCTCTCCCGTCTCTACTTGAAGTGGAACCTTGGGCCATTCCATCTTCCTTCTTTTTTCCTGGTCTTTGTTCTTGAGCGCTTCTCTTATCTCAACTTCGACGGCAGGATATACGATGTATGCATAGTGACATGCGCCCGTGTACACAGGTACAATCCTGTTTATATATATTATAGGAATTACGATATTACCGCTTCGCAGTATCAGACGCCTCGTGGATGCTGATAGGCAGACATTTTTGATATCTTTCAAATGGCATATTACATCGCATCATGTAGCTACCCGGCCGGATTTCAAAGGAGAGTCAGCAGGAGTGAGTACTTTGTCAGTACCACAGCATATTTACTCCTTTCTCAGGCGCTCTTTTTCTCTTCCTCTTGAAAACATGATCAGGCGTCTCGCGCCTTTTTTCTTTTCTCAAAAAGACATATACCTGATATATCGACTTGGACTTCTTTTCTTTTTTCTCCTTCTTCCTTCTTCTCTTCGTTCTTCGTCGGGGATCAGCTTGATTCTTCAAGCTAAAGGGATCGACGAGCTGTGAAATGTGCGCCATCTCGATTGGATCTGAATCTCGGTTCATTGCATCTCATCTTGCGTCCTCCTGACGCTTGACGCCAGTTGCTTTTCGGCCTGTTTAGCGAACAACGGCCCATGTGAGAAGACCGGTCTTGTTCACCGCTCTATTAGACATGACATGCATCCCTATACCAGAAACACTCTTATTACAGCCAGCTGCCAAGGGTAGCTCAAGAAGAAGAGATGAGAGAAAAATAAAACACCGTCCCGTATAGAATGGTGCATGGCTATGTCATCACGCTGAAAAAAGATAGACAGTTGCCAAAATCAGGCCATCAAGACCGTTTTTTTCTTCTTCTTCTTCTTCCTTCGTCTCTTCATATTTTTTCATGGCGTACTAGTGAAAAAAAAAAGGATGAAGAGAAAAGCTTCCCTGAGGGAGATGAAAAAGGAACGTTTGATGCCTTTTTCCGATGCTTGCTTTTTTTTTTCTCGCCCTACACATCCATCTGGATAGTTTATTGTGCGTGTTCTTGGTCACTCAAACGCTCTACCGACCATCGAAGCCATCGCCATCTTCATCTATCAAGCTCACTAGGGTCAGTCACACAAGGAGCCCCCTAGGATGATGGGCTGCAGATCCATGGTCCTCCCCTACGACTTACAGAGATTCATGTTTGAAGCGGATGGTTTCTTGGTCTTACCTTCGTCTGAAAAGGGAATGCTGTGAGACAGAGACATGCTTTTCTACCCTGATTTACCTTTGCCTGCCTACTGGTGGATGGCTGTCTGGCTGACAGGTCGCACACGTTGCACTCCAGGAAGAGGGTAATAATATGTCTGGCTGCTAAGACGGCTTAAACCCCGAAATAAACTGGTTAATGCTGGCTGGAACGCACTATTTACCGTTTCAGCGGCTGCAATAACAATCTTCATTTTGCTCTCCGGGCACATCTCGGGGGTTTATACGGCCTAATCGGGATAGGTTATACACATATATACAGGGGCGGAATTGACGGAGGCCTATCTTGAATATTGATATTGCGTTATACCGATGATCTCAACGGTGAAATTCTTTTTTCTCTCTACTTTCCCTTTTCCTTCATGATCGTCAAGCTTAGTCTATTCTTCCACTCTTGAGCTCTGTCAACCATCCATCCTGAGGCGTTGTAAAGAAAGAGAGCACGATTAAGATCGGTGCTATCAGTATATGCTCACATGCCATCTTGAACGTCTGCTATTCAGCCGATAGATTGCTTTTTGCCCTCGATTATCAAAACCTTCATCCAACCTCTTGTCTCGCTCATCTATCTGCGGGAGGGTGTCTTGCCTTCACTTTCCTATCTGGCCCCGGGTTTAGATTACCCACTATCTCTTTTCTGCATCTTCCGCTTGATACCAAGACTTTTCTCCTTTCTGGTTGGCCCTTGATGTTTGACGTTTAACTCTTGCAAGTTTCGAATCAAAGTTTCAACAGGAGAATAAAATATGTATCAACCCTACCTATACTCCGTACAATGTAAACACACACTCCTTCTGCTGTGTGTGTGCAACGGTAGTATTTATTAACATCCCGACCAGGGCGATGGAATGGTTCATGATTGGGAAGCGCTCTTTTTCCTTTCTCCTTTGCCCCGGTTATTGGGTAGGATACAAGAGTTTCAATATGATACCCCCTTAAAAGAAGAAGTATATATCTTCGCCAGCAATTCAACATTGAGCTCCCTTATCAAGCGGGAAGTATAAGGAACCTGATAGCATCGCAGGGACAGGGAGAGATGACATACATTTATTTAAACACGTTTGAACGCCTGATAAGTCCCCTTTACATGGATACCCGATAGTGGCCTCGGGCAGAAACCCCTGTCCGATATCTACTCCCGACATGACTGGTAGACAACTGGAATGATTTCTTGTCGATGTATTCGAAGTATAGAGGATATATATGTATATGCAAGTCCCCGGATTGCGCGGCAGGAGAGGTAAAACCATCATCCCACATATACATTTACAGATAGGGAAAAAAAGGGGGGAGGAAGGGGTCCTGCAGGCAGACGCATAGTGAGCAGGCAAGCAAGGGCCAAGGGTTACAAATGTAAACCACTCCTTGGGTGTGTTGTGTCTTGCATTGCCCATGCGAGATGCGAAGCATGCATGCATACATAGCCCCGGCATAGCCTACAATGCAATTATTGGATCTCAACTACCATTTCATTTCCATCTGGGGGTGGCTTATACATCCAGTTAAGCACGGATGGGGATTTGAAGGGGGCATACGGAACTGTTTCTTATTTATTTTTATTTTCCTTTCTTGAGAAACACCATGCGAGAGAGGCGAGAGAAAGAAAAAATCAGTCTCGACGAAGCGGATGAAGATAAAGATGACGAAATGAGATTAAGTTTTGTGTGATGCCTGTCGAATTTCAACTGAAGAGAACGAATATTCTATTTACTTTTCCAGTTCTATTTTTTTTGGTCGGTAAATTTGGGCTACACAACTTCGCCTCCCACACCTCCTATTTCCTTTCTGCCTAACTAAACAAGTTATTATTGATAGAAAGGTTCTCAATCTTCATTTTCCTCAGCTTGCATTGCATTGTGGTTGCCGCTGTTTTGCCTTCCTTCTTCCGCCTCTGCCTCATATCTCGTACACTCCTTGTCTTGTAAAGTGTATATACTCAGTCCAAGGCGTATATAATTCCACTCCTCCTGAACACGTCATCCCGTATACCTTGTCAGCCATCAGGTTCAAGCCCATGTTCTGGAGTTGCAGTCTAGGGTAACTGAATTGCTGGCGGAACATCCCAGCTCCGCGGGCATGGATGACCCAGGAAAGAGTTGTAGAAACTCGGTTCGATGTATACGCATCTATCGTTTGACGATGGTTACTAATGATTAAGGTATGTTAGTAAAGATGCATAAAGATGGGAACTACGGAACGGAACGGGAGCGGTATGGCCCACTCACTAATGTCTTCGTCTGCGAGTTCGTGGCTTAATCCGACTCGTTGTGGTTGATGTTTGACGGAACGACCGTAAACGATGGCATGTTTAAATGACTCCACGATAGATTTATGGATGGAATTGCACTGTTACCAGGTTAACAACGAAAATAAACCGGGAGGGATGGTATGGTAGAAGGGAAAAAGATTGACATACGAAATCTTCAACGGTGCACGCAGAACTTCTCAGGACAACTGGTTCGTTATAGTCTGGATTCTTGCCCTTGGGCTTTGTATAAACTCTTCTCAGGTTGAGTTTCTCCCACATAAGCTCAAGGAGCTCATCTATATTCCATCCTCGCTCTGAACTAATAGGACAGGCGTTGGGAATACGGTATAATAAATCCAGCTCCTCAATTGAGATTGAGTCGATTTTATTCAAAGCGTAAATCACAGGTATATAGGAACGACTCCGGGCCTCGAGGACGTCGATGAGGTCGTCGATTGTGGCGTCGCATCGGATAGCTATATCTGCAGAGGAGATTCTATATTCGTTCATGACGGCTTTGATCTCCTATACATTTACGATAAGCCAACCATCCTTATACTTTGAAAGAAATGAATGGAAGATAACTTACAGAATGATCAATATGGGTCAGGGGTACCGTGTTTGTGATGGCAATGCCACCCTTATCCTTCTTCTTAAAGACAATATTCGGAGGTTCCTTGTTGATTCTTATTCCGAACCCTTCCAGCTCGCTCTCGATGATCTTTTTGTCTGTCAAGGGCTTGTTCACATCTAGAACAATGAAGATGAGATGGCACGTTTTGGCGACGGCAATGACCTGTCTTCCTCGACCTTTGCCGTCCTTGGCACCCTGAATAATACCAGGAAGATCGAGCATTTGAATCTTTGCGCCATTATATTGGACCTGACCGGGGACGGTGGTAAGGGTTGTGAATTCGTATGCGGCAGCTGTGTGATACCATGTATCAGCACCGAGGGCTTAATTGATAAGGGATATATGATCCAGACCTACCTTCGGAATGTTGTCCCGTTAGCTTGCTCATGAGAGTACTTTTGCCTACGGATGGGAATCCAATAAATCCACTGTGATACGTTAGTTGACCCAACGAATCCAATATGAACAAACCGCAAAAGGAGAAGAGTAAAACATACACACTGGCAACACCGGTACGCGCAACATCGAAACCAGCTACAGACCATCAAATTAGCCATATTATTCCAATGAATGTCCGTTCATATAATATCTGGAGCAAAGCCATACCTCCACCACCACCTCCTCCACCGCTGGGGGTGAGTAGCTCCCGCTTTAGCTTCGCGAGCTTAGCTTTCAATTGACCTATATCCCGCAAATGCAGTCGTCAGATCTACAACCCTGGCTATTTATTTTATCCTAGAAACTGTTCCGGATCGTACCCAAATGAAACGAGGTGGCTTTATTCTTCTGGGTTTTGGCCATCTGCAAAATGTATTGTTAAAACATGCGCTAGGGTTGAAACGGATAGAAATAAAGAGTAAGGGTTCTGACTTCGGCCTCAATTTCCTTGATCTATATGGAAGAACAAAGACGACATGGTTAGCTATAGCTCGTTCATGGATATATAAAAAATTTCTTCAGATGAAAGATAGCAGGTATCCAAACCTTGTCTACTGTTGTCGACATGATTGCGGTAGTTTGCCCAGAAAAAGGGGCGGTATAAAAAAATCAAATAGCGAGACGCTTGACAGCCAACGCTACACTGAAAGAAGATATAAAATGCGCGAGAGCTGTAACTTGCGAAGTTATATGCAATAATATTTCATCCAACGCGGTGGGGTTTGATCTCCATGGATAAATTCACACAACTTTTTTTCGATCTTATCTCGGACCTTTAGTTTATCCGATTACATAAAACTAACACGTGTTTTAAATCATGTGACTTGTTCATGTGACCGGGTTTGATTTCGGCGCCCGGGAATATCCGTGGAGGGCGCGCAGGTACGGGATTGGTCGGAGTGATCCGAAACCGACAAGTGGCGTGGAGGAAAGGATGAAACTACGACTACAAGTCTGTTCCCCCAAGGTATTGAGAGGATAAGAGAAAAATTCCCCATTAACCAGATTCATTTCTTCCCAGAAGCCATCTGAGAAACACGCCGTTTGCTAAAGAGTCACTGTATATATCTTTCTATCTTACCCAAAGCCTTCCTAGGCAGTGCCTATCCTTTGCCGAACCTCCTCGCACACCAACCAAGAGAAAAAAATCCGTTGAGATCCAACTTCATCCCATCGAGTTCATCATGCCATTCATCGAAAACCAGGCCACAACGGCAGAACCCATCGTCCCTGTTGACGTCAAGGGGAAAGATGCCTTCCATAAACTAGTAGAAGACCTCAGTGCCGTTCTTGGACCATCTTCCGGCCTTGACTCCGACGACGTCGACCCTATGGACATCCAGAAACTGATGGAAGGATACGTATCCAACCCCCAGGAGTGGCAGCGTTATGCGTTGGCAGATACGTCCAGAGCCTACACCAGAAACCTCGTAGACGAGGGCAACGGCAAGAGTAACCTGGTAAGTAGCAACCAGTCCAGATGCCTGTGTAGAGGCGTGATCCGGCTAACATGGCGAACTGCAGCTCATCCTCGTTTGGAACCCGGGCAGGTCCAGTCCAATCCACGATCACGCTAACGCTCACTGTGTAATGAAGGTAGAGTATTAACCTTTTTTCCCCTTTTTCCTTAAGGGGGGAGAAAGAGAGTCCCCGACGTAGCTGATCATATATGTTTTTGCTGGTGTAGGTCCTGCATGGTACTCTCAGGGAAGACCGGTATGACTGGCCTGAACAGAACAAAGTCCAGAATGGCGAAGCCTGCCCCCTGACAGTGACCAAGGAGACCATCCTTCGGGAGAATGAAGTGACATACATGTCCGACAAGGTAAGCATTGTCGTCTCCATCCAGACGGATCTTTCCTTAAGGACACCGTGTAATAAAGCTGACTTTTGTTTTTCTTCCAGCTTGGCCTGCACAAGGTCACCAACCCAGATCCAGAGGAGTTTGCCATCTCTCTGCACCGTAAGTAGCATCCCACCCTGTGCCCGGTTTTGTGTGATGACCTACCTTTGCTAACATCCGGTTGAATATCAGTGTACACTCCTCCTAATGCAGCTCACTTTGGCTGTTCTCTGTTCGATGAACAGACAGGCAAATCTCATCATGTCAAGCAGTGTAACTTCTTCTCCAACCGGGGCTTGAAGCTGTAGAAGAAGAGCTCAGCTGCCTGTGTCAGACAGGCCTGACGAGCGAGCTGGAGCTGTTCACTACCACTAGACATCAAGTGAAGGCTGGCAGCATCTGTCACCCGGTTCCGGGTGGCCTTTTTCATGATCCCCCTCCAAGCGTGATGATTGTGTTTCTCTGTTTTTCCTTGTTTTTTCCTTCCTTTCCCAGAGAGAGAGAGAGAAGTGATATAGAAGATGAAGAAGTTTTGTTGTGCAAGCTGTGTGCCGGCCATGCACTCACCCTTATATCAGCCCTTCTTGCTTACCTTTGGTGCCGGTGGCGGACCTGGGCGAGCACGCCATCCCAGCAGCTCCTGATAGGCCTGTTTCAATAACACTAGACTTTTTTAGGTAGTCTAGTGCTGTTTTAGCGAAGCGACCTCCATTTTTTCCCTTGCCGCCTTTATGTTTATTAGTCATGTACACCAACGACTTTCCTCCTCGCTCACTCTCTCCTTTTCTACAATAATTATTTATCTCTACTCTGATTATATTCATAACTGACTTCTTTGCTCTGTCTTTCTGGTGGCCATGTCCTCTCAGCCGTGCTATGTGTATGATCTGTGTCAGGCCAACGTAGTATTGAAGGATGCTCGGGGTGACCTTGTACTCGAGTCTGCATAACTAGTACACAAGTAGAGCTCCCGGCCGATAACCAAATACCACGACAACGGAAGCCCTCGCTGATATTCGAACTAGATATACCTTGATGAAACATATCAACAGTGATGCCTCCTGATGATCAAAGAGACTCCTCCTCTCTCGAAACAACAGAGCCTATATACGAGTTATATACATAACATGTATATGACATCGGCAGGAGTCCTCCGAAAGAGTGCATCATGTCATTACCAATAACTAGCTAGCCTTCCTCCTCACCGTCTACCAGTGATTCATAAGCATGTTGAAGCCGAATCACGTCGTTTCTTTCTCCTGAACTTCATTTAACTCCGAACGCGCTAGCTTCACAGGGCACACAGTGTCTTTGGTGTCTGGAAATTAAAGATACTCCCCCATTCTAGAGATGGCGCAGGTTAACATCATAAAATTACCAGTTTATTGGCGTCTAGCTCTGTCCACAGGGTCATTTCGAGGGTTGATAAGGGGACCCTTCGGGACCTGTAGATGAGGGCTGCTTATTGTATCGCAGTCAGATGGCAGTTGGGGCTCCTCGGCTTCTTGAGGCTCATCCGTTGCTGGGTTATCGAATGCAAGGGGGTATCCAGTAACCGGGAGGAGAGGTTCAACAACCGTATGTTGCCGGTTAATGACACAAGAGACTGCCCAGCTATCTAGCGACCCAAGGATGTTGTTTGGGTTTGCCATACTGATGATCGATATGCCAAGTTGCTATATCTTTGAAAACATCGATATCGAATTCGAGTTTTAGCATAGCCAAAATATCCTGAATTGAACATCAGACCTGCTCGTGTTCCACATACGTCCAATAACCAATACCTGACAATAAAGATAAGAAGGACAGCTTGCTCATCACCGAATTGAGAGATTTATCTCTTGTCAAAGTTAGCAGTTTTGAAATTCCCACGCCAAAGACTACTTAGGTTGAGCCCCAACTTTAAATGGGCATCTAAATGTCTGTAGTAAGTGTCAAAGTTTAACTCTCTGCGCCCTTTTGGCTGGGGGTAGGGTTTTTGACGCTAAGTAACCAGTAGTTATTTACCTTCGAGACGCCGGTGATGTCCTGCACCTTGATGATAAAGGGCTGCTCTTATTGCCGTGAGAAAGATGGCATGGAAGATCAGATATAATATCAACGGGATATCATAACATTATAAACTATTCCAGACTACAAGAAAAATGTGTGAAAGGCAGCGTCAGGAGGACGAACTAAAGTATGGTGGCATTGATGACTTGGTCTACAATCACTATGATATATCCAGTGTATTACACTGGCAAAATACCCCTGGAGGCATGATACATATTTGAGAGGACTAATTGATCCTTTCCATCCTTGTCTGTTCACTTATCTTCCAGGTGCTTGACGGGTTTGTTGACGAGCCGTATGTAGGAATAATGGATCTGCTTAGATCGGACTACCGCGCTCTGAGACTAGTTAATAAAGTAGTCGAAGCTCAAGTACCCCTCTTCGCTATAAGTATATTTATCGTCCTCAATTAAAATATAATTAAAGTATGCTGGGTAGGATACAATGGTATTAACGAGGAAGATACCGACCATCAAATACTTTGTGAGGTATTTTATACCTATTTAAGGATAAGAATTGCCTTAGAAGAAAGAGGCTGAAATATCCTGGAGTGAAACGTTGTCAAGAGAGGAGGGCGTATTTGATCAGAAGGCTATGGAGAGAGGGCAAGGATACATTAAAGAGTGATATAGGGTACTTCAGAAAAGTGAAAACCGATGAATATTGTTTATCTTGGTTCCATGTTTAGTTTGTATCCCATTTAATGAACAAAGGGGTATATGGAGATTTTATACCATGTTGGCGTGGTCGTTAGCTGGTATTCGAGGCGGTAAAGCAATAAAGGGGAAGGACTTAGCTTGATACAAAAGAATACCTGTAAACGAGAAAGACGACGTTCGTCCATGGATGTTTGTAGATGTTAGTCGAGTCAACAGGGGGACTTGATATTTATTCTCAATCTATAAACTAATCTAGCAGTGTACCTACAAACGATAGAGAGATTTATTATAATCACAAACTTGACTCAAATTAGCAAGAAAACCCCAGCCTCTCCTAGTTACATGGCCTCGCCAACTTACCAGCCGGTAATATTAGTTCAGAACCATGAGCTCCTTAGCGATTGGCAGACAGCTTTTGCGGGCTTACATCGCCTACCGTATCTAGTAGCAAGGGCGTAGGGTATGAAGGCCTCAGGGGCTCTTCAGAGCTGCCTATTTAGGTTTAGATAGGGTATTGTAGAGCTCTTGGTGGAGAGAAAGTATAGGAACAGCTCGCTCTGACATTTCTTAGGCTGATATTAAACAAGACTTGAGAATGCTGGTGTCTTTTTCCCAATAAAGGGCTAAATGAGACAACTACAGGTTTTGTTTATATTATAGTTATTATGTTATACAACCAACAGAAAGAGAAAATGATAGCCGCCTTTAAAACATATAACATGTATGTTATTATATGTTATGTTTCGAACTTCCATCTGCTTTGATATAAGCTTAATAGATAGTTGCTATTTTTATACTTACCTTTTTTTCCGCAACTCTGTTTCGTCATTTTTTTCTGCTTGGCTCGAAGTCCCTTTTTTTCCTTCCCCATCAAATTTCTCCTTTCAGGGTTATTCAGACGAATTATTCTTTCTATGACCAAAAGAAGCCTGACAATGAGCTCTTCTGGTCGCGCGTCCGGGTTTCACGAGGCATGAAAGGACGACGGTTTACCCTTCTTGCGGGTCTGGCAACCCTGATTGTTTTGCTATTCCTATTCTTCGCGCCAAATTCGGACGAGAGGCCTCACGCACCAGCAGTTCCTGGCCACGAACATAGCCCTCCAACGCCCCAACAGCCGATCGAGTCGTTTGGCGACGAGATCCAGGAGCAAGATAATATCAATGTTAATAATACTCCCCCCGGCGATGAGCTTGTCCACCCCATTGAGAGGTTGATCCAGACGTCAAGAGAGAGGTTCCAGACCATACATTCACGACAGTCAAAGACACTGCAGCAAGCTGTTGCGGAGTACCGACGTCGATATGGCCTTCACCCGCCCCCGCATTTCGATGTATGGTTTAGATTTGCCCGGAGCAGAGGCGTTCAGATGATTGATGAATATGATTCGATATACGATGCTTTACTTCCCTTTTGGGGGGTGAAACCCAAAACAATCCGGGAACGAGCAAGGGAAGCTATAGGATTCGATAATGCTCTGATCGGGCTAATGATAAGGAGCGGGAATGTGACTTTGGTTGATGGAGGCGGAGAGCCCGAAGAATGGAAGCGGAATGCTATTAAGGGGATGATGGCGGCCTTCGTCAAGTACCTGCCTGATATGGATATGGCTTTCAATATTCACGATGAGCCTCGGGTGGTCGTGCCGTATTCCGATCTATCTCGACTGGTGGCTGATGGGAAACGTATGACTGCTTTGAACGGCGCAAAGTCTGGACCGAAGAACAAGTGGTCTGAGCGGCCAGAGGGCCTGAATAAGGGGGATAGGATTGATGAAGTTCGGAGGACGAGATTTAACAAGTTTGCTCACCAGCCTATTTGGACCAATTCACGAATGTCCTGCCCCCCTAACAGTCCAGCAAGACAGCTGGACGACGAGACAGTCGACAATACGACATCGTACGCGACATCTCCCCTTGGCTTCATTTCGAATACTACTGCATTTTCCGATGTCTGCCAGACACCTTCTCTCCGTCATACATTTGGCTTCTTCGAGCGACCAAATGCTCTCGATATCGTCCATGATCTTTTCCCCATCTTTTCTCAAAGCAAGGTCTCCTCTTTTCAGGACATCCTCTACCCGAGCCCCTGGTACTGGAATGGAAACGTGGCATACAATTCCAGCCAAGATGTGGATTGGTCTGTCAAGGAAGACCAGATGTACTGGCGTGGTTCTACCACAGGCGGATTCTCGCGAGCTGGCGGATGGCGTAGGCAGCACCGCCAGCTCTTTGTGCGCAACATCAACAGCCTGGGACCCACAAATATACTCGAGAAGAATGAAAACAACAAATGGGCCATGAAGCAGGTTCCACGAAGCAGCTTCAGGTCCCTATTCAACGTGAGTTTCAGTCACGTTGGCCAGTGTGACCCGGAAGACTGCGAGGCACAAAAGGAATTCTTCAAAATAGTTGAGCCCGCTAAGCAGCAGGATGCGTGGAAGTATAGATACCTCGTCGATATCGACGGAAATGCATTCAGTGGACGATACTACGCTTTTCTGCTAAGTAAGAGCTTGATATACAAGCTTGCTTTGTTTAGAGAGTGGCATGATGAGTGGCTTCGGCCCTGGGTCCATTTCATCCCTCTCAGCTTGAAGGGGACTGAACACTATGAATCTGTTCGGTACTTTGCAAGGGAAGAAGCAGGCAAAGGAAAAGCAATAGCCATTGCAAATGAGAGCCAGAAATGGGCACAAAAAGTTTTACGCAATAAAGATCTCGAGGTGTGGTTTTTCAGGCTTCTATTAGAGTGAGTTCCACCATCAAGACAAGTCTTCACACGCGGCTAATGAGAAACAGATACGGCAGAGTCATAGATGATAATCGTGAACGATTGGGTTTTTCATCGGGTTAATCATAATTTAGGCAATGGGATGGATTGTGTTTATTTATAAATGTCGGTTGTCTCCTTGAACCCCCTTTTCGGCTTCTACAAGGCAATCTATACATGTATTTCTTCGTTCCCTCTTTTATTTTTCTGGAGCCAAACCGCCTGTATTATTAGTTTTTTGGCAACTTTATACCCTTCTTATTCTTTGACTATAGATCTGGCACGTACTATGTGATAACATCCGAGTAACCGACCGTCTTCCTCTTAAATGACGACTTCGTTATGTTGTAGTAAAATTCACCACATCGATTCAACCATTCAGATAACTGTAATATCTTGTGGAAAATGAAATCTCCGAGATGCGTTTGCATGACATCATCTCCCCGTGGTATCCTCCATCTCTACCAATATAATACTCCATATTCTGGTATACTATGTATATCTCGCTGTGTGGATCTCTGCTTTATATCCTTGGTGGCCTTGCAGTAACGACGTAATCCTGCCTCGCTGATCTCTATCGCAGAACCTGTCATCCTGCTTACAGGGATGGATAACACACAGCCGAGTCGTCATTGCCTGCTTGACGCCGTATTATTGGCTTCTTACCAACCCCTTGCCACTCATCCCTACACTTGGATACATGGGATATATAAGGTCCAGTGGATTTACTCCATACCAAGCCGGTTCTAAATTACATAAACATAACTGAGCGCACTGAGGCTGTAGCTTAAGAAGAGGCTTCTCCCGGCAGTCAGCACTACTATATCTAGCTGCCTTGCCTTGGTCTAAAACAACTTTGATAAATCCCAATAGATGCCGGAGGCGAATGGTGTCAATATGGTCAGCCCAGCGTTGAAGATGGCTGTGGCCATCCTTTCTTTTGCCTATGGTATATTCACGCTAGTGTTTTATGGTATTGTTGCAATATTCAGCGGAGTTCCTTTCCGTCAAACCAGTGAAAAGGAGCGGTTGGAGTTTCAACTCGGTTCGTACCTCTTTCTGGAGGCCCTCCATGTTTCTTACCAATGAGAAAGGGTTGACATTCCGGTTCTGGCTACCTGATTGATCTAACGAGGAACTCTGGACACAGCGTCAGATAGATTCTGGAATCTTTCGAAGAACTGGAAGACTTTCTCCCATCGCTTTATGACTTTGAAGAATGGTTTCAAAGTCCACTACCTTGCAAACGTATCATCCGATGAGATTGCCGCCTCGGATCATGGCAACAAGCCGTTGGTTATATTTCTGCACGGATTCCCGGATAGCTGGGCTATGTGGCGCCATATTCTCTCGTCACGCTCTGTTGGAGATGAGAGCATTATGATCGCACTAGACCTTCCAGGATATGGGGGAACGGATTCATTGGACGTTTACGGCCCCACAGAGATCTTGGAGACGTTAACGGAGTTTATCGTAACACTAAGAGACCAGTACAAAGTCGACGATGGCAACCGTCAGCAGAAGAAGAGAGTTATTGTAGTAGCTCATGATTGGGGAGCGATACTTGCTTTTCGCCTGGCAGCAGAAGCTCCCCAGCTCGCTGATAGGTTTATTATCACCAATGGCATCTTGGTATATGATACTCTCTCCCTGGATGATAAACATCTTTCCTTTCCGGTTTAATGTGTGCTAATATGATATTCCTCGTTGGAAATAGCCTGACCTGATGAAAGATAATGTCAACCTATCGATCGAGTCAGCGAACAAGATGTTCAAAACTTTCCTCAAGGAACCATGGCGTTCTCGGCATGTGTTGTGCAAGGCCATCAAGGCACTGGCCCCGGTACTCCGCCAACTGAAGCGTTCACATTATGTATTTGTCTTCCACCTGCCCATACCGTTAGTTCGGTATGTTGGCCATGGAGGCAATTATTCGTTATTAAAAGCGATCCACGAGGTAGCTGCAGGGAAAACTGGAGGACTTACGATTCGAGATGCACAAGAAGCTATGGCCAGCACACTTGGGCCTAGCATCGAAGAACTCGAGACCATGACAGCGGACGGAGAGACCTACTCTAAATCTGTTCGCATGCGTGCTGAACAAGGGAACTTTGTGGACACAACATCATATTACCGGCATGGAGCTGCGGCAGATCCTTGGCACAAGTCATTGGAAACAATATCTGCGTTGCATAGTATTTGCCCTGACGAACGTCGAAGAACTAGCTGTGGAACCGGGGTGTTCGACCCTGCCCCTGGAGCTCTAAAGGCAAACGCCACAATTATATGGGGCATGAAAGATGATGCGATAGTTAATCACCTGGCCCTGGAAGGAATACCCGAGCGACTTGTCCAGGGAAGTCAAGTCATTGCGCTCTCTCAATCTGGCCATTTCACCCCCATGGAAGTGGAGAGTAGAGGAGCTCTTGAGGAAGCAGTGTTATGGGCCGTGAAGGGTGAGACAGGCGATGTTGGCCAAGCTGTCTTGTCTGTGTATCCTGAAGCCCGAGTGATCGCTCGCCAGTAAGGTCTATCTATCTATCCAATTCCTTTTCTCTGATGGTGTTTGTTCCCCTACTGTAACAATTTGCATTCTGTAGCTGGGAGAATTAAGGGTGGGAGAGGTAGAAAAGCAGTATCTGATGTTTTGTGATGTAGGTTTCTAGCCGCTAGATGAGCGTTCCAATCCTATTCTTTCGTTTCTTTTTCTTTCCCTCCGGACGTTGGTATAATAATACCTGTACTCCGTTTTGATGTTATTATATAGTTCTCACCTGAATGCATGTAACTATATTATTACTGCCCAGGCGACGCAGCTTCTTGGAGTAGTTAGCCAAGCTCGGCTACAGAGTGGATAAACTAGCTGGCCATGGTTAGCACCGTGGAAAATAGATCTCCATAAATATCCACAGTTAAATATATGAAGGAGCATTTGGACCTAGAACGGTGGCAAAGAAGCAGGTAAACAACTGTACTGGCTGTAACACAAACGATAAGCTCGTTTCCGCCGACGGTGCTACATAGCAAGCACCAGCGAGAAAGCTTACAAGCCAGCACCCTCGATCAAGCCGTGTCTGCCTCTCCCGCTGTATCATAACCCTTTTGTTACCATGCAATATCACGCAGGACTTGAAGGGATCGCTCGTTTGATTGGCAAGGATGCGGTTGACGGGATTAAAAAGGTCGCAAAGCCGGGAAGAGTTGGTTTTCTTGGAGCTCCCGTCTGTCCCCCTCACGCACCTCTACCCTCCTCCTCTCAACTGTCGACTAGCAGAGAATTTCAAAAGCGGGTTTTCTCTCTCTCTGTCTTCTCTCTCTATACAGACGAAGGGAAATGCCAGAACTTGACGTTGTTGTAAAGTTCTCTTGAAGTCGGCGATGCACGGCAGAATAACTAAATAAGTAACTGGGCAACGACAAGCAGGGAAAAATCGACCACTACAAAGACAAAGGAAAGGCAGCTTTCTCTCTCTTCTCTTGCTGTTCTGCCAGTACTCATAATATTTTTTTCATGACCTTTGATGGTTGCCCTTTGCTTCCTTTCAACCGAGTAACAACACGGGGGAGAAGCAGCTAGCTGTGGTCTTCCGCAATGGCGGCCGGTAATGGAGCTGTCTACTGCACGGTCTGATTTCACCTGGACAACTTAAACAAGGCTGAAAATTTTGGTGTACTGACTTGCTGGTGATGGTTTATAGATCCTGCTGAGCGACAACTATCTTCCTGGTCAGTGACAATATGGAGAGTTGATCTCTCAGCTTGATGTTAGGTTATTTTGTTGATGGTTTATAATAGGTGCTATGGTCCTAGCCCACTCACTGCGGGATAACGGGACGAAAGGAAGGCTAGCAGTGCTTGTGACGCTGGATAATTTGCAGCCAGGGATAATTGATGAGTTGAAGGTTGGTGGGAAGCTTATCGAAAAGAAATTAAAAGTGTTCTATGGCTGACAAGTACTAGACGGTGTATGATGATGTGATACCAATTCCTCGGATAGAGAACTCATATCCGGGGAACCTCTACCTTATGGATCGCCCGGATCTAATCTCAACATTCTCAAAAATTGCTCTATGGAAGCAAACGCAGTATGATCGGATCGTCTATATTGATGCAGACGTGATAGCTCTCAGAGCCCCTGATGAGCTGCTCACGCTTGATTTCAAATCTATCGCCGCAGTTCCAGATATTGGATGGCCTGATTGCTTCAACACAGGCGTCATAGTGCTTCGTCCAAATCTTAAGGATTACTATGCTCTCCTCGCTTTTGCTCAGCGCGGCATCAGCTTTGACGGTGCTGACCAGGGCCTCCTAAATATGCATTTCAAGAATTGGGATAGGCTAAGTTTTACGTATAACTGTACGCCCAGTGGGCATTATCAATACGTACCAGCATATCGATACTTCGAAAGTACTATCTCTTTGGTCCATTTTATCGGCTCTCTAAAACCGTGGAGGATCGGAAGAAGCTCATCACCGCAACAGTCGCCTTATAACCAGCTGTTGGCGAAATGGTGGGCAGTGTATGACCGCCATTATCGCACAGGGCCCATTTACATCCCCCAACCTCGTCATTACCAGAGCCAGACTTCCTCATACGATACTGGACAGAAAACGGGGCCAATTGAACCCACACAACCGGAGAAGAAGGCTACGGGAGCAGTAGGGTGTGTATACCGGGGGCGTGAATATACTGTTGTACCCGAGGCTAACACACCTCCACCAAGCGAGGAGAAGTATTCACATAGCAGCATTCCTACACAACCTGCGGCAATAAATCAAGAAAAGCTCGAAGGAACCATCGAGGTGGGGGCTTACAGCCAGAGGGCTCCAGATATTCAAGTGATACATCACGACCAAAATACTATCAGATATGACACCACCAGCTCCCCACACGAGATCTATAATACCACAGAACCAGAAAAAGATCATCAACCAAGCAACATTCCGCTACCTGAACCTACGGTTAGCGCCGTCCCGCAGTTTGTTCGCGGAGAAGAACATATCTCGGTTCCCATTTATCATGGTCACCCACCGGATATATTAACTCATATACCCCATACAAATTTCAACACCCAATCCCCTCACACAGCTTCTCCGCCGGAGGATCGAGGGACACTCCAGCCCCATGGACACGAAACATCACTAACAAAAGACACAGGAGAAGAGCGCTCTGTTGGTGGAAAGACCCCCGAAGTCGAACCTGTGGCGCCTAGTACTGGAGAAATACTGCGAGCTGAACGCACTTTCTCTCCTCCCTTAGCTAGCAGTATGGGAATGCATTCACGGTAAGTCCCTCGTCGAAGCTGTCTGAGATCTATATTGTAGTGCACCACCACCCGTTGATCGAAACCGGAGGCTGCTACCTTCCTGTACAGATATATACGATGTCAAAGGATACTGAACTTTTCCAGCCTCCGACATCATACCCTGAAGCCCCAAAGAATATGTACTACCAGGTTCCAACAACAGCTCCCACAGCTACCAGACAAACGTCTGCTTTCCCCTGGGAACGAAGTGCCCCAACCCCAACTCGAGTTTTTATTGGGGAGGATGCCGAACCCAGTAAAGCTGCTGAGGCCTCGAGTCCTTCATCCAGGCCGGCTTCCTTGCAAAGCAATGGTTCCTCTGGGGGATTTGAGTCGTACTCCCGGAACAACGCCTGGGACGATATGCCAGAGATCGAAAAGTATATGCGTTCCCTCCAAAAGCCACGTCGCGTTGGCGTTTCAGTCATTTCAGGGCCAACACATACCAGAAATCCGTCGACCGGATTAAAATCTCCAGCTAGGAAATCGAATCTGCGCCAGACACACTATCCACCGGAACGTGAGCCGCCAAGTCCAGCTGTTACACCAGCTCTAGTAATGAGGGGGCCAAGTACCTCTTCAACAGCTGATGGTATCTCGGAAAATGAAGAGCTCCCTGCTGCTGAAGGTGTTCCGAGCCAGGCGGAATGGGTGGGTCTAACGGTTAATGCCTTCGTATCCCTCCTTCAGGCCAGCTACTTATACTGGAAGTTTACAGAACCCCGTACAACGCCTAAAGGAACTCCAGTGGCGTCAGTCGCAGTTCCTTGAAAAACAAATTGACCTTATGCCACGGGACGCCCGCACTAACGGCACTTTCAATTACCAACAGAGCTCCAAATAAGCTGCTCTGGGAGTGAGTAGCTTTGATACCCAACATCCTCAAGGCATTGATGCCGGTACCTGCCTCTGTGACTTGGTCCCCAGTGTTCAAGGCTTTTAATCTTTGGATATTAAGAGTCATCCGACTCAATTCAGATACAACTACTATGTGTCCTGGGTAGCCCAGGACAAAAAAGCTGCTTGTATGTAGATAATAATATTCTCACCACTAATAAAGTTTATTTATTGCCATACATACTACAGGATTAATTGGACCAGCTTGAATGTATTTCCCACCTATTTATTGTCAATAATTTTTTACACACTTAATTACAGTAGCATAACTAGATTTCAGATGTACTAAGAAGGGAAATAAGCAGAATAATATTCCTTGTTAAATTTTTCTTTCATCAACGAGTTAACGGATGCGTATGGTACTTCCCGCTCTAATATGCCCACGAGCGTTATCAATTCCCACCCTCAGCCCAAACCAGAGACATGATCTTAATTCAACGATGGAGAAACTCTTCCTCTCTCCCGCTTCTCTCCCTCCATCCCCTCCTCTCTTCTCTCAATTATCTGGGACAAGGTTAAGTAGAAAATGAAAAACAAGGGAGGCAGAGCATAGAAACAACATCAAACACGGGGGGTAAAGGGGAATGATTCTTTCTTTTTTTTCTATGTAAGACGTTTAAGGAGATGTTTGCATTACTTCACCGTAGCTTCCAGCAGCAGTAGTTGCGAAATATCGCACATCAACGTCATCATCTTGCTGTAGCTTTTCGAGATTTGGAAGGATTTGTTGCTGGATAATAGCTTGGCCGCGGGGCGAAGGAGTGACAGGCTGTTCGGACTTATCGGCCTCAGTGAGAGTACCTTCTTCAGGAAGTTTTCGGAGTGTGTCTATTATGATGGAATATGATTTTGCAACATTGAACCTGATGTTAGGAATGTCGTCCGTCACGAGCCTATCCAAAATTGGGAGGATGGAAGTTTCAATCATTTTCAGATTGATGACGGGAGCAAGTGTCTAGGTAGTAGGAGTTAGGTAAAAAAAAGTAAGGAAGTCATATGGTTGCATGAAGTACTTACAGTGATGGCAAAGCAGGTTGTCATTCTGTACAGGTAGTTGGGGTGCTGTCCCATAGCAGTGACCTTAGGGATTATGGAGCCATTTGCCCAGTCAACTCCAAAGACCTCTGTTAATTTCTTCAGATTCTGTGTGGCGGCTTCTCGGATTGAGAAGACTGCATCTCCTAGCCAGCCTAAACATAGGCTGTTGAGTTGCTCATCAAAGAATTTGACCCCTAGTTGACTAGCAAGAAGTGGAATGTACTCGATAATTGCGAGACGAACACGCCATTGTTTGTCTTCTGCAAGTTGTACAATTGCAGGGAGTAGAGACTGAGACAGTAGCTCAATTCCAATAACTAGAATATGAAGTTAGATAGCTTGATATGCACGGTCTTGTGCGGGTTGGAATATTTACCTGTATTCACCAGCTCAAGTTTCGAGATGATGTGCAATCGGACATCGGGGAACTCATCTTTCAGCATTTGTAAGAACATGGGGAGTAGGTGTGAAATGGTCCTGGAGGGAGTTTGTTAGTTAAGAGAATAAGATGGGGGTGGAACAGGAATATTTACTCTTCTTTTCCTAGGATGGGAGCTAGTCCACTGATCTGCATGCCTAAAGCAGCTCTTACATGCTGGGACGGATCCGACACAAGGTCTTCAATGCTTGTCATAATCTCATTTAATAGAGTTTCCCTGTCAAGAAGGCGACAGAAACCTAGGAGAGTGTTAGACTAGATGTAGATAATCCTTTTTTGTGGTGATGATTACCTGGAATTTGCCCAGCAATGGCCGTGCGGACCTCTGCTTCGGTATCCTTGAGAAGTTTGACAAAGGCAGGGACCAAGTCGCGGTTGACAACTTCTTTATCGACGGCTTTGGCGATCTAAAAACCAGACAAGATGTCAGCTAAATCTCTGACGGCGTGTGATTTGCCAAAGGGTAGGGACCTGGCTACCTTTTCAAATTTGTCTGCAACCATATATCTTACTCTCCAGCTCTTGTCTTCGAACAGGTTTCGTAGAGCAGTGAGAAGGACGCCGTGGCTGGACTGTTGCTCCTTGGGAATTTCTTCCGCGATGGAGATCAGGATCTCAACGGTTAAGAGGCGAACGCTGTCCTGGTCGTCGTTTGCGAGGTTTTGGAATAAAGGAACCATCTCCATTATGATAACCTGCGAATCCATCTCCTTGACAAACTTTGCTAGGTTGTTGGCGGCCTGCCGTCTGACCATGGGGGTATCATCGTGGACTAGCTGTCCGAACTGCTGTCGTAGTCCCTGCTGCAAGGCTGGAGATGCAGTTCTATATGGGGTACAGTAGAGACCAGCCGCGGATATCTTTGAAGTGAACCAATCTGCCTTTGAGAGACGGACTGTCAAGGGTATAAAATTGTCTTCGATCTGTCTTGGGGAGAGTTGTTCACAGATTTTGTTGAGCGATTCTACAGCCTATTGGACGGGAAAGAAATGCTGTGTTAAACCTAACGGTGTTCCCAAGGAAATATAAATGGTTGTATGAATTGGTGGGATCTTACTTTTTCCCGCACCAATGGCTCCTCTATGGCAGCCAAATTCTCAAGGGGAGAGAGGAGAACGTGTGCATATTCTGGTCCGCCAACGTATTCCACAAAGTTACCCAGCTCTTCGCTCAAAGCCGTCAAGACTTCGTCTTCATCTTCAACCGAGTCTAGTAACAGATATGGTCAACCACAAGTCCATCCATGGCGACACAATATTCCGGTCAGGGGGGCGCCGTGTAAGGGAGGAGGGAGGTCTGCACAAACCGTCAAGGAACGGTACCAGCTCGTCTCGCGTTCTCTCCGGTCCCAAAGCGAGAGCAATTGTCGACAGTCGATGAATAGCGTTTAGACGAAGGATCACATCGTCATGCTGCACCAGACATCGGGCGTTGTCAGTTTTAAGCGTCAACTATGTTTTGATGAGGGGTGTCAACCGGAGCCATTATTATACCTTCAGTTCATCGATCAAGACCGCAATGGGATAAAGCTCGTCATTTTCGCCCTGGCCTTCCATGGCGGAAACGGGCTGCTACACAGACGGAGACGGGTAGTACTTTTTTCGGTGTAGGATGTTTATTTTCCGTTTTTGAGCAGGGGCTTTGCGATGTTGTTTTTCAATGACGGAGGGGGGTTAAGTTGGGTTCAGGTAAGACGGCGACGGTGTATCGGATAGAGCTACCCTAGAGCTGCACTCTTTTATTTATCGTGTCTGTATCTGGCGGGAAAATCTGGTGAGTACAGAGTTGTTGTGATAGCAGCGGCAGCAGAAGAAGAAGAAAGGGGCGTCTGGTGGATGTTTTGTTGGTGTCTCGTGGGGTTTAATGCAAAACAGAACTGATGGGCGGCGGACTGAGAGGGGACCGCGACCTTTGAAAAACGTACACTGGGCTGTAGAAGCTGGCCGGGAACGAGCCCGTCTGACGAGATGCAATGTGAGGAACGAGTTTCTCTCTGTGTTTCTTCAGCTTTCAAGGGAGCGATGGGAACTTCTGGATGGTTTGAAGTTCAGCAAAGTTGGTGGAAGAAGAAGCGCTGTGTGGCTGGTGTAGAGAAAGGGCCTGTGGCGGTGCGGTCGCTGGGAAACAGTCATTCTTTTTCTCTCTTCTACTTGCTGTCTACTTCTTGAACTTTTACCATACTTGCACCGGCATACAGAGCTCGTCTGGAGAAGGTCGCAGGTGGTCATAGAAGACAGGGCGTCTCTATTCGCAGCGTCATCCCTCGATTGTCTACTCCGTTCAGTCGAATTGACCGATATATCTTGCATAAGATGCCGACGATAGCTGTTGATAAGGCCGCCTTGTTCAAGGCCCTGGGCCAGGAGTAAGGACACCACCGTTCCTTTTCTCTAGCTGTTCTCTCTACCATATATCTATGATTTAACGGCCCTGTGTTAATTGGTATTCTATTCTGCCGCCAGCTACACCACCGAGCAGTTCGATGAGTTGTGCTTCGAGTTCGGTGAGTCACCCCCGCCCATTTACACAGTGGTGTATCTTCTCTAATATATCAGTCGACAGGTCTCGAGCTCGATGAAGACGTGAGATCTAGCCTTTGATGTCTACCCTCTGTCGGGCCCGGTCAGACTAAAAACAAGTTGTGTAGACCACAGACTCCGACCGGCCGTTCGTGAACGGTGTCCAGGAACCCCCGCAGCTCAAAATTGAAATTCCCGCCAATCGGTTGGTCCGCTATCTCTTTCTTTGGCATGGAAGATGCGATTTCTAACTAGCGTGGGTAGATACGATCTGCTATGCTTCGAGGGTATATCCTTGATGTTGAATATCTTCCGCGGCAAGGTCGATTCACCAACCTACAGAGTGGTCACCCCACCAAGCGGACAGCTACAAACCCTTGTCGTTAAGCCAGAGGTGAGACGGAGAGATCCTTATCAGCGTTTCAAGAGTCCAAACAGCGGAAGCTGAGACAAGTCAATAATCTAGACTGAGAGTGTACGACCATATGTGGCTGGTGCAGTTTTCCGCAATATTCGCTTTGACCAGGCTCGATACAACTCCTTCATTGCCCTGCAGGATAAGCTCCACCAAAATATTGCCAGGCAGAGGACGTTGGTCTCTATCGGGACACACGATCTCGACACCATTCAAGGCCCTTTCACATACGAAGCCTTGCCCCCCAAGGATATAAAGTTCATCCCTTTAAACCAGACCAAATGCATGGATGGGGAAGAGTTAATGGATTTTTATGAGAAAGACAAGAATTTGGGCAAATACTTGCATATCATTCGTGATTCACCCGTATATCCCGTTATCTATGATTCCAAGAGGACTGTCTGCTCCCTACCGCCAATTATCAACGGTGATCACTCGAAGATAACACTGAACACTCGAAATGTTTTCATGGAGATTACTGCCACGGATAAAACGAAGCTTGAAGTCGTTAACAACATTATGGTTGCCATGTTCTCGCAATGTACAGACGAGCCATTCACGTGAGTCATATTCTTGCAGCCACCCCTTATTTTTCAGCTACACAGTCATAATAACATAACCCTTACTAGAATTGAGCCCATCAAGATCGTGTCTGAGCACAATAAAGAATCACGACAAGTCCCAAACCTTGAGCCGAGAACTACTCAGGCCAGCATATCTTACATTAACCAATGCACCGGCCTATCTCTCACAGGGCCCCAAATGTGTGAACTTCTCAAGAAGATGACCCTTTCTGCTAAGGTTTCTGAGAAGTCCGAAGATATTCTTGATGTCTCTATTCCAGTCACCCGAGCAGATGTGCTCCACCAAGCTGATATCATGGAGGATGTTGCTATCGCATATGGTATCAACGAACTTCCACGATCTTTCCCAAGCAAATCCGGCACAATTGCTCAACCTCTTCCCATTAATAAGCTAGCTGACATTATTAGGGTAGAGGCTGCCATGGCAGGATGGACAGAAGTCTTGACTTTTGCTTTATGTTCCCATGATGAGAACTTTGCATGGGTTAACCGCAAAGACGACGGTAACACGGCTGTCAAGCTTGCGAACCCCAAAACTGTTGAATTCCAAGTCGTCCGAACGAGTCTGTTGCCAGGTCTCTTGAAAACAATCCGTGAAAACAAGAACCACAGTGTGCCTATTAAGATTTTTGAAGTGAGCGATGTGGGTTTAAAGGATCTCTCGCTTGAGCGAAAGAGTCGCAATGAACGGCACTTCGCTGCTGCGTGGTACGGAAAAACAAGTGGTTTCGAGGTTGTTCACAGTCTGTTGGACAAGGTAATGATGATGATGAGGAGTGCCTTCATCGTTGGTGAGGAAGGCCTAGACAACCCGGCTGTTAAGGGGTCTCATTACTGGATCGAAGAGCTCGATGGTAAGAATTCTACTTTTAAATGGGCTGATATTTACTAGAGACAGGGCTTTGCTAATATCAATCTCCGGTAGACCCTACTTACTTCCCCGGTCATGCTGCTTCTATACATCTACGGATAGGAGGGAAAGAGAGTGTCATTGGATCGTTCGGCATAATACACCCAACGGTCCTTGAAAATTTCGATTTGAAATACCCCGTGAGCGCTCTCGAGATGAATATTGAATCACTACTTTAAGGCTCTCGCCATGATATCTTTTGCCGAGAGCATGAATGAGCAAAAACATGTCAAGTAGTGAATATTATGAAAGGTTTCTTGAACCAACAGAGTCTCGTTTCTCGACATTTGACAACCGATAACAAACGAAGGGGGTCGGGTACACATCGGACCTAGTTTACGCGGGTATACATAGATTTTATCTCAAAGGAGCTTCAGTAAAGAAGCAAATTTGAACATCCCTTTCATCACATCCATTTTCAATTCTATTTCAATAATTCAAACAAGTTTTGAAATTTGGAATAGGATGACAAGAGCTCAGAAATAATTAGAATAAGAGAGAAATCCCGTTGCAACAAAATCATAAAACCGAGTCGCTCATATTTTCTTCATTTATTTTTGTTTTTACTCTTGAGCCTCCCCAGCATCACCCTCTACACCCTGGCCTTCTTGCTCCTGCTCAGCTAGCCGTTGTTGCTCAGCTAGTTGTTGAGCAGCAGCAGCCTTAGCTCCGTAGTCCTGGCTCATTGGCTGAAGAACAGGTTGCTCCTCTTTTGGCTCGATGATAGTGACGGAGTCGGGGAGGGATTTTTGAGGACCAGACTTGCCCTCGGGGTCGCTTCCGCGCATGATCTTGACCTTGATACCGAGGACACCTTGGCGGAGGAGAACGTGGCGGGTAGCGTGGTCAATGAAGTCGCGAGCTGGCTGACCGGAGTGAATCATGAAACCGTCCTGTACAAAGTTTCCTAATCAGTCTTCTTTTTCTCTTTCCATTACATCCTTCCCATATTTCCATGGTATTGGTTTTCGTTCAAAAACGTACCGTGAACTTCATGCTCTTGGCACGGGCAGCTCGTAGTTTTCCAGAAACAACAACCTCGCAACCCTTAGCACCGCTCTCCATGATGAATCGGAGAACACCATAGCAGGCTCTTCGGACAGCTAAACCGTTGAGCAATTTGTATCTCAAACTCTCGCACTGTGCAACGGCAGAGAGACCACGGTTCTGGACCTTGGCGGCATAGAGGGAGACGGAGTTCTCTGGGAACTTGAATCGCTTCTGGATGAGGGAGGTGAGTTCACGGATGCGGCGACCTTGTTCACCCAAAACTTCCTGGGTGTGAGTAGCGCGGATGACTGTTCAGTGAAGAGATACTGTTAGAATCTGTCGCATGTATTTTCTCACACTCGACTATTGCTTGTGACGTTTTGGATCCGCCCTTGGACCAGAACGAATATTTCTTGAAAAGAGGATAACGTACTGATGTCGGTAACGGTGGGAGTAACACGGACTTCGACACCGGAGTAGCCCTCCTCAGCCAATTCGCGCTGGAAGAACTCGTTCAACTCGGCGTAGAACACACCGTCGGCCACGAACTTGCGGCGCTTGGAGATCGCTCCCTGTACAGCTGCAGACATGATTGCGGTATGCCGAAACGTGGAATTTCGTTTGGTGAAGCTGAGAGATATCCGCCGGAGTCAAGGTCGTTGAACTGCAGCTTTCTTTGCGGTGGTTCGAGATGGTCAACTTTCTGACAATCTCGAAAGTTTGCGGTTAGCTTTCCTAATTTGTCGATGTAGTGGGGGGCATAATTTACAGGTTAGGGCTTAGGGTTAACCCTATGCTGAATAAGCGGAACTTATCACGTGAATTTGCTGGATCCGGATTACATAAGTAGATAAATGTGGAAAAACGCTCGATAGACTCAATTTCCTACCCATACTCTAAGGGCCGATCAACTCCCGGCCAGATAAGACGGACCCAAACGATTAAAAAAGAAAGAAATGCGAAAGAGCTGCGGGTATTGTGACATGGCTCATTAGTAGTAGAAGGCGTTCTATCCTCGTCCTCTGAACGCAGGATGCCACCCTGGTCATAAACATCGTGAATCAACATCTCCAATAAATACCCTAAACCTCCATTCAACACCTGAGTCCCGGTGGCCGATCTTGATTCCCCCCGAAAGACGCCGTAGGTATCATCATTAAGTTTATCTGGAATGGTTGCAAGATACTCTTCTCTACTTCATCTCCACCGCCTCCATTTCCTGTGCTTTGATTGATGGACTGTGTGTCCCAGGACCGCTTCCTTTCGCAAGAGGTAACCCTAAGGTAGAAAGGTTGGCTGCAAGAGAGGTAATGCTAGTTGTAGGGCCGCCCATGGAGGACTGAGCTGCCGTGGGCTGCTGAGGTACGGTGGCAGCCGAACGATCATATGTTTCGACTCCGATCATAGGGGTCATCGATCCACTCGGGCAGTCCCTCTCAACCAAAACACCGCTACTTGTTATACGTGGGTTGTTCATTTCGGAATCATTGCGCCCAAATGCTTCAGCCCACCACCTGACTTCGTAGGTACGAGGGAAAAGGAGGCGCTCGCTACCTCGTTTGTTGTCATCGATGAGAGGATCATATTCAGGATTGACAAACTGGTTCCTTCTCGCTAAGAAGTAGTCCCAGACACTACGTGTCTTTTCCTTTGCTCCACGGTCGATACGTTCCTTTTCACTGTTATAGAGGAACGTTCCGTATTGACCAGAGTAAAGATGATATAGTAATCGACGAAGGAAGCGTTCATTGAATTCAAATCGGGTTGGATGTTGATATAGCAGCTGGTATGTAGCATCCAAGAACTGGTGGAATACAGGGCTAGTTTCCTTGGGTTTTGTTATATCACTGTCACTGACTGGCAACTTCTGATTAGAGGTTGCCTTCTTTGAATTCGAGTCCGGGTCTGCCTTATCGCCATCGGGCTCTACCAGTGACTCTCGGCTCACATTATCTCGGTTGAAAAATCCTTTTGCGCTGAGGAGGGCGTTCTCAAGGGCTTTCCCGGCTACTCCTCCTTCAAAGGCGCCCCTTGCAGAGTCGCTGCCTCGATCATTCTCAACCTGAAACCATTTATCGCTGTTCAAATGGCCAGATCTGTGACGAAACATGTGGCCGAATGCAAGCCAGTCTTTTTCAACAAGAACCATGAACCCTTCCAGAGTTCTGTAGTATGGATCCAGACATAACTGACTCAACGCACTTAGCTGGCCAGTTCTGTCCCATCCGTCAGAGCAATGAATGAGAACGTGGGAGTGCTGTAATCCAACTTGGCGGGCAATTAATGCGGCACCATCGAGAATAACGGCGATATACTTTAGCCACCCACTCTTCAATAACTGGTCTCGATTCGGCGGCAATGGGCTGATGTCAGAATCCTTGAGCGCCTCGTTGACTTTATTAAGCGAGTCTCTCATGACATGGATATTGTCAATACCTAGATAAGCCTTAGCAGCAAATTTGTAGTTATCCATGTTTTCGGACCCCAGCCCAACTGCTTGCATCGCAAGAGCGTTTACAGTAGGGCGAGCATCAACAATCAAGTTGTTTTGCTGAGCCCCATATATCTGCGTTTTATATTCCTTACTATCGTTCCTAGCAGCAGCTATCACTTCATCCTCTAACTCCTCGGCATTGGAGAATTCAAAGTCAGAGTTAATACCAAACTGCTCTTCTGCACTTGAGTTTGAAGACTCCGTTTCTAAACAAGGCGGTGATACACTTGCTAAAGGCCGGTCCTGGCGAGATGTCGAGAATATGGCGGCAAGCAGCTTTTCATCTTGGATGCTGCGATTGTTGCGTACACCGACAAGTGGTTGAGATGAGCGTGTGATAGAGCAGTTATTGACGGGGTGAAGATAGGTCAAAACCGGGATCCTCGCTCTTGAACGATATCTCCCGGCATAATTAATAGTATTATCGGATATATTAGCCGGTACAGGGAGAAGGGCAGGGTATGTTGGCGAAAACTTCCAGTACGATTAACATCAAGTGGAGCAGGTAGGAGATGCAGGGTGTACTGTACCTTATAATCTATATTGATGCTGGATATTCTCCAATTAGAATCTCGATCTGCTCTACCAACCCCGAGACGAGCCCATTCCTTGCGTGGGTTATATAGCTCCCATCCGTTCAACGCAAGTTCTGCCGCAGGAGGCTGAAAAGTAAACGCATAAAGCTTCTCGATGCTTCCAAGCTTGCATGTCCATGCTTTTATAGTCTCATACACATCTCTGCTCTTTGCTTCGTTGGGGAAAGTGAAGCATATGAAACTGAAGTCGCGGCAGCGTAGCCGTATCGATGCTAGCTGGCGGGATGCTAGGGAAGCGGGCCTGAATGTGCAAAAGCAGATAATTGGATATGTGATCCATAGCTCCTTATGGCCTACGGCGGCCTTTTCCTTGGAATAATCTCTAGGGAATTCTTTCTGAGGAGGAATATGCGAGAACACAATATGGTGAGGCGTAAGATGAAGGGTGCCTACTGCCTTCTCCCCCCGGCGGAATAGTGTGACGTCTTCTACCTATACATAAAACACTGAGTTAGCTACCATAGAAGAAGTAAGGCAGCAGTAAAAGAGTAGTCACCTTGGCTATCCTGGTTTTGTCCATCTTTTTCTAAGTATCTAGTCCGGCATCAACTGAATATTACGCTGTTATAGCACAGAGCGAGGTGGTCAGCGATGTGTTAGGAGATGGGCTATGAGCCAGAACAAGACCAAAGGCTGAGTAGGAGAATAACTCTTCCGGAAACAAAGATGATATATATTCTAGAGCAAACAGCAGGATATGCGAAGAATAAAACGGACAAGTTCTTGTGTTAAAATATGTGAAAATGTCAGCTGTTTGCTCAAGACGTTAAAAAGCTCGACTTTTGGATGTCAAAAAGTTACGCTAAGTGACCGGATGCAAGATTTTAAATACGTCACTACTGAAAAAAATCTACCACCAGTTAAGAAGTCTGGCTTGATGTAAGATAGAAATATTCCTCTTTATATCAGTCTTAACTCTAGCTGTTCTTCATGGATTTAGATAACATCTTTTGATTCCCTTTACAAGCGGGAGTTCCGGTGACACGTGATGCATGTGAAAAAAAGAAGCCAGTGAGAAGACGTCTAATAGAAATACATAATAATACAAGTCTAGGGGTCATGATCGAGTTTCTTATCCGGTAGATTCTCGTCGAACAGCTCCTCGTCAAGAAGGTCTTGGTCAAGTCGTTGCTGGAGAGCCGCAAACCCAAATGCCAAGTGACAGGAACTGAGATAGAACGGCAGCAATGCAGTTCGAAGGGAGCCAGCTGTCAACCCGGCTTGTGTTAACGAGCTTAGTTTCCTGTTAGGCAGCGCGGCTTGTGGCCGCCGTTCATCATCATGCAGCCCAAGGGTAAGGCTAATATCTGTAGTTTTAGTCGGAAGGTAAGGTCCCAAATCTCGGGTACCAAAAGTGAGGTCAAACTCTTTATAGATGTATCTGGAGACTCCAGCTTCTGCAAGGGACTGCACTGGAGGGTAGATGTAATATTCTCCAGTAATATATTCCGTTTTCTCAGTAGTCTTTGGCGAGGCACTTTGGGATGATTCTGACGAATCAAGAAGGGCAGCAACTCTCTTTGGAATCGTAAGGTTGCAAAATAGAGGCATCAGAGGTTGATTGCGTGTGAGAGGCATGTTGAGTTTAAGCACTTCAACACATTTATTGAGGCTAGATAAGAATTCAGAGTCCGCTGCTGCGGGGTGAGGATTACCCTTAGTGCTATCCGGCTCGAAGAGACAATAGTAGACTGTTTTGTTGAATCGGATATCTAAAGGGCTTTCGGGCAGTAGCATGTCCACATCTCGACTAGTGACTATGGCGCTCACTTTCCGGATTCTCGGGCTGATTGATACGTCTTCGTTATCTTCTGGTAAGACAATTTCTAGCTCAAGTTCTAATTCTGGCAGCGGTGGATGTCCGTTACGTGAAGGCAAGAGCCGTATGCGAAAGCTACTTGTGTTATCATTATTTTCCACATTCTCCAAAGAGTCCAAAAATGGGAGGGTATTCGGCACTTCGTTAATAAAAATTCTTGGAGTTTGTGAAGTTTCAATGTCAGGGAAAGACACCTGTTCGGAATTATATGAAGGCGCACTTTCGAAAAGGCACTGTCCCACAGTTGCCGTAATGACTTCTCGAGTGAACTCTGGGTCAAGTGTGTGTTGGGTATTAGAGTCCTCTCCATCGAATAGCCGTTCCAAAAGCGTATGGAACGGTTTTACCGACCCTTTCCCATATATAGAAGCAGGAGGTCTTCCAGGAACCCTCCCATCGCCTTCTCCAATTTTTATCCATCTTAACCATTCCTTCTGTCGATCCGGTAGCTTCATAGAATCTGGACAACTCACAGGATATAAATGTGCGCTCTCTGAGTTGCTAACATTTGTAAGTAACCCGTCCTGCTGATGTGGAGGAGGTACTGCAAGATGTAGCGTTTGTCGTGCACGATGTGCATTAGACTCAGCGCCATGCAAATAATGGATAGTCAGTACTTCCTCCTCCCAATTAATCTCCAATGATACATTATATTCACTTTGTATCCAGGGGAGAAGAGTGTTCTCCCAGTAACTCATATCCGCTCTAGATTTTAGATGTGCAACGGGTAGATCAGTATCCATTGACCGAACATCAGAAGCCCACTCGTGAAGTTGCCGACTTGTTTCCATACACGCCTCCTTGCTACCTGTTATTCTTATTAATCCGAGATGCCGAGATACGTCAATATTGACTTTAAGGGATTCTGCGAACATGTTCATGAGTGGCATAGTGGGAAGTAATAGAACCGACATGGGGCGCCTATCCAAATGAACATCAAGCTGGCCTTCCTCGCCATCTATAGATAATCCCCAGCATTCTCTTAGTATTCTTTCTACCAGTCTTTTCTTAGGCCCCATCTCCTTGAAAGCTGGAATCCGAGTTGTGATTCGGCTCTGGGGGGCTGGTGCCTGGTCCATATAAGGGGAAATCCCGGCCCTCCACCCATCCTGATATTTATCGTCGGTATTTCGTTCAGCATTCTGATAGTATTTTTTTAGCTGCTCAAAGGTGAACCCATCGTTGAGCGTTTTGTGAAGGTGCTCCCAGTCATTCAAAAGAAGGTTTTGCCCAGGACTATACAGAGCGCAAAGTCGATCAAAATTCTCTTCTAATTCTTCAAGCTTGAAGTCGGCCTTTTCTCTGTGTAGATCCTTCAACAGTTCGGCTGGACTCTTCCAGGGGCCCTTATCAGTGTTTGTCTGGGCGACTTTTTGAGGGCGACGGGGCTTCTTATTCACGATGACAACATGGGCGGGTTTTCCGAGCACTTTGACATCTTCTAAATATTGAACACGGTGAGGAGGGACGTCGGGTTGAGCCGCCTTATCCGTTGGTCCTTGAGCTGGGTCATCGTTTGATACTCGACGGATCTGGCCCGTGGAACGGGATTGAGATGTCAAAGAATTGGGGGGACGTTTCGGGAGACCTGAGAAATTCCGGCACCTTACGTAGCCTGCGACATGTGCACCCCTTTTCCAGAACATATGTATAGCGAACAAAACAATTTGGCTAGAGACCGCATGTTAATAAAAGAATGAGCTTGAAAGAAAGCTCTTAAAAATTAAAAATTAAACTACAAGGTTGGCTCCACCCTGATTGAAGAATCGCGGAAATTCTGTTATTCCATTCGACCCAACCTTGTGCCTTCCTTACCTTGGAAGTCTGTCCATAAAAATTCAGGAGTAAGGAAAACGGAACTAAGGTTGCACCCATGGTCCCACGGCTGGGTACTGCGCTTTACTTGTGTATATATATTCTGACTTAATGTCCGTGTAGCCGGTACTCCTGGTACATATCCGAGCGAGAGGAGGTAGTAGTAGAGGAATCGGTAGGTGTGGTGAGTATAGAAAATGAGTAACTTCCTCAAATTCAGTATATTTAGCGCATTACCAATGTCCATATATTCAATTGCTCTGGGATTTTAGTTGTGCTTATTTACGGAGCGAAGCGAAGTATATTGTATTCCAAAAAGTGGATATATAGAAGGGGTCAAATGTGCATATTTGTGGGTCTGCTGTAAATTACGTGATTGGTTGAATCCTGGGCATTTGATTGGATACTTGTAACCTTGCATAAGTAGTGGCTTGGCAGCTTAGTCATCTTACCCCATCAAAATATTTGAATAGTAATGCTGAGTCATCGATATGTTGGATGGGTGCTGAGTCAGCAACATGTTGGATGAGTGCTTAGTCATCATCTTAGTCATCAGGTCACGTGATATTTTTTGCACATCGATATTGAATACATTCGCTCCATTACTTATAGATAGCTCTGCTAGCTATAGGAGAAAGCGTAGGCTTTTGACCTAGTATCTTCTATTTTGAACATTATAATTGATGTTGATTTTACGTTGGAGTGTGGATCTGGGAGCAACCACAGCGCGTGTTGAGCTTTATCCAGATCAGGATCTATTGGAATTGTAGTTATCACGTGATATGACTAATTCCATATGATTGCAGAAAAAAATCTTCCTGATACGATTCTGCTAATGTATTACTCGGGACTATTTGTATACCATTCCTTCTAGCATTGTTACCCTATTTATGGTGTTCAGTCAACTACCCATGGTACTACAACGGATACTTCCATTATGGTCGATATTTAGGAACTGGATTAAGGCTTTTGTCCTTAAGTTTCCCCTGCTTGCCAGCCTCACACAATGGCTAACTGGGGGCGTGGAACCGGTACAGTCTCAGTTCCGTTCGTTAAGCCAAGGCCTTACGGAACATTGACGCTGATTTGTACAACAGGAAAAAAGGCAGGCCGACTCAAGAGTTGAATCGCTACATAATCTTGAGAATACTAACCCCGTCATACTCATCGAGAGATTCGCGAAAGGTGAATTCATCAGCGGCGGTGTAACTGGGATTGTCGAACTCCTTGATGATGGCACAGTTATCAAGTCTCCCTTTCCTGGCCCTATAATGGAAGATAATATCCGGGACATTGCTAAGGAAGCTAGTATTTACCAGCGACTTGGCTTCCACGAGAGACTAGTTGGACTTATCAGCCATTCTAGAGATGGAATTATACTCGAGTATATGCAAAATGGTGATCTCAAGACCTATATTCAGACCCATAAGTCGACTCCAATGAGCCTCAAGTTACATTGGGCATACCAAGTGGTGGAAGCTGTCAAACTTCTACATGATAATAATATCCTTCACTGTGATATAAAGCCACGAAACTTGCTTTTAGACAAGGACTTCAATATTAAAATCATCGACTTTTCTGGCTCATCAATAGATGGGTCTAAGCAATCATCGTGTGAGGGGACTCGATTTTATCTACCCCATCGTGATTGGAGGGAGCCACCAACGATAGCATCAGATCTCTTTGCTCTTGGTTCAACTCTCTACGAGATATTTTATGGAAGTAGTCCTTTTGAAGACCTTCCCAGTGATGAAGTGATATCTCTTTATGAAGCTCAGCAATTTCCAGATATTTCCAATATTCCCTGTGGCACGATTATTGAACAATGCTGGCAGTCACAATATGAGTCTGTTCAGCAAGTACAAGCTTCTATCCGCAGTGTGATCAATAATGCCGTCTAACGTCCACTATACCCCTCATCTCGATGGTTCGGGCATTTCTCATGATTTGTTGATTGATTGTCCAAGCGTGGTATCTATAGGATTAGGACAGAGCAACCCGAACATCAGCGGTACTACTGTTTTTAAATATAACGTCAATAGAAGGATTGGATCACCCCGTACCGCAGAAAAAGAACCAATGTTGGTGGTGGTAAAGCTGGGTATAAATAAAAGAAGTCGTGGGGTAAGGATATAGTGACTATGTTGCTATCCCTGAGAACTCATCTTCTTCTGGCTCTCCCTGGCCTGTCAGTATCACGTAATGCATCAACATGGATATTAAACAATACGGTATCGGAAGGGCATCTGGTCCACACAGAAATGGTTACCTAGGTATAGATTACTTTCTGCAAACAAGCCCAAAGACGCGTTTTGCAGGCAATTAGGGCATGATTCTTGATCTGCATCCCATTTTCCAGGTCAACACCCTTGTGATGCGTCTACCCGGAGCTTCTGCTGTAATCCGCTCATGTCTCTATTTCAAGGTGTCGATTTACCTTGCATTCTGGTTATGTAGTTTTAAGAGTAATAACCAGGATAAATACATGGATTTATCATATCAAAACAAGCAGCAGAGAAATATTTTTAATAATTAAGACACAAGGCAAAACAGCGGATCTACCAAGTGGAGGCTTTGAAAAATAGTTAAAACTGAAAACGAAAAAGGAGAGAAATCGGAGAAAGTGCTTTATTTTACTAGGTACCTATTCATTAGGGGGGCACTACTCTATTCTTAGTAGTAAGAAACCCTAGGGAGCTACAAAATATGAGTAACGTTTAAGTATCTGTATCTTAGCTATATTCGTTCATGTAGATCGATTTATCGGTTTATTCTTAGGTTGTTTCAATCGTCGTTGTGGCAGCTATGCGGCGTAATACGGGTACACTCACCAAAGATCAAGCCCTTAGAAATTCTTGTGGAAAAGAACTTGGACATCCCTTCACCTATGGCCTCTTCTGTTCTGTCTATATTTCAGGGACATATAATTAACAGGTATATCCTGATCTTACTTAAACTTCGGGACGTTTTATGTGATTACGAAAATCAATCACTCCATGTGTCCTTATTATCTGGTGGTAGAGCGTCATGCTAATTCCAACACGATCAAATCGGGTTCATACAGTTAATAGTTTCGGGAGAATAAAACTATAGTCATTTCTTATTATTTAAGTAGTTAATCTCAAAGAAGTATGTCAAATGATTAACAATGGATAAACACGGCCTTGTGCTAGTAGTTGTAGAACACATGGAGGATTAAAGACTACTCTTTCTTAAAATCTCCTCCCTAGCCCCAATGTAAGTAAGACAGTAATATACGTCCTGTACGATAAATAAACTCTCCCTTTGTTTAAAATGCATAACCTCATTCCTAGTCGGCACTAGACATCGGTGACTATGCCGTATGTAGATGCAGAAATAACAAAGAGAGACGATTTAGTTTGTCGGCTTTTTAATGCTGCTGCCGATCCTCCTTCGCCCAGGAAACATCCCAGCTGCGAAGGTCTTCTCTGAAATCAAATTCTGTGAGGGCCTTTTTCTTTCTCCTTTTGCCACCAGGTCTTTCGTAGGCATGCGTATCGGTCCTTTCCTTTCCGGTAGCACCAAAGGAAAAATCGGAATGTCTGCTGTCACTTCTGGAATGGGCAGAATAGGGGTACTTGACTTTTGGACTATGGCCTGGGGAATTCTTGCTATCACGAACAGTTTGATGTGAACCCGCATCACTCAATGAGTCATTACCGTCGTCTTCTTCCTCATCTTCTACCTTAGGGCGTGAGTAATTGGAGGGGAAACCATCTCCGCCAGCAAAAATATTTTCTATCAGTTGATCTGGAGGTAGTTCATCGGGTAGAGTCGCCCAAGCAGCAGCCAAAGTAGAGCGGTACATATCTTGAAGGTCACTATACTCGCGACCCCTGTTATTGATTGAAGGGATGTGACCATCATCGTTTATTTCTCCATGCTCAGTTGACATAACCCCAGCAATACCCGAAAATACGGTAGCGGGCTTGAGTGGTGGCCTGTAGTTGCTTTAGCGATCTGCATTGATTAGTGTATAGTGGGTGTAAACTTACGCAATAAAGTTGCTGTCGCCTTCAATCTGGGATATTCCGATACCAATCTTGACCGTGGCATTGATCTTGCTATTCTGCATCAGATATCTTCTCATAATTCCCTCATCACTTTCAGTCTTATCGACATATTCCGCAAGGTTCAATTTGATATTTCCCAATGGTACCTTATCGGCACGGTTTCCTGCGGTGAACTCTTGGAAGATATCAAACTGAAGGTCACAATCTTGTAGCATCTGGTTTCGATCGACCGTTAGTCTAACGACCATCAGTTTCTCATAATCCCACGAGGCCCTATGATCATGGAGCAAGGCCTTTTCAGTGTGACCATTATGGTCCGCAGAGACTGATGACGGTAATTGCCATTTGACATAAGCTGTGCCAACAACCAATGGAACATTGATCATATCAATGATCTTGAGAGGGTATTAGTGCATGGAAACTCAAAACTAAAGGAATACCGCTCTACGTACGCGTAGGCTCAAGGTAAATCTGGGCTGTAGGATATTCGGTGTAAGCAGCAGGCCCAGAAAAAGGGAATGTAGTAAGGCAATTCATTTCACACCTTTCTGCTCTTGGGAACTGTAAGACTAGCAGTTAGTGCTTTTAACCCATAAGTAGTATAATCCCAGGGGTTCATTATCATGTATTTGTTGGATGCTTGGAATTTGTGTGATCTTAGAGGAGGAAATCCTTACCAAAGGCCTGCATCCCGACAGCCCTCTTCCCCCTATATAGGGTGTCTCGGCGAGTGCCGCTGTGTCTTCGTGTTTAACTTGTCCTAAGCAGAACAAATAGAGCTTATCACAAGTTCCAGCAGTTTAGATATAATAAGCGTTCAACACTCCTAGATTGAAGAACCAACATCTCTATCTCTCTTTTTTGATCTTTGCCTCCAGCTAAACTGCTTCTTTAGTTAATGCATGAGACTATTTGGGCACAGACCACTAACTAGCTACGGGAAAGTATGACTAAGCAGGTTCGCATGTGGGATGAAACTGCCGTAGACCACCACTTCCCTTTTTTCTCTCCTTGAATTGTCCGCAGGTCGATGAAACAGAGCTGGAATGTCAATCTTTGAATAATCTAGGTAGAGACTGAGAACAGCAGTGTCATGGAAACGGACAATCTACCTCTTTCCCCTCCCCCGGAGCCCAAGTCATCGGATTCAAACACGAATGAAACCGTTAGTCTCGACTCGCCAGTCCGAACTACACCCATCCACGCGCTGCTACCTGAGGTACGGGTTCCCTCTGATCCATTACCAAGTCACCGGTATCATCCTGTTACATGTGCGCCACTGGATGTAGTGGAGTTGCAAACAGAGTTGCAGCAACTACGAAAACAATATACAACCTCTGTGGCGGCGCGTAAGGCACAAGAGGAGGCCGCAAAAGAAGTGAAGAAAAGGATCGAAGATGCAAAGGAGAAAACAGAACAAATACAAAAGACCATGCAGAGGAAGACCGAAGAGAGAGAGATGGAAAGAAAGGTGTTTTTGAAGATAAAAAAAGAAAAGGAGGAGAAGATGCAGGTTGTATGACTCGTTGATCAGGCTATATACTTGATCAATTTCCAATTTGATACCATTTTATCGCGGGGGGGGGGGGGGGGGGGGACGCCGGCCGAAATATATGATACACTAAAGCGCACCCCCACGAAGGGACACCATTGCTCGTTAACAACCGGAAACGGGAGTTCATTACTTCCTCACCACCGCATTCAATGGAATTCGCCTTGGGTAGTGCAAAAGCAAACCTCATTTATACTAGGCGCACCCACAAATTAGGCTCGCAAGATCATGTCTTGCCCGGTTATCACGGCGCCCTCTCTATCTGGTTTCTCGCTCGATTGGCCGTTTACTGGAACTGCCCTCGGCCGGGGATTGTAACAATATATTGAGAGATACAAGATATTATGGGTGACCTTCTACCAGTCTACTTGTCTATGTCAACAAATGCCATATTTTGCCCGGTCCCGTCATTCAAAGGCTCCAGACGTGAAAATTCAAAAATGGCACCTCGTACGATGCATAGAACGAGTGATCTATAGGCTGAAGCATAAGATGATATGATCGACATCGCCTTGCTGGTTTTTCAGCCTTCTACAAGCTGTACTCGGTATATAGAAACATATATTACTCTGTGGAAATGCAAGCCTTTTCACATGCGGTGGGATGATCGACAAAAATATCTATATTAAATTGCTTTGTGCTTGTAACCCTCTGCTTTGGGGGACATTTGAACGTCATTTACCTGGCCTGTTGCACAGACGATAATTAATTCGTAAACTTGGCGTTGGTATCCAAAGGTGACCCTTAGATGGGACGTGCACGGTTTCAGGCTAAGGAAAAGCTCCGACCACTAAAGAGACCGTGCAACTGTAAAAGCAAACATCATGAAAGCTGAAGAAACAAAATAAATAACAAACTGGTAGGTCAATAAACAAATATATAATGAAAGTTTGATCATTCGCGCGTATCTCGCGCCTACTTCGCGCTATCATGAAGGAGCTGAGCTAGTCGTGCATGTGCATATGTTTCAGGATGGTTTCCACGTCAATGAGTCATAGAGTCAACTAAGTCGAGAATTCGACGGGAAAGGCTCGAAAACATCCTCAATATTCAAGGGAGATCTGTCGGATCTATCGGGGGTGTGCAGATCAAAAACTTCTCCGTCTGGGGGTGCATCGACGTTCTGTTTCAGGATCTATATCTTGAAACAGAGCAAAGCCTCTGGGGTCTTTCAATAGCCGACGAATCAGACGTTAAAAGAAGGATTCTAGAGGGAAGAAGCATGAAACGATTCCATGGGCTCGGGACCCTCTCTACAATCGGTTTCAGAGTTCCATATCAACAAGCTGTTTTGTGGTAAAGGGTGCTCTTTTTGGTACAATCTCCATCTCAGAGTGCTCTGTATTTATCTATAGACCAAGGAA